GCTTCCGCCGGGCGACATCACCTTGAGCTGAGCTCGCAAGCAGTACATGAGGCCCGTCAAGTTGATTCCGAGGATAGAATCCCACAACCCGTCATCCATACTAGCAATGCCACAACTGTCGCCAAACTCACGAAAGACACCAGCGAGATTGGCGGCGCCATCGAGTCTGCCAAACTTTGACACTGTTGATGATATCCATTCGTCAACCTGCTCGGGCTTGCTCACATCGGTGACGCACACCAGCACCTCGATTCTTGTTGCACGTCGTATTGACTCTGCCGCGTTGTTCAACTCAGTCTCCGAGATATCTGCCAGCGACAGAGAGGCACCTCGACGTCCCAAGTAATGAGCTGTGGCCAGACCTATACCAGATGCTGCGCCCGTCACACCGAAGACCTTGTCTGTCAGTGGTTGCATCGTGGACATGTTGTTCTGTAGCTCTATGACCAGGACTTAACGACATTTCCAACTCCCTTTTAAGACACAGTCTTGATGGTGTCCGGCTCATGGGCTGCCGGCGACCAGGAATCGGAGCCGGTAATGACGATTGGTTTTCTCTCGGTATTGTTCGGAAATAGCGACAATTTTCCATCCTTCTCCAACGTTGACATTTGCAAATAGCTTCTGGAGAGACGGAAATACGCTGTTAATCAAGCCTCCCCCGGCATGCAAATGCGTTTTAGCCGTCCGAAGCTCCGGCTCGTAAGACAAAAGGAGAAATAACCGATAACGACTCAAAGTCGTGCAAAGGTGGCTGCTTCTTCAAGCTGACTTCTACCCTTGCGTACTGTACGTTGCTTTGAACTCTGCCCATCAAGGTTGCAGTACAGATTCCTTTAAGCCTACGGTCGGCGCAACCCCGTCCATCATGACATCACAAACAGAACCCCCATCTGGGCCCACAATCGTCCGTTGGAAAGACCTGGAGCCGTCATGGCATCTACCAAAGCAGGAACCAGGCTTTATGCGCTGGATGGTCCAGTGGGTGGGAGGGCCGGAAGGATACTACAACTCCAACCCGGGGCACGCCGTCCTCAGCCATGACATTGCGGTCGGATTTCAGGGCATGCCACCCAAGAATCGCCAGCGTGGACTCCATTACCACACCATTACCGAAAGCTACGTGGTACTCCGTGGACAACTCTTAGGTTGGGATGGTTACGGCATAGAACAGCTCGCCGGCCCTCTAGATTGTATTTATATCCCAGCTGGGGTTCCTCACGGTGTGCGGTCTTACGGCGACGAGCCTGCGGAACTCCTTTGGCTTCATGATGCACTCGAGAAAAGAGGGAGTTCAATATACTGGTTCCCAGGAGACTATAATCCACAGGATGATTCCAAGGAAGAGATTAAGGTGGTCCGGTACAATGATATACACCCGAACTGGGAGGCGGCGCAGGCTCTGCCCCCAGGGCATATGCACGCCAACCTGAACTACATCGGTGGTGTCAAAGGCTCTCAGAATTTCAGTCCGCAGCATGCTGTACCGAACGACAAAGCTGCGCTGGGCCTAACAATCATCCCGGAAGGCCACAAGCAACTCATTACTGGTCGACCCAATGCTGAGTTGTGTGTAATTGTGAGAGGAAAGGCCGTGGTAAACGTCGGCAACCAGAACGAAGAGTTGAATCACAAGGATGCTGTCTATGTGCCTGCAGGATGCTCAAGGACATTGAGAAATCATGGGCAGGAACCAACTTACATTGTATGGGTTCACGCGAGACCGTCTTCGCATGAACTAACGCCATCAACCGCGAACGGCACTTTGTCAAATAATGCCGTGACGGAAGGTAATGTGCCGCACGGTGGATAGTTTCTTGGATGATCCCAACTCGTCGGCGCTCGCGTTCTCGCCATCCAAGTATGACGAGGGCAATTAATGTCGAGCGCCTATTGCTCAGACCAAATACGTGTTGAAAGAGCTTGCATCTCATTAGCATCGTGCTTCCATAGGCCTCAGTTGGACTCCAGAAGGTCAATTCTTGCGTCACGATGGCGTGATAGACGTGGCTTCCAATCCAATGGACCACTCAAGGAAGTTGGGCGAGAGCCTTCTAATCCTCCGCTGCGCCTATGCACATAATGTTGACGGCGAGGAGAGTCCTTAATTTCCACTGCTTAACCTTCTACCCAGGTTCGTCTGAGCCGGTCTGATAATGCAGGATACTCCTGAAAGTCGAGCAATGACCCGAAGAGCAAGTCGAGGGGCAATCAGTAACAAGATTTGGCAAACGGCGGATTCCGAGTTCCATGGATGTTTGTTGAATACCATATAGGATAGAGGTGTCCAGGGCAGCCGAGCAATTCCTTGAGAATCGGCCGTCTTGCGGCGGTAAACTCTCGCTCAATCCAGATGACCTTAGGAAATGGCGCGAAGCCTCGACTGATTTGGATGAGAAGGTGATTGGCGTCATAGATTGACTTCTATACAGGACATGACTACCGCGTTCTGGGCCTGTTAGCATGGTATTTGTCGCGGTGTAAGCCTCTCGAGCTTGCAGTGGGAAGTCGCGCACAGGAAGGAGCATGTCTACAAGAACAATATGAAAGAAGAAAATGATTCAATGGCGGATCCACTCAGTATTAGTATTCAGCCTTTGTTAAACGGTATACTATGTTGTCAGGACTATGATTGTACCAGAAAGCCAAGGCAAGGCAACGGTATGCGGCATAAATATGTTCACGTGTCGATAGACGTATCCATAATATTTATAAAGTCTCTGAAAACCACCGGATCTACGGCTGAGGTGCGCTCAACTTTGCTATACAGTAATACAAGCAATCCCCGTCCTTGATTAAGGCGAGCCCTTTGCAATATGAAGTTCTTCATTTTTGGACTCCGGACAGAGCAAACACTTCTTTCGCGTCTGCAGTGTAATCCGGCTCCACGTCTTGACCGTCAAGCATCCCCAAGTACAAGGTGGCATCCCTGCCGTCAAGTTCCCGGGTTGCGAACCCATTACCTAGATAGTTAAATCGATTGTCGCAATCATATTCCAGCTCGAAATCCTCGAAGCGTGGCTGCATGGTCTCGACAAAATGGGTGCGCGAACCAGGAAAAGTTCGCGGCAGCCCGTCAATCGTGCCATTTTTGAACCAGCTGCGGCATTTCTGGTTCCAAACTGTTCTCTTCAACAGTAAATCTGCATGTTCACGGAATTGGTGTGTCACCTCCGCTTTGGGAGCAACCGTCTTAATTCGTTCAACCTGACATTTCTCAATGATTTTGAGGAGATATCGACATCCGTGTTCGATGGGGGGTAGAAGAGAGCCGTTGGAGGCGCCGTAAGGACCCAGGGAAGCAAAATAGTTGGGAAAATCCGGGATCATGATAGAGAAATATGCAACAGGATCTTTCTCCCAAACTTTCCGGAGATCTTTGCCATTTGCCGTAACTGGGAATCGGGGAATAAATGACACATCGAATCCAGTTGCACAGATAATTATATCGACCGCTTGCTCCTCTCCCTTATTATCAATGAAACCATTGGGGGTGATTTCACGGATCTCCTCAGTGTAAGCGGTGACATTATCTTGGACAAGTGCCTCAAGGTAGCCATTTCCAGGTGTTGGGCGCCGGCAGCCGACTCCAAAGGTTGTTGGTATCATCTTCTCGATTAACTCCGGCTTCTTTGCTAACTTCGCCTCCATCGATTGACGGGAAAAGATAACTGCTTGTCGTGCTTCGGCACTGCCAGTGAGATTAAAGTTGAACCGCTTTCCAAGCTCATCATCCAGCATTTTGACGTATCGAAGATGTGCGATAGGGTCATTCGCCCATTTCTTCTTTATTTCCTCACTGTATGTGAAATTTGCACCGTTCGGGCCAGCATAATTCGAGGCAAAACCAGCGCTGATCCATATGGGTGACCGGATCCAAGTGTAGAGATGCTTGACCTTGGACTGAATGGCGGCCACAATTTGAACGCCGGACGACCCTGCACCGATCACTGCCACCCTTTTCCCCTCAAGCTGGATACTCGGATCGTAGGCCGCAGAGTGGGCCAGCACCCCTTTAAAGGTGTGTAGACCCTTGACACTTGGCCACTTCCAGTTGTTCAGGAGACCGGTCCCGTTCACTAGGAAATCGCATGTATCTTTGAATATCGACCCGTCGGCCCTCTGAACCTCAACGACCCATTTGGCAGCGTCCGAATCCCAGTTCGCGCCGATGACGGAATGTTGCAGTTTGATAAACTTTGCCAGGTCGTGCTTCTCGACAATGTCATTGAAGTATTTTAGGATTTCTTCGGCGTCTGCGTAGTATTTGGACCAGTTAGGGTTCAAAGCCCACATGAATTGGTAGATATGGGCAGGAATGTCGCAGGCACAGCCGGGATATCGGTTCTCCCACCAAGTTCCAGCAGGACCGTCGTTTTTCTCATAGATCTGCAGGCTAAGGTTTTCCATTTTCTTCGAAAACTGAGCAAGACATATCCCTGTCGCACCGGCCCCGATGCAAATCACACGCTTGGCTGCATGCGAACCATACGGGCGTTCGAGGATCTGGTAGCCTCGACTGTTAACCCTCTCCCATCCCACCGATTCGGCAAAACGCAGGGAATCGGCTCTGGTATCTGAAGGGTCTAATTCGGAGATCATTGTTATTATCAGCTGTTTCCCTGTGCTGGAGATCTGTTTTCAGTTTCAATGCGGATTCGGTCGCATGGTTTGTAGGAGGACTAAGTACCATGCTCAATAAAGCCATTTGATTCACTAATCCGAAGTCACCGGGATTGCGAGAAATAGTGTTCCGGGAAAGGGCAATGTCGGGCAATCATGCGTTCCGTTACAACGGCCGACTCCGTCTTTCCGGCAGTCCTGGGCTTTCGCCGACTAGTACCTCTCGGTAAGTATAAGCACGATGCCCGAGGCGATAGTATCTTAGAGACTCCCGGCCCAATACTTGCGAAGATCTCTACGGAGGCATTATAGTATGGCGATGTCGGACAGCGCACGCCACTTCTCTTTGACTGTATCCGTGCTATTTCGGAATCTATAGATGTTTAGTGTCCACTGAGCATGTTCACATACCAGACGACGACTTGAATGTTCATTCTACGAAGCTGTTCCTGCCGATACACATCAATACCAGTGCGCGCTCATTCAGAGCTGCAATTTGGTATGTTCCCGTATACGCTTGCCATATCTCTCCAAAACCAATGGTATAGGTACACAAGCTAAGCCAATAAAGCCTAGAAGGGAGTTACCCCAGCCCAAGCCCAAGGCTTTGTACATGGGAGGACCAGCAAGCGGGAGTAAAGCACCGACCAGAGATCTAGTCGCGGTCAAAACCGCCACAGCGGATGCGGCATAGACGGGGTAGCAGTCAATCAAGTAAGTCTGAATGGGTAAAAAGACACCATCATACCGAAGCTAAACGGGATCATTCCCACAATTGGAACGATCCAGTGAACCTTCTTTTCTGCTGTCCAGCCGTACCAGAAGAAGCTGACCGGGATGAAACAGGCGAAAAAGATCATGAGCGGCATTCTCATTTCCGGTTCGAATTTGCCCCCGTTGCGTTCCGTCAATTTGATCACCATTCGATCAGAGGTGAGGGCGATGGCTGCTAACCCAACGAAAAATCCAATGCCGATTCCAAGATAGGCGAGACCGGTGATTTGTGGCGACCAATTATACTGACCCTCGAAAACAGATGTGATAGTCGTGAACAGGAGATATAATAAGCCATAGACGATAGCCATGTAAGTTGATAGAACAAAGACAATGGAGGACTTGAAGAGCATCTGCATAGGTCGGTGCAATCCGTGAGCAAGGGCACGACCGGCGCTGATAGGCTCCGTATCTCTGTCGTACCAACTAATAAGGTCAGGACGGTCGAGCTCTTTAGATAGTCGTTTTGTCTTCCAGCGAATGAGGACTCGAGCATAAGTTTCCTTGTTAAGCAGCTCAATGCCAAGGGTCGTTACGCCCGAAGTGATCAGAAGAACCCAAAACACCCACCGCCATCCAGCCTGCTGGGCTATGAAGCCTCCACATATCGGTCCTACCACGGGCCCGAAAAGAGGACCTAAACTCCAGATGGATGTGGCAAGGCCACGCTCTTCGACAACAAATAGATCAGCAATGACGCCTGCTCCCAGTGTGAGACATCCTGAACCACCGATCCCGGCGAGGAATCGGAAGAAAATCAATAGACCTATATTGGGGGCCAGGGCACATCCGAGCTGCCACACCACGAAAAAGCAATTTGCGCTGCATAGGACGATGCGCCGGCCATAAATCTCACTGAGTGGAGCCAGGAACAAAGGGCCGAACTAGTACAGTTAGTATAAGGTTTTCCGATCTGGTCTTCGAGCAAGGCGGGAGACTTACCACGTAGCCGAGGAGGTATACGCTGACTGTAAAAGAAAGTAGAAGCTCTTCTCGAACGCCGAAATCTTCAGCCATAAACCCCACAGCAGGGGCGAACATGCTTGATGCCAAAGGCGAGACGAAGGTGATGGCGGACACCAAACTCAACAAAGCCCATTTTCGGCCACGAGGGAAATTGAGGGGGTTTTGGGGGTCGTCTTGTCGATCCCAACCCACGATGCCTTGATCGAGGTCGGTCTGTGGGAATAACTGGTGGTGATCGTGGTTACTTTGAGTCTGAGTGGCCGCGCTTCGCCTGCTAAAAGCCCTCTCTAGGACGACAGGTTGTTCTTCGTGATCGTCGCTGGCGTGCCTCCCTTCCAGCTCTTTTGGTAGCGGTCGGACGTATAGCTGCTCGTTGCTGTCTTCAGCTTGCAAATTGCTCTTCTTTTCGGTGATGTTTTCGGGATTGGTGGCTGCAGTCATGTATTGGTCTTGGGAGTCGGAGCCTTGACGTTTCAAGCTTTCTTTGGGCCACGCGTTGGTGGCCATGGCAAATGGAACCTTTTTCAGACCGCTCCTTAGAAATAGCGAGATATGTAAGAGTACGCCAACTTGAACAGCATCTGAAACCGAAAAACAAATGCAGATTTGAAAAGAAGAAAAGGAAAGGCAGGAAGATACGGAGGCGTGCACAAAATGGAGTTTCAGGCGCTAATTGTTAGCGCAGACGCTAAATGCGACTATAGGGCCAAACCTCTAGGCGGTGTAAGGTTCTCCTAGTATTTTGTATGGGAGTTTTTGAAGCCTCATCAGCTTGATGCATTGGTTGCATCATTTGGCTGCATTATCACACAATATATCACGTCTTTTGGCCTCATGATTGGAGCCCTTTAATTGTTGAGTCGGCGGCCTATTTTAAAGCGCAGGGTCGTTCTCAATGTTGAGCGTCGTGATATGGATATCAATGAGGCCTCTCGCCGCCTAGATACCTTGGAAGGTCAGCGATTTCCACCATGCCCTCTTCTCTTTCTAATTTGGCTGTAGAAACCGCTAAAGAGAGAGAATCTCAGCGGCCGAGACGAAAAAACTCACCCGCGATTCGACCTTTACCTCAAGAGAAGGCATCAAATGATAATGGAACTCGATATTCTCTTGGTCAACGCGCGCAGGCGCTGACTCTCCACTCCCTTGGATATAAACCTGGCTATATTGCCTCCTGGCTAAAAATGACGGAGCGAACTGTTTACAATATCATTCGGAAGGCGAAGGAGAGAGGTTTTGATCCGGCGGTGGATCCTCGCATTTTGGATCATTTCATTGAGGATGGATATAGGACAGGAAGGCCTAAGGAAATCAAATTGACTGTTGAGAATGAGGTTCTCGATAACGTTCGTCGCGATAGAGCCAGCCGTGAAAAATCAATTGAGGTTCTCGCCTATGAGCATGGTGTTAGCACATCATCAATTAGTCTCATTCTCCATAAACATGGTCTTTCAAACGTGAAACCCACTCGGAAACCTGGTCTTAACAAGGTCCAACGAAGACGACGACTTGAGTTCTGCCTCATTCATCAGGATTGGACAATTGATGACTGGAAAAAGGTGATTTGGAGCGATGAAACAAGCGTCGTTCTTTGCCGTCGAGGTTCTCAACGCATCTGGCGAACGGCGGATGAGGCTTTTGAGAAATCGTCTGTCCGAAACAGATGGAAAGGCTTCTCTGAGTTTATGTTTTGAGGCTGTTTCTCATATTATGAGAAAGGCCCTTGTCATATCTGGAAACAGGAGACAGCGAAAGAAAAGGAGGCCGCAATAAAGGAGATTGATGAGTTAAACAAGGTGAGAGAACCTGAGATGAGGGCAGCCTGGGAGTTGGAAACAGGTCTTTCGCGACTAGGCCTGCGAAATCGGCCAGGGAGGAGACCTCAATGGCGCTTTACAACAAAACAAGGTAAACTTGTGAGGGAGGCAACTAAAGGAGGCATTGACTGGTACCGATATTATAAGGTAAGCGAGTTACAAATGAGATTACTATTGCTCACCTCTATCTAGGAGATCGTTCAGGGTAAGATGATCCCATTTGCAAGGCAATTAGGCCCTGAGGCAATAGTTCAGGAGGACAATGCGACACCTCATGCGCAAAAATTCCTTGCCACCGTCTATTCTCTAGCCAATGTCAAACGCCTCCTTTGGCCAGGCAATTCCCCCGATCTCAATGCCATCGAGAAGGCCTGGCCATGGCTAAAGAAGAGAACAACCTTCCACGGACCTGCGCAAAGCAAAAAAGAACTCAGTCAAAGGTGGCAACAGGCTTGGAAAGAGATGCCGCAATCACAGATTCAAAAATGGATCGAGGGCATTCCTTACAATATCAAGAAGGTAATAGAACTCGAAGGAGGTAATGAATATGAGGAAGGACGACAGAGTAAGAGGTCATATAAAGGGCGCCGCAGGATTGGAGAGATTTACAAGCATTGCTGGATTAATGACGACTCACAAGTAGTCAATGCGGAAGACTATGATGATGTGATTGACGAGGAGGAAGCTGCGAATGATGCGGACAATGATGTCGAGGGCGAACAGGTTTCCATGATTACTATGGGAGAGCCCATATAAATAATGGACAAAAGCGCATAGGGCTAATCAATAGAACATCATGAGAAGCTAAAGGAGCATGATGAGGAGCCAAAAAAGCATGATTTCAAGCCCGCGGATATGGAGGTAAAACCATCAACACCATGATTGTCTATACAAAACCTCAGCCTTGTTAACCTGTTACAAGGCTCTTGGCGGTACAGGAGTGCTACGCCGTTGATGCATTGCCGACTTTACTATGAGAATACTTCATATAATTTTGGTGAGGTAGTTCAAAAATCTCGAGATCTCCGCATCATCTCAGTATGCCAAGAGACGCTAGTAATTAGCGTCTGAAGTTACATTTTGTGCACGCCTCCGTACAACGCGTCCAATCTCGGAAGAAGACAAAGCCGTAAGTATGGATAAAGGATTGCACTAAGAGATATGCACGTCATAGTGCCAATAGTTTTAATCTTGTATTAAAGTACGTTCCGGCCATGTAAGTCTCCACTTTATGTTACTAGTACTTTGATATCTTTTTTATCTACTTTATAGAGGTGAGATGAATTGTTATTTGCCCTTGACCTCTTCTATGGGATATATAGGGCTACCACTACTAGAGCTGTCTTTCCCACCTTGTTTACTGTGACCTTCTCAATCCTTGAGCCTCGCTGATGCCTGTGATGTTCCCTCGGCCTCGCAGCCGGAGCCCCTGACTTACATTTCTGGGTTGCTTTCGCAAACTCTAGCACCGCGTTCAGAGCTTCTCGGTTGATTCCATGATTGCCCGCCTTACGGAGTACCCTTGCCCGCTTTGAGGCCATCTTCGGAGTATAGTTACGATGCTGTTAAACGTATCACCCACCTTAGTCTTTAACTATAGTCTTGCTTCCCGTCGGCTCGGGCAATCCACCACTACGTATACCACAGTTTCGATTACTCTACGCGTATAGCGGTCATTGTCCGTGATATTCTGTATTCAGGTATGTGTTCACAACCGCGAGTGACTCGTTCGCAGGTGTACTAGGAGGTATATTTGATCGTACGAGGGTGCCGTAGGCGCGCAATCTTTGCTGAGTGAGAAGTCTATGGTCAATTTGTTTCAAGTGTTTGCCTTTGTGAGTGCCAATCTAGACTCAGCCCATCAGAATAGGTAGTATGGCTACAGGTTACTCTCGCTATCCAGAGAACTATCTCCTCCCTGGCTGAAGAGAGACGCAAGAAATACAGTGATGACCGGCAGCTGGGGAGCTACTCAAGGCGGGACCCCGAGGGTCATACCGCCATCTACCGCATAGATCTGGCCAGTGAGCCACGAAGACTGTTTGCTGCATAGGAACATCGCGATAGCCGTGATATCCTCTACCGTTCCGAGGCGCGGCCACGGTGTGGCTTTCTTCATATGTTTGATAATGTCTGGGTCCTCGAAGTTCTGGCGAGACATGCCGGTCGCCACGACGCCCGGTGCTATACAGTTGATATTGATCCAGTCCTCAGCGTGGTCTAATGCTCCCGCACGCGTCATGTGGTTGATGGCCGCTTTGGTCGCCGAATAAGCCACTTCATATGGAAAGGCAATGTTAGCTGCACAAGACGAGACGTTGATAATCCTGCCACGGCTGCCCCAAGAATCATCGACCTCTTGCTTCAGAAATTGCTTGATCGCTAGTCGGTTACATTTTGCAGTCCCTAGCAAGTTGATATTGGCCATCTTCTGCCAAAGTTCGTCGTCTTCGACGGCGAATTTTCGAAATGGTGCCCAGTACCCGGCACAGTTAACGGCAATATCTAGACGTCCGAACTTCTGCACTTCGATTAGTACTGAATCAGGGACGACTGCCGCCCAGCCGGGGTCAAAGCCAACACCCTGCTCTACTTGCGTTAGGCGACCGTGTGATCGACAACAACGTCCCTGTCAGGCGCGGGCGGGTCCGGATAGGTCTTTTGACCCCTGTTAGTATCTGTATTTTGCTCGACTACGTCTCCGCATCTTGACAAGCGAAGGCAGAATTTGTGTTCACATTATTGGCACCCACGAAGAGGAGGAAAGAACTATTAATTAGGCAGTGAATTCTATGCCGGTTCAGGTTTGGGAAGCAAAAACTGCAGCGAGCCAATGTCCAGCTGTTACTCCGAAATGAGCGACTTAGGGATCGGAAAGGCACTGAGAGTGAGCAAGGGCCATAGGGCTGCAACAACCCCCATGAGAACGAAAGCGGTCACCCAGAGTCCCCTGTTGCCCTTGGACCGTTGCTCCAGCCGCAGCTTTTCCCTTGTGGCGATTCTCGGACCTGGGATCGGACTCTAGGCTGACTGCGGAGTATCTCAAGCCATATCACGGAATGCCTAAAGCTCTGACCGACCCACCTTCGCTCTCTCCTCCGCTCATCTCCTCACCATTATTTCAGCGGCCGAGCGTTGAACGTCAAAGCATCCCAAATAGCTGTTTTTACACACGCTGTCCGAGGAAGACCCAGAGTTGATTTAATTTGTTGCTGACATGAGGCGTCAGGTCTAACACATCCAATGGGCCACTCCCAACAACGAAGCAGATCTGGTACCAATGTCTCGTCGGCATCTTCGACACGAATTCGCTTTCGGTCTTTGCATATTCTACGAGCGGATCCAAGGTCGGGACTCTCTCGATCATGCATCTGCACCATGGCCGTCTGGAGCCGAGCCGTTTTGCATCGAAGAGGAGACGGCGGTTGAGCTGTTGAGTGAGTCACCTGCAGGTGTTGACTTTCAAACCGATCTGCAGTTGTGAACCTGCTGAACCGCTGACCTGGGGGCTTCTGGCCGTCTTCTGTCCATGTTTCTCGCTCTCCTTCGAATTTCTGTCAGTCTCCCATTGTTCACATGTCTCGGTCGGGAAAATACCTGTGCGCAATATTGCTTTCGTCAGCAATCTACTTTCATCACACTGTGGAGATGAGCTCTGCTTGACAAACTGCCTGTGCCAGAGCGCCCTTGGGATCGATATCGACATTCCAGGTTGGGCGACTGCCAATGGGAGCACTAGCCAACCAGTGAGCTAGCGACATGATCGTCGTGTTTGCCCAAAAAACACGGATCAGGGAGTGATTTACCGATGGTCGAAACCGAAGTCCATTATCTTCACCATTAACAAGCATGAAGGGATGGTGGTCCGGTGATCGCTGGTACTTGAGTGGTGTCCTGCCCGGTTCGTCTACACACGACTTACCCTCCAATCTATCCGCGGAGTACATCGTGTCTGAAGTTCGACATCTCGATTCACTTTCATTACCTAGACTGACGACAATTCAAATTAATCAGACGCGCCGAAATGAACGAAATCTCGACAGACCAGCTGTCTGGCGACGCGATCATGTACATGATCCATCACATTTTTCTTCCGTCTCAACTACCTCAGGAGGACGACACTAGCTCGCAATATGAGACCTTCATGGTCGACATCACTATCAAAGCCCTCCGGAAATTCAAGTCATGTCACGCGGAGCACGATACTGGCGCGATTGACTCGGTCATTAACATGGTCAACAGCCTGAAAGCCATCAGTGACACTTTCGATACGGTAGGGACGGTCAATGAAAAGAAGCTCTTCTCTGCGTTGGGGGATTTGGCTCGCAAAGGTAGTCTCGTCTCCTGCCGCTGCAAGCCAGTGTCTCGCCGTTAACAGATCCCAGGTGGCATCGTCCTGCTCCACATCCGAGCCCAGAATGCCGGCGTCATGATCAGCGAGGAGAAGGGCTCCATCCATATAGAGGTGTTTGAGCTGTCTCCTCTCAACCGAGCGGTTCTCACTACAAAGGGTCGACTTCGGCGCTCTTTCCCAGGTTGTGCTCGCGCCCTGAGCATCGACGTGTTTGGACGACACGATTTTCAGGCCACAGTGGCCCAGACGCTTTCCAAAATGAGCCATCAGCCCGCTGTGGGAACCAAACCGCAAGTGAAAAAAGCCGGCTCCAAGCACGACGAGAATCGAGACTCGACTCATCCCAAGATGGTCACGGAACTGTTTGTGGGATTCCTGAGCGCGATAGGCGAAGCTGTGAAAGTGACACCACTGTTCAAAAATACCCGAGAGGAGGTCATGTGGAGTGACGCCCTCCTTCCATGGCGACGATCCCCTCTCTGGATGCTTCTTCGTGTCTCCATGCAGCTGGTGTTCTCTCGATGGCAAGACATGCATGAACTCCCGGCAGAGTATTACAAGACCTTCATGGTGTTTCTCATGGGCGAAGTACTGCAACTCTCGCTCGGGCACAACATTCCCTCCGATCTGCTCTACGCCATGAACGCTAAACTTGGTCGACGCCTCCTCAAGCTGGATCCATCCGTCCCCAGGGCTGGACTCCCCGTGGTTCACGGTGTGATGCACCGGGCCGCCGGACTGATTCGTACGAGGTGGAAGGAGATACAAAATCAAGCTTCTCCGTTCCATGATCTGTCGACTCTCGAGAGCCTAGACTTCGACCACGACGCCGTTGCCGGACTTGACAGTCTAGCAGAACTAGTCGACTCCCCGTCCAGTGGAGCTCCCGGTACCGCCGCGGCCTGCTTTCGTCCTACGTCTCTCTTGATCAAATTCCCACCGGAGGTGCTCCCAGCTTGTCCCCGCCCCTCAGGAGAGTATGCATGGTATGAGCTCAAAGCTTTTGAGGCGTGGGTGGCGTCTGGATTATCTCGATGGGGGAAGAGCCATGAGGGTGACGACAGCACTTGCGCCAAAATCAGTGCATTGATCGTGACTTACTATCAAACAGCTTCTCCCCTTTATGCTGGTGATCCCGAGAGCCTTTCCGTGCTGCTTTTGACCGTTATCGAACTTTGGATTGTCTGCGATAGGTCTGCGTTGCATCTCTGTGGACTTCTCAAGGACTATGATCCTGGAATCCCCCACGACATGCTTCAGTCTCTGGTACTACCCTCAAAATCCCAGATGGAACGACTGCTCCGCGCCGAGGATTACCTACGAGACCGTCGAACGCGCGCAGTTCACGCTTGTCCCTCTGTCTTTCGCCATTATGGTCGTGCAACCTGTTTCGGGGTGAGGTATTTCGATGTATCCGCCGAGCATCAACGTTTACGTCAAGACATTGAACGGCATGCCGCTCAGACCAAGCTTGAAAAGGTCAACGAGCTACGTCGAAAGAAGGATGAATACAACGCCCTGATGAAACTTCACGATCAAGCCAGCTGTCAATTTATTGACGTCATCGTGGATCATGAATATGATGTTCGGGAGCGACAACACAGTCGTGCCTGTAGGAAGTGCGACTACAGGTCTCGAGCCGCCAGCATTGCTATCCACGTCCACGAATGGCCGTTACCGAACAACTCACTGGAAGCCAAATCCACCGTCTTTGAGCTCAAGCTCCCCCCTTTCTTTGCTCAATGGCGCGACACAGCATTCTTTCTGCTCACGGAAGTCTTCAACGCCGAATCCCAGGTCACCCACAGGCCCCGCGCGAATCACCCTCTGCAGAGCTACCAAGGACTCTCGTCCTATTTTACTGCGGCCTTCTCTGGACAGCGTCTTGTTCTCCTTTCTGAAGTCAAACCGCATGGAGTCACTCATCGTCGAGCCAGGCCAATCGGCGTCACCGATGAGATTGATATCTGTGTCAACAATGGCTTGTCTTATCGATACTATGACGATGCCCGGGGACATTTTGTCGACGATTTACAAGTGGGCCGTATTTGTCAGTCAATACTCCTGCGTACGGCGACAAGAAGGTTGGCAAGACTACCGGAATGAAAATCAGTCCGGCCCCTTGAGCATCCCAAGAAAATGTCTCTTGAACAAATATGGGCAACACTGCATCTAAGCAGGCGATCAGCGTGGTGGCCACAAAGGTCGCCCCTAGGGCAACTTGAAGACGTCGACTTCGTAATAGTTGTAGTGTTGAACTAGGGCCCAATGAAGTCGACCTTCTCTTTTCTTGAACGAGACTTTTGACTTTGGAGTAGACCATATGTGCATCATTTTCGGACGAGAGCATCTCAATATCAGAGTCAATTCGAAGAGGGGACGGAATGATCTGGGGAGCGCCATTGTCCCCGAAACTGGTGGTCCAGTATTTGTGATTTTGAAGTTGAAACCAGAGCACTGCCGTCCCAGGTTCGATCACGGCAACCCGCCAAATCACGTCGAGCGCAAGGAGGCCGAACGCAAGGCCAAACACCGATAAATATCCGCCTTGATCGAACAACAGACCCCCAATGATAGGAGCGAGAAAAAGTGCGAGCGTCATCCCCAAACTGCAGATCCCAGTGGTCTTTCCCACCTCATCTTCTTTGACGCTCTCGATGGCTAAGGTAATTCCTGCAGTCCACGTAAAAGCACTTGATATCCCCTGCAAAATTCGACCAATTACCAGTACCTCAATAGACGAACCGACAGAAAGAAGGATGGTTGCGGATCCTAGTGCGAGGAGTCCCAAGATGAATGTCGTACGGCGTGAACTAAAATAGTTCGTCACCCATCCTGCTAATGGTGATACAAGAAGCCAGGCACCGGAATAACAAGCTAAGAGGATTGAAGTCCAGATTCCTACTATTCATATAAGTTAGATTAGCTTTCCCTTGAAGCTTCTTCTTCTGGGATCTTACCATCATGAGGGGCAATACCAGCACGTTGTGTCAGGATGAAGGGAAAAATCGGCACAACCTAAAACAGTGTAATGTAAGTAAGGTTTAGTCCAATTCGCCTGCGCATGAGATCTTACTATCCCATAAAGAAAGCAGTCTGTAAAGATTGCCAGTGTGCAGGCGCTGATTAAAAATGCCTTGGAAGCCCTGATGTTGAGACAGACTGGTCTGCGTGAACGTCTACATACTTCACGAGGCGTGTTTCGAACAGACTTCACAAAGCTCAATACTGACATCTTAAATTTCGATGGGGGGAGAGGTACTGTCATGAATAAGACTTTGAAAGTAATTGTTGGCGGACTGATCACGATGGAATTCAAAACGCAGAGTTATGCTTCCATAGTGATGTATTAAATACTTACCATGAGGCGGATCCGGACGCACGAATGTGGATATATCTCTGCGCGATCTTAGCTTCCCCTTCATGTCAGTAACCTGAAATGCACCTCCTAGCTGTACTATCTAGAACTGTTCTTTGATTACTTAGAGTTTCACATCTTCCTTGTAAATACCCAATTCGCTACGGTATGTGGTTCGAAGCTATCCAATAAACAAGTTTCTCTTTTGTATTCACCTCACTCAGAGAATTCGTCGAGCAATAGAGAGGGCGCAGAAGCAAACTATATCTATTGCTTCTTCTCAGCAAACTCCATTAGCATCCCACGATTGCCTTGGTCTGTGGAATTTTTGTAGTATCCTAGAAGCTTACTATTCCATTGTTTCACTGTTTCATCGCGTTATGAACCAGTCCCCGTAGGTGCCTAATCATTCGAGCGGCGGCTATTTTTAGCCTGCGCTAATTGTTATATATGGCTAGCGGTTCTTGAGGGTTCCTGCATACTTATACAGGTGTCTTCGAACCCGTCTCGCATTCGTTGCTAGAATCTGAGAAAGATTTATGATGACATCAAAGAAAGGGTCAGAAAATGGAATACTACCAAGCTGATGATCTTAGCTACAACCACGAGCCGCTGTCGCCTCGGCCATCGGTCAAGCCAAAGATTGCCTCTCTGTTGACCGTTTTAACAGCGGGTATGATTGCGTTAATAGCTAGCGGTCCACTTTTACGTCACTCTGTGCGTCATCTCGTTAACTGCTTGCGAGTTATCATTGAAGAATTGCAGCGGTCGCACGTGGCTGAGGCTGTCGACTGTCTCCTTAAGTACGTCGATAGCTTCAATTAGGTAGTGGACGAACTGATCTGTAATGATCTTGTAGTCAAATTTTGGCAAAGCAGCAATCTCCCTCCAAAAGAGCAATCATCTCGCGAATTTCTTGGAGTGCTTTTCGAGGTCCGCCATTTCGAACCATCAACTTCAATCGGGCTTCCGCCAACCGCATTGATCTCAGATGTTGGGCTTGCTCGTCCAAAACATTCTGCCCCAGTATGGTCGTGTTGACCTTTTTCTCGGCCACAAAGTTCACTATACTCTAATCAGTGTGAATAACCTCACTAGTGATAAGGATTGATACTTTGTAGAGAATGCAGATTGTCCATCCTATCTCTGACTCGTGAACCAGGCATTTGTAGACACGGGTTCAAGATAACGATGGTGGAAAATGATCTCAACAACTCTAGACTTGGACAGAATTTATAGTGTACAGTATTGTGAAAACGACTTCTCTAGTACGAGTACAACAGACAGAACACAGTCCTAGTCGCACCCTCCGTAGCGACAAGACCAATGTCAGAAAGGGATAGCATAGCCTGCCTATATTTTTCGACATTTTGCGAGAGTAAGTCGCAATGTGTTTCAGGTGGAGAAGGCAGATTCGGGAGAAGCTGTTCAGTACTGTACTGCATCTTGAAGCTCGTGTGAAGACTGGAGTAATCTGATTCTAACCGGGTGGTTCTGTTGGTCCCTAGAGTTGACACCCTCCGTACCCTAAACGCATCTTCCAATTCTTCCTTCTTTTTAAACAACTAGTGTGGCACATTGTCGCTTAGTTCGGTAGCGGATTTCTTTCGTATCTCATGGAGGAGCCATTTCCACCATAGCGTCAGTGTGCAAATAGGCCACGAGACCTCGCTTTTAGTAACACGCCGCTTTTACATTGTGTAGATATATATCTAGCGTACACGTCATTCAAATGCTACCATAGGTACTGCAGGATACATTCTGTACAGCGCGAAAATGGAAGCTACTAGCAACTACAAGCCGAATCAATTCTCATGTTATGCTTCCTTGGTTACTGTGCCTATATTCACGACACAAGATAATCCTTATCCCAAAGTCTTTATCGCGGCACACGATGAGTTTCTTCGCGCTTTTCCAGAAGAAGAGAGAATTCGCATATCCAAAACGCCTCATATCGTCCAGAAGCTCTTCCCTAGCGTCTCAAGCTGGAACTCGATAGTTGCGATGGCATGCTGGCTCTCGTACAGTTTAGCATTTACCTCTAGATTGAGAACAGCAACCAAAAATAGCACCCTCTACGGGCTCCTCGAGATTTTGAAGATATTCCATGAGAACGGCCCAATTCTGGAGGATGGCCAAATGTCCTCCCACGCCGGAGGTGTATGGAGCCAAAGCGCCATGCTGAGAGATTTTATGATCTCGCTGCTCCCACTGGAGATTGTCAGAGTTGTATTTCGACGCATCCGTGAGGTAATCATGGCATACATAGAGGAACATCTTTTCAGTTCCCCCGGCTCTTACATTTTAAAGGATTACCTGGTTATACGTTGCAAAACCATCGGCCTCGAACCATGCTTTGCGATTTTGGGATTGGACACAGCACACATTCCATTGAAGACCTCTGACTTCTTGTTGGACCATTTGAAAACTTTGGTCAATATCGCCATCGTCTTGCAATCTGATCTCGCAGGTTTGCAGAGGGATATAGACCATGTTGATTCAAAGAACATTATTTTAGCCCCCAGCCGGTCAGAGCGTAAAGCGACTGGCAGTCGAAAACGGGAAATACATGATTACTTCGGCGAAATAATGGGGACCATTTGGCATCACAATCGGGCTCATAGTCTAGCTATACGATTTCTTGAAAAGATAGAAAAGATCGGCTCTCTCAAGGAGAAGCAGCAAGCTCGGGTTCTGTATAAGCTGTTCGGGACACACTGGCATTGGAGATATCAGCAGGAAGACTCTATTCATGTCCCGAAGTAGCAGTCTTGTCGAGAACGCGACAATAGTATCATACTTTCCCCATCATTACGCGAACAACATAATAGTCCGAGAAGGTGCAGTTACTTCTCACTTTCCAGATTTCTGACCCTAATTGATACTCAGGTTGACTAAGGACAGCAGTCTCCATTCCTTATACGTGTTACGCAGCAGGCGCCGCAAGCTTGCACGAGTCTGTATATTTGACTCGAGGACTGCGCCAGCTCACGAAAAGCTCCAGTCTGTCCCAAACGAGGATGCTCTAGGAGCCTTCATGGCATATTACCGTACTCGACGACGTTTCCTGGCCTGTCCCTCGCCTTCGTTCTCCTCACGCTCTTTTCGCTTCCTATGATCAGGAGTGCCAAAATCACAGTTGAGACCTTGCATGTCCATAAGATCACGGACTGCGTATGGAGATCCACTGATATGCTGAGGATGCGATGACCCTTCTTGAAGGAGAACGGACAATGTGTCCTTTGTTTCAAATTCGACTCTTCTGCGAAAGTGTCCCGCGCGGTCGAAGAATGAACGATCGTCGATCGATTCAGAGGTCCAATGACCATCCACTATAAATTTCGCCGCCCGTTTGGACAACTGTCCTAGCAGCTCACCAAACCCGGGACTGTTCCGAGACAACCGACAGAAAATATATCCCGATCCAGAATACTTGCCCTTCATTCTCCTCGGCTTCGACTCGAGTTCAAAGTAGAAACGCGTCGCAACGAGACAACGCGCGACAACGTCGACATCCACCGACCGACAGAACTGCTCCCTGGCATTTTTTGCCAGCTCGCGCATTTTGACTGTATCATCTAAGTCGACCTCCTTGTCCAGTTTAACGTTGAATCGAAAGTATCGCCCATCTAATTCAGTACGACGTCCATTCTTGAACGCTTGGGCGATTTTTTGGCCGTTGAGTAACTCCAAAAAGGCTCTATAGGATCGCGACAGGAAGCCCTCCCTCCAGATTGCACGCAGTCTGCTAGAGTGCGACGTTGGTAGGTGTGGTCCTGAGGACCCGGTGCCAAGGGAGATGACAACATTTGGTTTTCGAATCGGTGGCCACACCACGGGTATTTCCCATAGAGGGAGGTCGACGGGGTTATTCCTCCACAGAGCTCCGTCTTGAAAGCTTCCCACTTCCTGAATGCGCTTCGCTGGAAAATACCTTGTGACACTGTGAGTTGTTCAGAATTTGGAGAGGGTTGGACACAACATACCACGGTGCTGCAGATCCGCACATTGCTCTTGCACGCAATCAAAGTCATCTTTCCGTGTTCTAAAGACCTGCGACAGAAGAAAATAGAAGATGGTCACTTACATCTCCCACAGACGAATCCTTTTCTTCCCATCCTGCGACCGAATAATTCGGTAACCTGTTCATCCATCAAAAATCGCTCACATACTGGCAGCTCGGGAAATAAAGTACCAGAGTCCTGCGGCCGCGGTCCCATTCCGTTATAATTAGTGAAGAGGCAGGGTTCTGTTTCCTGTACCGTGGTCACCGGTATTCCCACTTTCGCGCCGATAGCGGTTGCATGTGAATAGTCCAAGATGCCCACATCACTGCCGAAAACGTCTTTCAGTGCACCTTCTAGATTATGAGCTGGGTACAAACCGTCGGCCAAATACGACACAAGAAAATGGAAGATATGCGACAGGACCGGAATGCGAGATAAAATGGGTACGTGAGTAATCCATCGGGGTCTGAATGCCCTTGTCGCAAAAGACTCGAAAAGATTCGCACAATCATCCACCGTCCATCCACTGATGAACAGTGCGAGGACGATGAGACCGCCTCATCAGCGTCAGCTATTGTCGTGTGATGACTAGTGTCCACCTACCGGAGCTGGTGCCGAATGCCATGTCGAAATTATCTTGAATTGGAATTGGTAGACCCAATCTATCCTGCAGGACTTGCAAAAATAGCAGTGGCACAACCCCTTTGATACCACCCCCATCGATGGTCAATACATTGACCCCGGCAGTATCAGGCTTTAATTTTACCGTTACATCTCGAAAAACCATGTCGCAGAGGAAACATCGTTGAATGCCGAACACCCACCGCTCATTCTCATCCTCTCGTCCGAACACTCGCACGCAATTTTCGCAGATTGCATGGCCGCAGGGCAAGTTGTTTTCTGGCGTGCGACGCAAGCACACGAAACATAAGTCGTCGCTTCGCATCCGCTTCCAGCGAAGTTTAAAACTTTTGAGATTGTTGGAATGTATCGTCTTGGACGTTGTGCCGGCTCCCCGTACAAAGTCCTCGAAACACTTTCGCAGCTGATCAGAGACGGCTTGGACGAAGCCAGACGGAAGCAGTAGTTTTGCCGAGCTGTCATACATAAGCGCACCGCTCCTGCCCACTTGATAACAGGCGTCTTTATACAGGGTCTGAAACACATGTTCAGGGTTGAAAGCTAAGAGGCCATCAGATGGGTTCCGCCATTCCGGAAAAGGAGCTCCGACTTACCGTGCATACCAGGAGGATAGTGATCCAGTAGAAGGCTCGATGCAATCATTGGCACCGCGAAGTCCGTTAGCTCTTCAGGAGATTTGATTTGCTTCAGAAAGTTGGACAGATGTGAGCCCAAGTCCGGTGTGACAGGATTTTGCAAACGGGACGCTTGCACAAAATCGAATGGCTCCATAGTGGTTCTGCCAAAGTGGTCGGTCGCATATTTGAAGAATGCGCTCAAATGCCTCCCAGAGAAAAGGGTTCTTGCTGCGATCTTCTGCCTTCGAACTTGATCTAGCGCCCGGACTAAGTATTCTTCCAGTCGACGACAGTCCTGTCCTCCGTGGGGAACGGTCACCACTTCGAGAGCTGACACCAACTCATAGGAGTTCTTGGTTGTCTCTTGCCTTAGCTCGCCCAGGAGAACCTCCTCCGCCTCTTTGTCGCTCTGCATCCCAGGGTCAGCTGTTTCCATGACCACGACCATTCGCGGATATGTGGTATTTGGCAATGTCGTGGGCTTGCCATTCTCGAGCCACGATGCGAGTCGTCGTACCACGGGGCCAAATCCGCCGATGTCGGTGGAAAAGAAGCAAAAGACGTCAGCAAAAGCACCCAAGAGACGGGAGTAGAGATGGTCGGCAGCATCTTCTAAAGTTCGATCCTGGACGCCTCCCCGGACGCGAGGAAGTATTAGCTGTCTTGTCTCGTGGCATTGGGCCGAGGACCTTTTCATGTTGTCCCGGTACGGAAGGTCACCATCAGCTAAAAGCACGGGAAAGTCGCGGAACACGTTGCAATTTGCGGGTTGGAGATGCACTCCGCCGCCTCGTTTCCGTCTGCCTGCCGACCTCTGCCTGTTCTGGTCTACACTGAGCGATCGAAGGGCCAACGATTTAGCGGTATGGCCGACGAAGACCAACAGGCTGGGCTGCTGAAGATCAGGACCGGGAGTGTCGTTGATAAGCGTTTGAAGCCGGTCCGAAATGGACAAAATGATTTCATTTCGTTCGATGCGGAGGTTAAGCCATTCGCTATGATAACAGCGTGCCATTTTGAAAGCTAAAAGGCTACTGTTCTTCTTAGGACTGGGATTTTGATGTCCGCAAGAAGATCCTTTTGATATATCATGGGTACTATAACCATTGTCCTGTGAGAAGAGCTCATTCCAGACCCTTGACCGAGAGTAAAAGGAAGCATACAAGAGGAAGAGACTTAATCGGGCTCCAAATGCAGTCCTTCGATATCCAGTATTGAACCCCCACGAATTCGGTGTACGTTTTGGGCTCCTCACAGTGCTACTAGGTTGACTGGCATTCCGCTGGTAGCTGTTTTCCTTAATATGCAAGCTGAATCAACGCTCATTTAACGACTGTGCAGGTGAACCCAGTATAGAGCGGTAATCATCGTCACTGTGGACATCTCGAAGACTAGGACAGACAAGTACTCAGCAGGATGCCTTTGAGTCACCAATCTCATCATATGAGCCGACAGCCTATCGAGCTTGAAGATCCGAGATCTTACACCAATCTAAATAAACACTCCGAGCTATCTACATCCAGGCACAGATGTGCGCTTTGCCGCAAGCTTCGGTCTCCGGCTTACCAGAGAGATCATCCCATCGCTCCGGGAGAACAACCGACCGCCGGTATCTGTTCACGACCTGGTTGCAGCACCCAGAAACGGACGTGGTCTCTCTCGAAAACGTGTCCACCGGTGATGGTCCTGGAAGTACACTGTTACGTATACGACAATCATTTTCCCGATAGCTCCACTGAAACTCCTCTCACGGCCGAGCTCCCTGCGGCAGAACAGGGCCAGCGAAAGAAGCTCTTTCGTGGTGATTATGGACTGTCGCCCTGGACACAAAAGAACCCCAACGTAGCTGAAGATAGGCAACAAGGTCCATGGGTCAGTCGAATGACCAAACCAACTTTTGTACTTCGCTGAGCTGGGAGATTGATTGTTGTTGGGAATCAACATTGTGACCATATGCACATCGCAACGGATCTCAGGTATGTATCAACGAATGGTTCTCTTTTGAATGTTCTATCGGACCCGTTCTGAAGATATTTGTCACAGATTGAATTGGTACTGTACAGTAATGGAACCGCCGGCCGGTTATATTGGTGAAACGTATTGCTGATTTGCAACGGATCATGTTAGATGAGATTCAAATATTGTCCACATCTATACCATACGATTCTCGTCATACCATCGTCATACGACCTCATAGAGTAGCTAGGCCTTTCTGCAATTTCGTTCCCGTCGTGAAGCTACCGTAACGCTGCCAGGCCCACCACGGATCACTCAACCGCTGCTAAGCGTGAGAAAATAGTCACCTGGCTCCTTGGGTCTAGCTGGTGACACCGATGAAAAGTATACTCGCTAGGTACCTTGGACTGTGGTGACTTTGACAAATTGTGGCACGGCACTGTTCGCGGTCGACCAATGTTGGGTTTTCCTCTAGCACTTCTCGGCCGATTATTCTCCGATCCAAAGATGTGACTGATATGAGAAGAGGAGTAACTCACGTACACTTTCGACGTAGATAGAAACTAAGACTGAGTTGCACCAACGAATGGCGTTCCCTGGCAGTTCACCAAGCTAGCACGATTTATGCTAAGCGTTTCTCAGAAAAAACAAATATAGTTTACAGGCACTGTGCTCGGCGGGCGCCAAATCACTGCTGGCTCAGAACGTCAGGACATGACAATAGCAAAGTTGTAAAGATTCCCAAGGATAATGCCAGTTGCTTGATGCCTATGGGACTATATTTAGATGCAGCTCCTCCAGTAGCCCGAAATCCACGAGATTCAACTTGTGTTGCTCTGTGTTGAACAGAAAGTTTTTGTCCCTCGGACTGAGAGCTCCAAAGGATGGCGGGTCTGGCAAAGAAGTGTTGTGAAGGAAAACTTTCTTTCCTCTCCTTTTTGCCGAGGCTTTGTTCTGGCTGTGGACCTGCGCGGGTTGGTTATGCTTCGACTTCGTTCCCGGCCTTGGCTTTGCTCGAGCACTTCCCTTTCCCCCAACGTGCTCAAAATCCTTCACGGTCCGTATCTCTACCTGCGGGTCATTTGACTTCTGGACGAGACTTAGCCCCTGAAGTCAATAGGAGATCGCGTCACCAGGCTTCTTACAAGTTCTTCGACGCTACATGGCAATGATCCTCCATTGGGCGTCTGAAAAAATGTCACCTGCCCGCTCTCGGGATTTCGGAGACAGACCGTAAATTCGAATCCGCATATCTGCCAGAGGAGGAATGTTTTATTAAGCCAGCCTCGCTTCCTCTTTCGTCGTTGTGTGGTCCTCTCCTTTCTAGTTTGCTCTTCCTTTTGCTTTACCATCGTTTTGGGTTGTGCAACTTGGCTGGCTGTGAAGCCTACATAACGACGGTGCTTTATATTTCGCAGTACTGCGTCAGATGGGGAGCCCATTGTGGCTCTCAGCCATTCTATTCATAGACGCTGCCTTTGGAAGATCCAATTTTGGACTTTTGCCTATAAATGTCGTGGTAGGCAATGTCTCCTTCCGTTGCTCATTCTCACAAAAAAACCTCCCAACGATGCTGCTACGCACTGCCGCCCAGGTTTCCACCTTCGTTGCTCTTTACTTCCCCTTGGGGATGGTCTCTGCGGACACCTTTCGAACTGACATCCAGACAACCACCCCCACGGCCAGTATGTCAAAGGACTTTGTTTGGACGAACACTTCCAGCGCTCCACCAGAGGCGACCGTTGAGATTCAATTCGATGGCCTGGTCGGCTCCGGCGTCATAAACTTAACCAGCAATTACGGCTTTACAGTCGTCAATTTGACCGCCACCAGCACCTCTGTCACCTCCTGCGTCTCTCCAAATCCCTTCGCAGTCAATGTCACTTCTGGGGCGACCATTCCTGCCCTTTCCACCGACAGCGTCTCTATCACGAACCCTCCTTCGACGATTGTAACCGTGGTTCCCTCTGGCGAATCTTTTACGTCGCCGTCGCCACTTTCTGCCACGGGCGACGGCCATCTTGGCTCGACCCAGGGCACAAGGCCTGGCCCTCTTTCTACCACCGTCTCTTCGGCCAATATCAGCCTCTTCACCGGTGTTGCAGGGCGATCGAGAGTCTCTCCAGCGGCTTTGCTGATGTGGTTGCTCTTGGGCGTGATGCCGACATTTTCCGCCTGAGCGACAATTTCTAACGGCTGATGTATCGACGATGGATTCTTCCTCTTTCTGCACTCCGTCTGCTGCGGGTAACCTCATGGAGACTTTAGATAGGTTAGATAGCTTATTCCGAAAACATATACGTACTCTCGATACGTAAACCAGTGCGTCGGCTCGTCAAGCCCCAGTGGAGCGTTTGGGATCCATAGAACTCGATGTTAATGTTCATTGATGAGTTACATGCTTGAAAGCGGTTCTTTTCTATCTAATCAACCCAGTATGGCATCAAATTTCAACGCTCTTGAGATATTCCTCTCTCTGGTCGCTGATTTGTCCCAGAGATTCGGGGGATGGAGCCTGGGATCTCAAAAAGTTGGGGCCGTCGGTGGTCACTTCTTGCGGGCTAATCTCGTCGACATGAGAGGCGACCGCTTCAATCACGCTGATGTATGTCGGAGGCCTAACTGTCAATTCTCCGGTGCCGTTGTTTCTCGTCCCACTTCTCTTTCGACGGAACCATTGAGGTAACTGGATGACGATACCACACCAGCACAACATCGTGTTGCTTCTATGTACCGAAAATAATTATTCTCCCGAACTCGATACTGGGTCCGTGCGACAACAAAAACTTGCAGGAGATTGCAGACAGAAAACTGGAGTATTGCTACTCCTGACGCGGTAGCGGTGTCAAAAGGTCGTGTAGGAGGATAGATGCGCTTGGTCCAGTAGAGGTACTTGAGCAACTCAGTCTCCGATATTTATGGATCGCGTGAATCACGATAGGAATCCAATCGAGCTCCAGGATCCTCTTCGGGCCTCTGCCCACGTCTTACTTCAACCATCGAACATAAGACGGCAGCTTCCCTGGCTTGAACGGTCGCTCACGCGGCATTACAAAGTATTCCATCCTATCTTCCTAAAATCATTTGCTTTTGCACTCAACAAACAGACATGGACAAAGAACGGCCACACTCGCCTAGCATTTCCGATTATAGCGACGATCTGACCATGGAGGCGTTATTGAAGAGGATAGACGACTTCCAGAGGAGGGAGGAGTTGATTACAATAGAGAGACTGGAGAAAGAGATTTCATCATTACGATTTCAGATTTCATGCCACCAGAGAAGTCTGCACGTCACCTTTAATTTGCTGCAAGAGGCTTTTGATGCAGCTGTCCTCATCAAGACGGCCTTGCAGACGTGTGATGAGGAAGAAGAAACGGCGAACGCAGATTGGCTAGCTTTTTGGGGAATTCATATCGAGACTCGGTCAGCTCTAGAGTATCGACCGATGGAATGGCCTCAAAAATGGATCTAACTACAATTGAGACTTAAGTTTGACTCTAGACATTCCCTGTGAACAGAGATCAGCAGAACGCGAATTGGACGAAGGCCGGGATCAAGTCCCGTCGGTCGCGTCCACGGTCCAACTATACACCGGCGCAGACGGGTGTTTATTAGTAAGCAGAAGAAGAGGACGGCCAGGAAAAGTTAGATCCCAGGTCACGTGATGCTCGCTGCAGGCAGCATCACAACTAGCGGCAACTGCCTGGTAGGCAGTTGCTGCACTAGCCAGTGCCCTATGGCTATAAGTAACTTCCGTACCCTCATAGGTAGTTCCAAATATCATCACACTTGTTCTCACTTCAGGGTTTCTACTGGAAAGGCCGGACACGTCCATAGATACAGAACAGATATTATGATTGTTAGTAGGGGTGTCCTACTCGTAGTCGAACGCTGCATAGCTGCCACTTAATCGGCGGCTGGGACAGTCTATGATGTAATCAATCAATCAATCATCAATCAATCAATCAAAAAAGTTCAAAACTTGTAAATAGTACTGTAGTTACTGTAACTTCGCCACAGCCACAATGTCCACCAATTCAATAATGATATCCCTCTCTTTCTGGCACCTTGGGGATCTCTTTTGGATCCTAGTGGGGTCCAAAATTGGTCTCTGAAATTGTCGGTCTGTTGAATTCTAGCTTGATCAAGTATAAAACCTGTAAGACACTCCTTCATCCTGATCACTTCTCTACTACTGTCTCTGTATTAAGTTCCACCGAAACACCTTCCTTTGCCCGTCCAACTCAATTCGATCTTTTCACCGACTGGTAATACTTACTTGCCCTTTAATTCAACTTGTCATCCTTTTCCAACAATCGATAATGCACTCTAATACATTGTTCTTCGTCATTGCAAGTCTAGCACTCGCGTTCGCGTTCCCACACCCGCAGGGGCAAAGCACCCCGGCGACAGAAGATGGCTTTTTCTCTGGAGAGCCTGCTCAAAGCTGTGCTGTAAATCCACCGAATGTTGAAGGCGACAATGTTTGCGTTTCGAACGGCAATGATGACACCTCAATCTGCTGCCCTGCTGGCAGCGCGTGCGTACAGAGCGCGGTAAGTCTTATCCATTATTAACCGACTATGGACGAGCTTCTGAGCACGATGACTGATATTTCGCTTCTTCAAAAGGATGTACAATTTGAGTTTTTCTGCTTCTAAATCTATCTACTGTCATTTCAATACAAGATGCCAACTCCGGGAGGACCGATTCCAACTGTCTACTCTCGCAGTTGGCCACCTCAGAATATACACCAGCATATGTCTAGATGTTTCGCCACACTCTTTATACTTCACTCTTATTGTCCATACTCTCTCCCAGAATTCGACCCAGAGCTTTTGGTGTTGCCAAATCACTTATCCTATCAGGTACGGACGTCAAGACCGGGGGTTAAAGAGGATTTATTATAGACAGGAAAGCCTAGGCTAAGATCCATAGATGAATTGCAACAAATACGACTTTAATTATTCGATTCCGGTGTCAAAAAGTACTGTGGCAAACCCAGACTTCCGAGGATAAGAACAATGCTGTTTCGGCAGAACTAACAGTATTCCGAAAAGCCGGATACATTGCATATGCAGTTCCTACGGCGCGTAACTTCGAAGTTTTATTTAAGTTTGGGGCAAGCATGGAGGCCGATTGGATTTTTCTAACCGCTCGCGGAAGAGAAAAGAGCGAGTTTACCCGAACCAATGGCAAGTCGCCAGCGTGGACCTGCCACCCGCTGGTGCTCCCCCGTGAGGTCAACCATGCTTAACGCCGCCCGAGCCAAGCGATGCACCAGCAGAAGCCTACCAGACAAGGTCGGAACGCATTCGAAGAGAGTAGACACGGCACTACCAGGCAAGCACACGAGGCGGCTATATGATCGTCTTTCATGGGGAAAGGCGAACGTGCTTGCCCAACTCAGGGCAGGCATGGCGAGACTAAATAGTTACCTTCATCGCATTAGTGCGGCTCCAACTGATCGATGCTCATGCGGGCAAGCGAGAGAGACGGTCGAACACTTTCTCTTTCGATGTGCTAAATGGACGGCGTTCCGAACGGAGATGCTCCAGTGCACAGAAACTCACAGGAGCTCTGAACCTGGACGGTCCAGAAAGGGCACTCCAGTCAAAAGGAGAAGTCGTGAGACCACCTTCGACAGCGGGTATGACAGTCCACATGAGGACAGGTTCCTCTTGTCAGGGGCGCTTACAGCAGCGAAGAAGCACCGTTCGCAAAGATTTCGAAGCCTTAGGTCCTCCGAGGAAGACTCGCCTCCTTCCCAGCACAGTAAACGGAGATCGAAGTCTAGCTCACGACTAGACTTCAGAGACGAGTCATCACCAGAGGAGGAAGTGACCGAGGATCGCCATCGCGGGTCGAGGCGAGGAGAAAAGTCAAACTCAGCCTCCCAATCGAGGTCAACGTCAAGCCGCAGAGCGCGGGATACTCAATCTTCGGAGGATGAAGAGGGTTCTGGACGCAACTCAGAGCAGTCACGAAGGAGGTCCCCCACGCCGAAGTCTGCTATGAAACAGCCACGGCGGTCAAGAAGGGACGGTAGCTCTGTTCATTTTGAGTAATTACATGCCTACTTGACTTCTACTCGAGCCACGATACTGTGATGAAACCTAACCCGATTTCTTCCTAAGCCCAAGGGAGCCTTTGCAGACTGTGCATACGAGGTGAATCCGGTGGCGTTCTTGGCTGTGCATGTCCTGGATTCATGATCTCCTGCACAGTGGCCACAAGTCTGGCGAGCATTGCACTGAATACCGCTGTGGCCATAGTTATAGCACCGGAGGTCTTGTTTGATTCTGCGTGAGCGGTCGTAGAGTTGGCCCGTATGAACTAAGCCTTTCCAGAGAACCCCGCATAGATGATTGCGTTGGCCATCTCAGGACGGGTGATTTCAACCACCAGCAAGGAGCTCCGTCTCTTGTTCGCATTTTTCGTGAGCCAACCCACATACGAGATGTGGGCATTAGGAATCAGGGAGTGGTTGTCTGCTAAAATTCTCTGGATCATTCCCTGCTGGTCTTCCACGTTGACTGTGTTTATAGGTCTACCGTGGATGATGGAGCCGTATGTTGTGCGTATGACCTCTGCCCGTGGCCCGGGTCCCTTCATTCGTGTCAGTCTTGAGCTTTACGCCATAAAAAATGCCTCTCTAGCGGAGCTGAGCAGAGTAGTCTTCATGCAAGAGTAAGGTCAAAGGTCTTTACAATCTGGAACGACCGCATGTTTGATTCTGTTGGTTGGGCATAAAAGTTACAAAGCACCGAGAGGATAAGGAGTAATGAACCCCTGTTGCCAAGAAGCTTTACGGCCCTACCGACCTCATGTCACCTACAAAGTCTGGGCGCTTAAGTTCCAACCGCAGCAGCCAAAGAGGGCAGGGAGGCAGGTGTCAAAAGAAAATAATTGGCTGGTGTTACCGCAGCACGCCCCTGAACAAAAAGCCAGAGGGCTTGAATGCCTCACCTGTTGGGAAGGCGGGTCACAGTTGTTGCCTGTGCGGCGACCGTTATGGCGACCAAGCTCCCTGCATTAATCACACAATCGGAGTTTCGAGAAACTTGCGTCTTATCGAGGTACAGTACTGTACTGTACAGTAGCAGGCGTGTCGCAATCACAGTGGGTGACTGTGTCTGCAATCAATGCGGCACTTACCCAAATTTATGAACAGCTCGATGCTCACTCGTTGCTGAAGAAAGACCTTGGGGGAAGCCTATTTACCGTGGGGGCTAAGCGAGATTCCACGACAGCCATATGATCAAGAACATATTTTCCATTGGTAAATTTGAGCACAAACGAAGAATGGACCATGATGCCTCTGTTTGGAATGCAGCTTCAACGTGACAGACACCTTCGCTTCGTAACTCCTTGCGGTCTCGATGGATAGCTGCTTTTCAGGCGCTCACCACTCTTCATCGTTGCTCCCTTTATATTCCGTTTCTTTTGCCGCTTCACTTGTAACAGCTCATGCGCCTCTCTACCCATCAATCTTGCAGTTTTAGATAGTGCATCACAATCCTGTAGGCCTTTTATTCTTTCTGCGATTCGAGCGCTGCGACGGGTGGGTTTGAGTGTTGAAGTACTTGGCCTTTGCCGTAGCCGCGACTTTCTGTTGTCGTCATGATCTCCTTGCTGAGCTGAAGCGACCGCCGGCACGGGAGATTCGTGAAGTGGTGTTGTGATCGTTGCACGTAAGCTGGAAGGGCTCACTCTAGCTTTCGAGGCTTTTGAGACCTTCGATGGAGCTTTTGGACTGAGGACAGACCGTCTTTGCTTATGTTCTCTTCGTCGGAGCTGAGGCCGCTCTTTCTGCCTCTGCGGATCTTCTTTTCCTCTGATGGCATGGAAAGCGGCATCCAGGGTATTATTGGTGAATAATCCGCATTCGGCAGCGATGTCTGGATGCTGGTCGTCGATCCACTTCAGAAAGACTTTCCATCTCTTCACACGGAGCTCCGCTCCTCTCAACTTACCCTTTGCTATGATCATGGACTCCTCGGCTAGGTGCAGGTCGAACCCATCACGGAGTCTTCTCATTTCCTCAGTACCAGATACCTGCTTTAAATTGTCCCGCGCAGAAGCGATTTCCTGGTGCGCCATCCTCATTAACGTTGCCTTTCTCTTTGATCTGCTTTGCTTTGCTGCTTGTAACGCCTCCTCGGCTGACTCCACTCTAAATTTCGCTTTAGTCACTTCCTGCTTTGAAGCCTGGATATCATCAAATCGGCTATACAGAACCTGAGTATCAGTAATGACATTGGTCAGTCGTGCTTGGGCTTCTTCAAACTTCCTCTGATACATTGATAGGTCCTGCTCCGCCGGCGCAACCCGTTTCTCACATTGTTTGAGCCTCCGATAGTAGAACGCCCGAAACTCATTCCAGTCTTCCAGTCGGTTCTGTTGGTGTCGGTCCTCGAGCACTCGAAGGTCGTATTTCCATCCCGCGTCTGTTTGGCTCTCACGGACGGAGTCCTGATACTCTCGAAACCTGTTTCGTGGGACGTAATAACTCCTCTTCTTGTCTTGCATTTCCCGGAATTCCCGCCATTCGATAAGTTGGTAGCGGAATTCGGCATGACGCCCACCATATTGAGAATGCCAAAACCAGAGGATGTCTTTGTATGGCTCATACTTGTCGGGGTTGTCTATCACGTCATATCCCAGGGTCACAGGATGGGACGGCCGGCCCCCTTCAGCTACCAAAGCATGATAGGCCTCCTCCTCTTCTTGCCAGCCCTCTTCTCTATCTTTCTCCGTGTCGATAGTCGAAGTGGAGGGCGAGCGGTAGCGCGTAAGAGGGTAGGTGGGCGATTCTCTCGTAGGAATGCGGCTTTATTCGTGGTCAGAGTTATCTTTCAATCAAGAGAGGAAGTCGCTCGTACCCTAATCGTGCCCCAAGTTCATCTGCATCCACCGCCCGCGACCGATCTTTTTCATCACGCTGGTGGCGCTCATTGACAATTTTCCTAGAATAAATGATCCCTTGTCAATACCAGCATCTAAGACCGCAAACATAAGAAGAAGGGGTTATCACCGGAAATGTGCCGTATGTTCCTCAGTCCAATTCTCTGGGTCTTTAAGGTCGAAAAGATCCTCATCTCCAATATCATCGACACTTAGGCGTAGGACTTCGTCCGCATATACTGCTCTCGCCATGGTAAAGGAGAATAAAAGTCGGTGGGATGGTTCAGTATCGAGAGAAAACGATCGAGGGGTGGGTTGCAGGTTGATGTAGCTGCAGCCACGTGACCGCAGTTTCAAGATGTGTGCTGAGCGTGGAAGTGATAGGGTCTTAGTTATTCTGGAAAGCGCGCACTAAATAGTAGCGCCGGCGCCAACCTACGGGATCGTCGATCTGGGGCCATCCAGCATCCTCCTCCTCTAAGTAGGATAACCGCATAAAGAACAAGAGCGCCGCCATGGTCATGGAGCATGGTCCCTTTTATCCTGTAAACTCAGACAAAATGGATGACCCCAATACTTTTTTGACACTGACTCCTGACGATAAATGGGGATTGACGATCGAGTCATTCCGCTTACCGCACAACATTGGCCGATATGTGAAGCCGTCCCCCATCAGCCGTGGGACCACGCCCAGCGAATACGGCGAAGACGAAAGTCCAGCGAACGAACTGGATTATCTTCACCGTATCCAACTGAGATTTGACCAGAAGACCAAAGTCAAGGGTCGTGTCATTTTCGGAAGTGATCCTGATCAATGTGATGTCCTCCTCGAATCGACCAGACCACGATTTTACATCAATTTCGACAGCGAACAACGGCCCGCAATCTGGGATCATTCTAACAACGGTCTCACTGTCAGCTATGACGGTGAGGCGAAAGATGATCTTCGCCATCACTTCAAATGGATCTTCTTTCCCGGGTATGAAACAATCAGAGTGAAGATACCCCTGCGAAAAGGCCGGGAGCTTGCCTTTCACGTCCACCTCCCTCAGCATTATATGACAAATCGGGAAGATTATAAGAGAAATGCAAAGAGATTTATGGACGGTTCTCCCCCACAGCATGAAATGGATTTCTACAATCTAGCTCTCCGCAGTCCAGGTGACTCGTTCGCGCCGAGTGAATCGCTCAGTCCAAGCCAACGACCAATTTACTTGAAGCGTGAAGAACTGGGCCACGGTGCTTACGGACGAGTCAGAAGAGTCCTGAACGCTACTACCGGATTGGAATCCGCTGGAAAGGAGTTTTTCCATTCGATAGGCTGGGAGCGTGAAATTGATATCATGAAAAACCTTCGACACGTATGATAAGACCCTTCCCGGTTATTGCATTTACTGACCCTCTCGGAAGGACTACATAGTTAAATTAATCGACTTCAAGAGGGATCCAGAACCTCTTTTGGTGATGGAATATGAGCCGCTAGGAAATCTACAACACCAAGACTCGATCAGTCCGATTGCGGTGGAAGAATGGGTGGCTCTTCTACACCAGTGCTTGAGAGCTCTTGTATATCTCCACGCCAGGAACATAACGCATCGGGACTTAAAGCCTGAGAACATCCTCGTACAGTCCAGGACACCGTTCTGGGTTCGAATCGGCGACTTTGGTCTCGCCAAAGAAGATATTGAGTTGAGAACACGGTGCGGGAATTATCGATATTCACCCCCTGAAATTTATTCAAATCGGTCTTATACTAGCGCAGTCGATATATGGCAGTTAGGTGTGATTGTCTTGGAAGGTCTCTATGGGCTCCCTCACGATACACGACGAAAAGACGTGAAAGAGCGCGGCAAAATTCAACAGCAAGCTTTCACCTGGTGCTCCCGTATCATCTTCGCAGCAGAGGACTGGGAGTCGGATCCCATGATCGACTTCCTGAAGGGATACATGCTCAAATGGGAGCCTTCAGACCGCCAGTCAGCGGCAGAGTGTTTGAGAATAGCGCTGGATATCGGCCTGTTCGATGAGACTCTCCTGCGGACAGGAAGCCTCACACCACGACAAGAACCAACCCAAATACCTGATGACATTGATGCAGAAGATGCGTCGACCATCAAGGAGCCCTTCGGAAAGATTAGTGGCACAGCAGCGAGCCACGAGGGGCACACATCGCAACCCGAGAATGGCTCAACTAGCCCGGGAGAAAGACACAGCGACCGATCTGTGAAACGCAGACGGACCACCAACGATTTCGATCCCAGCCTCAATTTTCCAGGCTGGTCGTTTGATCTAGGGGACGTTTCCCAGATCACACCTAACGAGAGCTTGAAGGCATTATTGGACAGCGCAGACAATGGTGCAAAACAGGCCGAATCAATCCAGGGCTCCATTAAAAGCGATAGTTCTGACAACCCTTCTGTCGCACCACCTCTGAAGAAGCATGGGCAGTTTGTTTTACAGATCTCGAATACGCATCGGGGCACTTTACGTATACCAGATGCTCGACTTAACTTTACCATGGATACGTCCGCGAAGGGTCCTTGGGTAGACCTTCCGACAGCACGCGAGTTATGTGCTATTGCCAATCTTAGCGAAGACTTTCGGCCGCTTTTGACTTTTGGAGAAGCTCAAAGAGCGCAAGAAACCCCTATCTTATCTAAACCACTCCAGATGGAACAGCGAGAGATAATCCCGAGCTATACAGAGCTTATCTTTGAAGGCCATACAATTCTGATTCGAGATCAGGATTTATGGATAAACGCAAGCCAAGTTTTTCGAGCAGCAGGGTTTGATGAACCCCCATTTACTTGGCAGAATCAGAAGTTCAACTATCACTTGGTGGATTCATTAGGTGTGTTCGTCGAGTCCGATGTCGCCATTAATTTGTGTAACCTTTATTCACTTCAAGCCCTTGGCGCAGTCTTGCACGAAAAAACGCAAGTGATACATACTCGACAGGGCCAACGCTTTCGTCTTCTCGAATGCGATCATGATATAGTGGCAGTCAGACAGGGAGACTTGAGTATCAATCTTACCCATATTGTGAGAGCATCACCAGCGCATCCCTCTCATAGGAAAACCTTGGAGCAATTCAAGCGGAGATTCCCTTCTATCGAGGTTATCAGGGGTGATGCAAAGATTTCAGGATCTTATGCACACATTTCTTTGGCGGTAAATCTCTCTTGCCTGTGTGGCTTGCACGCAATCACTACGAGACTTCTTAAACTGGCTTATACTCCGGACGCACCAGTTGAAGAAGTTTGCGGCGACGATGTACTATGTTCGGCCCAAGAACCCGCGAACGCATCACAACCTGGGAACGTACCAAGAGATGTCCTGAGAGAAGATGGACCAGGCTTTGAGTGCGCTGACGTTTTCGGTCCAGGGATGAACTTCTCTGCAATCGACGGGCAATTACAACTCTCCCGGCGGTCGTTCAGGTTTATGACGCCCTCGCCACTCTCACAGACGTCGCCACTCCGTATGAGTCGTTTGCAGGCCGTCGAAGGGATGAAAACGACATTGGAGTGGGACAACCAATTAGAGCTGCCATCTATTGTATTGCCATCTAACCATGCCTGTTTCAAACCGACTGAATCGAGAGAGCTGCCCGAACATGAATCAGGTGCAAGGCCATCGGGCTCAGGTCATGGAGTTAGGGGTCGGGTTGTGCAGACTATGACGCAAAACGGGTTACAGGTCCTTCAAGAGCGACAGACACACGAGGATACTTGTGGTCGTCCGGCTGCCACTGAAACCCCTCGCATAAGACGCCGCAGAACAAGGTAGGAACGTATCTCGTTCACGATGTTGATTTTACTTACAAAACTTGCTAGCATTGAAGATACCACAATTCTTCTAGAAGCTTATCAAAAATATCGATATCGTGGGGCGACTGAAGAGGAGCTTCAGGGTATCGCGGGACAAACACAAATGACGATTGACCAAATTCGTGTAAGGCGCTCTCCTATGACGAGGAACAGAGACTAAAATAATGTAGAAGTGGCTCGAGAATCGAAGATACCGAGACCGATATATACCCCGGAATTGACGGGCACGATTGTCTTATCGCCATTGTGATAGTAATTCTTGATTTACCATTCGATTGTTGCAGCCGTCTCTCCATCACTTTGTTAAGACACTCCATGTGGGCCAGCTAACGCTGATGTATCCGATACTGCGACAATCTCCGGCGGGAATACGAGTGGAAGACAGCGTCAACCTTGTATAATTCACTGCCTCCTTGTTCGTGGCTTGCATAGATATCCGCGTTGGCTTTCGTTGAATGGTCTGGAGTATTCTTTCTTCTCAGTCATGCGTGAATCGGAACATCCCCAAGAGAGATTTGGGAGAGACTGCTGGGTTTTGCCGGGCATCGAAGGCAGACTTTTCGTCGTCAGGAACGGGTGATCTATGATGTATACCAACTGGCTGATCGTCATCCGGTATATTAGGGTTGTCTAGGAGGATGTGTGAATACACATATAGCATACAGAGTACTGAATAAGCCCATTACTCTCGTGCATAATGCACCGACCCTCTTCCAGCCCCCGTTTTCTGCGTTGCTGCTTCCTCGCTGCCGTCCGCTGCAACTTCTCTGGGACACCGACGGCGAAGCAGAGTGGGACTCTTCGAAAGATGCTGTTGTTTCCTGCTGAATTTAGTTGAAGATACCCCGAGTCCTCCTACGTCGTCGTCTTTCAGAAAGTGGTGTGTTGTCGACTCGCTGTAGCTCTGCGTAAGGAACTAAGATGCCCTGTAGTCTCGTGGGAGACCGCCCAACTGACAAAACATATTATAGTTATTGCTATCTTTTAGTTGGCTATCCTGATAATTAAAGCTCAAGTCTGTAAAGCCTATATTCTCTTGTATAAGAGTCCTGCATATATCGAGAATGTACTCGGTGCCGTGTCCTACGGCCCCTGCAAGTTTAGGGGATATAAGAGATCCGAGCATGCTGAAATCCCCACATGCTTCCCTAGAGCCGTTGTCAGAGATCGACTCTTTGAGAAGTAGTATATTAGACATTGTTTGGTAACATGAATTACAGTATTCACAACAAAAGACCCAACCAAAAGGCTTTTCAACTGGCTCCGTCATAAGGGTGGAAGTGCACAGTCAACCAAGCGGGAATCGATCAATCGTCTTTTCGATATTTTGTTTGTTGACTCGGAGAAAAATCAATGGCTACCGCTTTTCGGATCGGGAAATGGGCCCAATTTTATGCTCATAGGGCGTGACCTTGAGCACTGTATCAACGGCACTGACTTTGGACCGAACGATGATCTCAAACTGGCGATGATGAACAAGCCAGATATGGCCCCCGGATGGTCAGAGGAAGAATTCTTCGCCTCATTACGCTCACATACAAGAATTCACGGAAGAGATGAGGTGATCTTCAGATCAGGCCTCACCCTTAACGTGAGAGATGTGCTCAATGAGCCAGAGGAGTTCGATCTCCCAGTTACCCGACTTGTTAAGAGAGGACTATTCGGAGTGCCCTATACTTGGTATTATTCACACCCGAAGTCCACCTTCAAACGTACTTCGGCAGATTTATGGTGCGATTGCATAGTTGTTAATGTGGACTTGACGTGATAAAGGTCGGACTTTGTCTGCCTCATGGGTTGTCAAACGAAGGAGAGACGAGCTGGCGTTATAGGGTATTGAAGGGGTTGCTCTCGTTGCAAGCTCTGTTCAGACTTGGTCTGATACGTTTTCCAGTGAGCATAATAATCTACCACAATGATCATAAGCCTCAAAACGAAGTCTCCAGTGGCAATAGATGGAATATTCACAGTTCAAATGTAGCTATCCTGCTGTAGATCACATCAATATCCACCGGTCTTCTAAGAGCTGTCCTTCGTGTTGTTGATAGCTCACCTTTGCTTGAGATGCGACATTAATATACCATGAGCAAAGAAATTCGCGGAGAAAGCCTTATAGTGAGTGGTTAGACTTTCGTGGGACAGGCGAGACAGCATGCCGACAAAACTTTCGGGAAGATCCAATATCAGCTTCCGGAGCAGCAGTGATATCGCTGAACGCGGATAGGCGGCACTTTTGGAACATAATGCTAATGCAACTATCCGTATGTAGTTACTCATTGTCCCGAGGCGGAAGATGAACATACGTTTGTACACATAAAGTAGAACTATTCAGCAAGTGGTTCAGAATGCTTAATAGACTCAGCAAGGGTCTTTGCTGCCTCCTCAAACAATTCAATCCTCCGACGACACTGGAGAAGCGCACTTCCCTGAACTTTGTTCAACTTCACCAATTTAATACAGCTTTGCTTAAAATAATGCGTTTGCTGCTGAGCCTTGGTCAGATCACGGCTCAGTTGAGACGAGCGCGCCATCACATTGCTTGCGGACTCCTGCGCTTGGTGCATGCCAGTTTTCAAAGACTCGTTTTCCCTTTCCAAAATCAAGATCCGTCTTTTCAGCTGCTCTATTTGCTGAATGTGTTGGCCCATCTGCGCCACTTTGGGGAGACCGCAGCTCTCGGGTCCCTCACTGAGCACGGCTTGAATAGCCCCGCCAACGAAGGAGTACAACTCTCGATATGCTTTCAAAGAATGTTTACTCAAGTGCTTGGTAAAAAGGTACTGAGCTTTAGTGTCGACAACCCATCGATAGCGATCGGCCGAACTAGTGATTAGCTTCACATCTGCAGGTTCGACTTTAATCTTGAGGCTCTCAACTACACAAGTTAGGATTTATTTGTTCAACACGTTCTGCGCAACTCACAGATATGGTCGGCGAGCCTTCGGCGACATTGTGACCGCCATCTAGCCCGCTCCTCGTTGCTTCGACCCTGCGAAGTCATTGTTAGAACTGGTCTCTCTGCTGTTGGCACTGCAGGCCTTTTCAAGCGTATGGGATAAAGCCCAAATTGGACGGGCTCAGACTCCGGAATCCGATCGTGGATTCCGACTTTGACGCTTTCTCTAAAGCATAGGAGTCAACTTCAAAAGCTATGACTTGCTATCGATATGGCAGAGACACATCTTTGATCATTCACTAACCGACATAACGTGAATGACATGTAAGTCGATTAATCATTGTGGCAGTGCCACCAACGATCCTACCGAAATTCTCTCTGAGTCGAAGAAGAAGTTGGACGATAAACTCAGAGGATCTATCTCGAGTTATCTCACAATTGATTTCAACGGCTGGAAACCTGTCAGAATCAAAAGGACGATACAGCTACAATCGAAGGGCTACAGTCCCAGGTTACCTATTCCGATGCCCGGCAAAGTTTTCAAGATTGATCCATGTCCTATGGTTGGCGGGGGTAGAGCACTGAAGTTCCGGGTCTTGGCAAGAGAGAATGGGATCACTTACCAACAACAGGTCATTGCTGCTTTTTCTCTGAGCTGAAGATCGTTTTCTACTTCGATGATGAATAGTTAGTGTTTGATTCTGGTTAGAAATTGGATCGCTGCGCTCCAAGGGCTTCCATGTAAGGACGGTGCAAGGAATAGGACCTGTCCTCCCCTACTAAGGCTTATGTATCGATCTATCTGCTACAGGACAATCATCGTCTTTGGATGAGCGAACTTTATGCCCGTTACGCCCTATGTTATTCCCTCCGGCTGTTTTCCGGAGCCAGAGATTTAAATCTGTAGGATCTTTCAGCAAAACCGATTATTGCGTTCAAAACTAGTCGATCAATGTTACCACCATGCACCTTCCCTTGCCCGCTCCAAGGTTGACTCCCGAGCATGGTTGCGATGCCGGTAATTTATCCCTCAAATCACGTCTTTCCTCTCGTAGTCTCGGGCTATCGACCACCAAGTGCACCAGCGTTTCAATTGCTCCTCACCCGCATCGATCATTATGCGTGAATTTTCCTTCGGGCATGGTTTGCCCTGCAGGATCGCCCTGGGTATGTTTGCCAAGAGAGAAGTATAATCTCGCGTGATGATGCCGTATCTCCTGCGCAGCCCGATTGTTGCGTTAAGTATTCAGATGATGGAGCACAGGATGCGACAAAGGCAAGGCGTTGGAAGACGAGATGAGAATGGTCTCCAACAAGCAAGTCTCTCGTACTCATTTGCCATGCAGGTCGCCGGTCCTCCTCTTACGGGAACTGGGACGGTGGCTACTATCGATAATCGAGAGCAGACCGGTTCACAAGAAGCATGAATGCCAGGGGGATAGGAAGTATTAAAGGTGTATGGTTGGGTTGTGTACATCGAGAGCTTTCACAGTTTGTCTCGCAATGGTCCATTAAATTCCTCACCGGTTGCGTGGATCGTTCGACCACGTTGGGGCCACATAAGGATGTCGCCAGGAATGGAATGCCGGTGCCATATCCGAACGGACTTGGGACGAACTGGGCATCAGTCGACCAGGGCAAGGTGCTACTATTGGCACCTCCGGGGTTTGAAACTTGCTCCTGAGAGGCATCGTCATGGTGATGTACAGAATCTGTCGACATGGGTCAACTTGGTCGACCATCATGCTGAGTAAACTGCCAACCGTGCCATGGGCGGTGATATGCTACTTTCGCTTTCTGGGTTAGCCCAGTGGCTGAGTTTCCATACAGTGTCGAGTTCCTTGGTAGGTGCCACGGTTGCGGTACGGAGCCTTGATTCGTCGATAGGGTTGTGAGCTGGCCTTGAAGAATATCAACAGGCCGGCAGTAAGATACTAGATGCCAAATTGTGTCAGAGTCACTAGAGTCTTTGACACTAATGGTCTTTTTGACTAGGCTTTGAGGTCTGAACTGGGCGATCTCGCTAACTACCCGTAAAATGGATGGCGCCAACTTTCGGTACCACTCTCTACCGGCACTGGTTGATCATCACTGGTCCTGACCGCTCTCCGTAGATGATGAACTCACGCAAGACGAGACTCTGGGTCCAGCGCCACCCATCAGTCCAACGCCGGACGCCAGCTGCCTTCTCTTCGTGAATGAAACTTGTCCGCTTAGTCCGACTGTAGGTGTTCTGAAAAGATAATTCACCTCCAGACGCAGAGAAAACTGCCCCGAAGGCCATACCAGCATCAGGGACAACCCAGGATAAAATCCTCTAAGCTAAATATACCACTTCCGAGACCGCCCATAATCCTGCCGTCCATCATCCCTCCTACAAGAATACTTCTAGCCGTAAGTCATAGAGCCATATGAGGGAGTATTGACTTACCATTGCCCAATAAAACGCCATGTACCATTTTGTAGGCGGAGGATGTAAGGCATCCTTGCACCGAGAAACGCGCATATGTAGTCTCCCTGCTGCACAGGCACGTTCGTCTGCCCAAGTAGTTGATGCCGCTGAGTCTTGAAGCAGGAAGTATTCAATTGGGCAACTTCTCGAGATTTAACGTTAGGCGGTCCCAGCGTAAGCTCGTTCTCGTTTTCGGGCAGGCGGACCGAACTCAATCTGCTGGACCAGAAAATGTTGCACTCATGTTCTTCCTCCGGGCTGGGTAAGTGCCAGCAGATTCTTTTGCCATAACTTTTGGTCGGTTCTAGGCTTGCTCGAAACTCAGCATCAAGGTCAACCCATCGCATTTCGACGGCCCGAACCCTGTCAACTTTAAATCCTTTCACCATCAATCTCTTGGACTCTAAGTCGAATTTGCATTTAGATGTGGAACCCCGGGTGAACTCCAATCGTATGGTTCTTGACTCTGAATTCGGATAGCGAGGTGACACGGTTACGCCATCCAAAAAGGCGAAGCTGTCACTTCTAGCTGAAGGCGCCCTCCAATCGGGACACCAATCAGGTAGTCCCAAATCCTGTTCATCCATTGCGATGCGATCCCTCTCGATCAGTTCCAAAAAGTTAACTGTGCCAGTGTAGTGGTACAGAACTTGGCAAACCCGCATGTAAAGTTGGCAGGCCGTGATCGCATAGTCAACCTCTAGCAAATCTGGACATTTTAACTCTTTCCCAATCCCCAGGAGCGCATAGATTTTGTCCCGCGGTTCCGTTGTATCTTTGTCTTTTGCCAATTCCAACAAGTTTGAAAAGTCATGGCGACTACTTCTCAGGCACCCATCTTTGACGAAAATCCTCAGCCGCTTGATTAACAGGAGGTTTGCGGCATTTTGCCTGAAAGTTCGCAGCTCCTCAGACTGATGAAAAATGTTGGACTCTTGAAGTTCGTCAATGTAGATGAAGGATTCCTTGAAGGATGCGGTAGCTCTCTCAATTTGATCCCATTCGGCAGCCCAACGCCCACAAAGGACGAATGACTTACGGGCCATGACGATTTCCTGAAGGACCCAGATACGCTGCCACCACGCGCGTCCAAGAAATTGCCCCAAAGCAAGCCAGTGGGCTCTGAATTGCTGATTTCTTACTAGGGACGAAAGTAAGCGTTTGGCATCCTCAGGGGCCATATCCCAGAGATCAGCGAGTCCGTGGAGCAGCCGAAAGGCTCGCAATGTATCACTTCCTTCCTCTCCCAGCCATACCACGACTTCCTCGGCTCCAGCATAAATATCTTTCATCATGGCTACCAGTCTGCTCCGCTCTTTTGGGTCTTGAAGATTGATGCAAAGACTGTCAATCCATAAGAGGCCAGGGGATACCATCTGCCTTTCTAGTGTTGCTGGATAACATGGTTCATCACAACATGAACAAACAAGATTCGTGCAGTAAAACAGGTTCGTACGAAGGCGACGGAGAGCGCACTCAAGATTATGACCTATTTTGACGGCCTTGCCATCCACATACATTGTTGCGGGGGTTGCAGAATCTCCCCAGCAATAAGATAATGCTTTATACTTGAAAAGTGGATCGCCCAAACAGGCCTGGTGGATCTTGCATGATAAGACAGACGAAGTTGGGCCTGGATGAAGTTCGAGGAGATGGATCGTTCTTGCAGGAGAGAGCGCGGAGAAAGCCATGTGAGCCATTTCCAAGGCTGCGTTTCGTAAATCTTGATATCGTTGGAAGTCCGCAGATGCTTCGTGAGAGTATCTCCGCGCCACTCGTACGCAGTTTTGGCGAATGCATGAGATGACCAGTGAAGACTTAATGATTACACCTTTCCTCAGAGAGGCCGACGTCTGTACAGAAAGTCAGCCTCGGCGACCAGGAGGAGGCTAGACGCCTGTCAGACATGCAGTGAAACACGAGAACTGCACTGAAACGAGTACCATGGTCGAGAAACCCTCTATCAAATGTGGATACAAACAGTCCCAGAGGATCAACATCTGGGATGCCGACGGATCAACCACACACAACCATTCCTAGCAATGACCATTCAGCTAATCAGAGCTCGACGGCTTCAACCGCAAATGATGAACAGTTTCTACTGCGGCATGAACAATCTGATTTGATCTGCCGGCGGCCAAGTTTGTCGTGGCCCTCTCACGCTCCGACTGTGTCTCGCTTTGACACCTGCTACCACATCGACTGGAATGAGCGACGTGGGAGAGATTATAGCTCCTATGTGCATTCACGCGAATTTGTTGCTGCGGCTGAAATTTCTGTGTCTCTGGGATTCTGGGGCAGGTTATTGGCCAGAATCGCTAACCGGTATGACAAACTGTGGGAAAGTAGTTTGCCTCCTGATGCCAGGCCTGCTCTCCAACACTTCTTCCAAGCATGGCACTAATCGCTCCATCGCTGTTGCCTACGCGGTCATCCGATTTACAGATACAGTAGGTAACGTCTTCGTACCGCCGCAAGCCAGCCACTCGTCTCTTGACTGGCATCCATCGCTGTATTGATGTCTACGTGCGTTTGATGCGAGAATAAGGCCACTGAAGGACTGGAGCATTTTAATCAGAAACGAAGAAACGGACAGGGCATTGGCTATCAGAGACTGCGAGATCCCAAGCAGAGATGTAGAGTTGCTTTGACTGTTCATCTGACGTGTTCAGTCGTTCTGACAGTCAGTCAATGATATCAACGCGAAAGGATGAGCCGTGAGAGCAAATGTAAGTACATTGGAGACCTTCGACTGGGCACTTACGAGACTGCGAAGAAGACCACGTGACTATAGTCTTTTGAGGGGTGCCTGACTTCTCCGTGTCTCACGTAACGACGTATTGAGGCGGAAGCGATTTGATAGACATGTGACCAATTCTTAAAACATCTTTAATTAGCCACTCTACTATTGATCAGCATCTTCAACCGACAGGAGGATGGAACTTTTACTGTACCGCCCGAACCTTTGGCTTTCACAGAACCACTCCCCCTCGCCGATCTAGCGCCGTATGAAACCCCCTCGTTGCCAAGAAGCTTTGTGGCCCTGTCGTCCGCTTTTCATGCGATGTTACATGTGACCAGTTTGGGCGCTTACATTCCCGACCGCAGCAGCAAAAGGAGATGAAGCCGCCCATTCTTTTCTCCCTCATTTCGAGCAACAATGGCGCGACGAGACAGTGTAACCGCTCAGAAGACCAGAAGACAGTCACTGAAGCTACCACACCAAAGTCATGTATGCGCTTCGTCTCCCAGGACTCGACTGACCAGCAAAGGGAAACGCCGTCAAAACATCAAGAACGGACAAAAACAAAACCTTCTTCGACGGAGCACTCGTTTGCACCGCTTGAATGACATTACTGAGAATCAAGCAGAAGCCAGCCGGCAGCCTCTACCATCTCCATTTAGCGACCTTAAAAGTCCTAATGTAAGTTACCAACGGCATGTTGTGATGGGACACTAACCGAACACAGAGCGCGCAAGCACCTCCTACCCTACTACTATCAAAGCCTCCGAAGCGGAAACGAGAAACTGAGCAGCAGCTGCCCTCTCCGAAACGAGCGCGAACATCTCGTCCTAGATCCTCCCTTCTGGACGTTGATTCTATAACATATTGGACGGAGACATCCCACTGGCCGCGAGGATACTTCAACGAAAGTGGCGAAATGAGTCATTTATTGGCGAGAAAGAAATCCAGCGCCTCGCTTCGTCGAAAGCGATCGGATAGCGACTCTGGCGCACCCAGCTCAACCACACCGAGTGATCAAAAGGCCAGGGAGGAGAAGAGTTCTCCTTATAAGGACGCACGATATGAAGCTCTACTCGCGGCAAAAGGGAGTTTCATGGACGCATCAGATCTTGGTGTCGACGATAAAAGTAGGACTCTTATCCGAGGGTTCCTGGAGAAAGCGCAGCCTGTACCAAAGGACTCGCTCTTTCGTGAGGACCTGTTCAACTCAACCTTCCGTAAGATACGGAACAGAAATGACACCCGGGTTATTCGAGACATTTCTCAGTTGATCGTGCCCTCAGCAGAAACCTTTGCAACCTATGGTGCTACTGCTCTTGATTGCTTGATTGAAAGCACTAACGAAGGCTGGAACAATTCTATTCCTGTTACTAAAACACGACCTCAACCAGACTACTCTGTGGGGTTCCGACGAGAAGCATTTACCGAGACTCAACTTCAGAAACTTCAACCATTCGTTGGCGAGCTCACCGATAACTCCTTCTTCATGGGTACGTGGTCCATGTACTTTCCCTTCTTCTCAAGCGAAGTGAAGTGCGGTGCGGCCGCACTCGATGTTGCAGATCGACAGAACGCGCACAGTATGACGCTCGCGGTTCGAGGAGTTGTGGAATTGTTCCGACTCGTTAAACGCGAGAGAGAGCTTCACCGCCAGATCCTCGCGTTTTCCATCTCACACGATCACCGATCGGTTCGGATTTATGGCCATTATCCTGTGATCGAAGGCACAAAGACCTCGTTCTACCGGCACCCCATTCGTACGTTCGACTTTACAGAACAGGATGGCAAAGAGAAGTGGACGGCCTACAAGTTTACCAGGAGTGTCTACGATACCTGGATGCCCGCTCACTTCAAAAGGCTTTGCGCGGCAATCGATGCAATACCACCCGATATACATTTTGAAGTCTCCGAGGATTCGGAGCTACAGTTTCCGTCCTCATCTGGACTTTCACAGGGTCTGGAAAGCCATCACCTTTCGGAGCAAGGGGCTATGGATGACGAGGGGCTGAGCCTCCTCGATTCCCAGGTACTGACACCAGAAACTTCTGTTACCCAAATATCAGAACAGGCGACATTCAAGAAACCCAAAAAGAGATGAAACCTCTAATCAGAGAATACCTAGACAATACGAGTGGGAGTTTACAATGGCGGGAGAAGCAACAGACATTAATTGTTTCGAACAAGACCTGCAGGACGTCCCAAAACGCACGGAGAGGAGCTTTCGCGGTGCTCCAAACGTGTTTCTCGTTGTCTTGAACTCCCCAGAGAATTAATTCGCGCTCTATGTCCTTATGGAAGTTGATTGAGCTACAGTACCACGGAACATTGGCAGAAGTGTCCTTTTGTGAATGAAGGCGGTAGCTTGGCGATTGTGAAAACTGGCAGCTGGGGATGGCTCCATAGGTATGCTATCACATAGGAGTCGTCGTTAATCTTCCTGGATCGCATTGTCAGTCCAGAGCGGCGGAAAAGATCCAAGGTACGAAGCTACTTCTTCGTGCCAGGAAATGGTACCATGCTATGATACATAGTGATAGCAGACAGGGAGAAGCATATTAAAACGATTGAGGACGGTCTCAGGGTGACGTTACGTTTAGCATAGATGGAACAATATCTTCTTCGCCAGGATCATTGGAAATATCCTGTAGCCATCTCTGAACATTTGGAATTCTCGAATGCTTCACGAGCACCAAGATCGGAAGCCTCAGAAATGTCCGAGTCGCATTCCGATGATTGCCGATATATCCATGGATGCATATGATCTCCGAAAGCTGGAAACTGTTAGGCTCCTGTTTGAAGGTTTTCTTGGAAAAGCGGTCGTTGAAAGCACCGCGTAGTAGATCAAGCAAGTGTACTAGCCTAATTCATTCCCAGTGGGAGAAGCATTACAATAGTCACATGGCAGAATCAGGCCTACATTGCTCGCTTTACCGCCGACGTGGCTTGTTTCACGCTTCACCAAACATGCCAGCGCGCTCCTACAGCAAGGCGAGAAACGGGTGGTGAAAGTCGTCTCAAAATATAGAGTCCTCGTCTCCTACTGTATCCCTTGGACTTCATTTTCACGTACACCACCGATTGCCTTCATGGCGCCACATTTTTCTTTAAGCTGAAGTCCGCTCAATAATAACTTTGATTTAGTATGCACATTCGGAGTCCGGAGTACCGAAGGTCAATGATCCAATTTTTGCTGGTGAAGAACGAGTGAAACTCCCAAAAAGCCCCGGAGGCCCCAAGTTGTGGTTCCGTACACAAAGCTTACAAGTGGGGCTATTCGTGCCGCTTAGTGCATGACACCACTGGTGGCGCCCAGATTCCCCCTTGTTTAATCAAAGTGGTTTTTGATGGACGCTTACAAGTGCCTTCCCTCCTTCAACAACTTCAGCCTCTAGACCAAACAATCCGTAGCCGGCTTTCACACCCGCTCCTTTTTCTTTGTTTGACCTACCGGCACTCATCACCCATGACGACCATTATAGCGAAGTTTGTGCATCTAGACGGGTCAAAAGTGACAGAGAGGATCGTCGGACTGGGTGGGACTGGCATCGTAATACAGCAGGGGCAGTATGCGCTCAAGATACCTCGACTGTCTAGGGACATCGAAATCGACGGAGTACTTCTGATCAACGACAGCTCAACCCCTGAAGCAGGCGACTACGATATACGGTCTGATCTTATTAGCTCATTAGAGCGAGAAAGGGCTGTCTACAGAAGACTAGGGAATTATCCGGGGATCGTACACTGCTATAACCTATCATCAACTGACCATTCAATTCAAATGGATCTAATGAAGAAAGGTGATCTTCGACATTACTTGGCTCAACTCGAAATAAGGCCCGAAAAAAAAATCCAACTATCCTGGCTTGCAAACATGGCACAAACCCTAGGGTATATCCACGATCGACGTGTTATAGTCGCCGATATTCGGTTGGATAATCTCTTACTCGACGACCAGTTAGCCATTCGCTTCAGTGATTTCGGGGAATCAACATTGATGCCTCTTGATTGGGATCTGGATGGCGACGACGATGATGGTTACTCAATTTTGACTGATCTTGGACAATTTGGTGCAGTAATGTTTGAGATTGTGACTGGTCAAGGTTGTAAATTTGACCTTATGCAGAACTGGAAGGATGTAGGGGACCCATTAACTTGGCCGCGACGAGACACTCTACCATCGACAAGCGATGTATGGCTAGGTCATATTATCGAAAAATGCTGGACTCAAGGATTCAGGTCAGCAAAAGACCTGGCAGAAGAGTTGGACAATGTCGTTCTTAACGAGAACTGAGTGCAACAGTGCGGACATTACAGCAGGAAACATGGGCAATACATGAGTGCAGCGCGAGCGGGAAGCTGACTCTTACCGCGGTGCGGTCGCAGGACCTGGGCGAGCGAGAGGCTGTAGATATTGGGTGACAGTGTGCGATAGTTCACGGCACAGGTATCATTCAGGGACAAAGTCGACCACATTGAGCCTGTCTACAGCTGGGAGATTCCTTGCCGTTTCACCATACTTGAATACATTCCGCAATTAGCCACTTGTTGGTCATGGAAGGGTCGAACGCGTTGAGCGTTTACCTCACCCAATAAAATTTAGCTGAAGGTCATAAGGCAAAACAAATACAAGGCGCAGTGTCTCGACTCGTCCTTTAGACTAGTCCGGCCCCTCCGCGGCGCTTAGCAGTGACATTTACCACGCGGAGGAACATATAAGACGGTTCTGGGACCCATTGTTCAGATCTTCTTTGTAGAGTTCATTTTACATCACGCATATTAGAACTAGCTTCTCATTACCGATCATGTCGCACCAGAACTACTGTGGCTGCAAGAATGTTCACCCAACTCCAAGAGAATTCAAACGATGCACCAAAAATCCGAATAGCCATCTTCCGTGCTACCATTACGAACCTCCTACTCAGCGCCTCTACCCTTGCGAACGACAAAATGGGCCCCACGTCGTCGAGCAAGTCCATCCCGCCTCATCTACGGTGAGGCAGGGAAACTGTCCTAACCATCGGTCAGAAGACTACTGGTACTTCAATGGGAAACAGTTCACAAAACCGAAGACTGGCGGTGCGGGTGCAAGGGGAGCGGGACCAGCTAACATTACGATCAAGTAACGGCAGCAGGCTTTCCAATGGATGCTGATGGCAAAATGCCATGCAGCTGCCGGTGCCGGGCTGGATATGGAGGGGGCTTTCAAAACCGAGGGAGACCCGACAGCGGCACTCAGAGACGGCCCATCCAAGAGACCACGGCTGACAGTACACGCCAGGTTTTCCGACAACTCCCAAAGGTGCTCTTCGGAGCAAACAGCAGATCCTGGATCTGCGACAGCCCGATGGGATGTGGCCAACTCGTCAAAGCCAGAGAGTGATCTGAGGGCTTCGGAGATCTGTCGTATGGTTCATGACATAGAAGAAGACGCGAAAGCTAGAGTCAGCTTCCCAGAAGAATCGAGGCAACGTGCCGAAGTCTTCATCCAAGGGTGATCGTGGGAAGAAGCGTCCTTTCTTTTACATATTGGATAATGATATCTCCGTTTTGCACGCCTTCGAAGCAAAGTCGTTAGGACATGAGAAACTCATTTTTCTGGCGCAGGGCGATAATCCCACCAACGAAACAAGACAAGCCAAACAGTTCGACACATTCATCCAAGTCCGTACCTCACTGTATGCTCTGTGAGTCAGCCACCTTGACAGCGATTATTGGGGTATGCTATATAGGCAAACAAACAATGGTGCCGTACAGGGAGATTTGGTGGTCGAGCAGATGAGATGCTCGGCATATGGATCAGAGAGCAAAAGGAGCCGGGCCGGGCAAAGACTGCGCGTCCTCTCACCGGCGGTAACGATATCGAGGGATTGAGAGCGCCGGCTGGAGGAAGACTCGGGCTCGGATCAGGTAGAGAAAGATCAATTTTGCTTCAGCGGCCGCCCGAGACCTGGCGTATAGCCGTGAAAAGGGTTGAGAGAGTCTGAGAGTCCTGAGCGTGAGCGTATAGGCATCAAGGACGGCGGTCGTGCTAGTTGATGTCGATGAGGATGGTATATCGAGAGAGCATTTGAGGCAAATGATGTAGGCTGACAACAAGCGAGGGGAAAACCTCTGCGCGTAGTTGTGTTCAACTTGTACTATTGTCGTGTGGTGTCTGAGAGCCATTAAAGGCGCAACGATGAGAGACATTCGGCGTTTTCTTAGGGCGCCGAGAGCCCTGCTTCTCTTGACCGTGGAAAGCTGACCACAGAAGTCAAACGGTTCTTGCTGTAGTCCGCGCACCCGCTTCGCCGTCAGTGGTAGCTGAAGAATGAGGATCTCGAGCTTTCTCTCGTTCTCGCCATCAGGAGGTCTGTCACATGAATTGAGGAGGAGGTGGACCGCAAACGGATTATCACCGACGTTGGTGAGAATTAGAGGACTACTACAGTGTACTCCACAAAGACCGAGGGTGAGCGTGAAGGTGGTCGAAGGCTATTGTACACACACCCCGAAGAGATCGCAAGCTCGTCGAAGAAGGAACTTCTCTCGTTGACAGTCTCGCCGAATCTGTTTCGTTGCGTGCTCTTGACGACGCACGCTGGTGATCGCAAGTTGCCGTTTCATGTTAACTGGGACACGATCCTGGGAGCGCGGATGTTCACCAAGGTGCGCAGAGAAGACGCGAACCCTACGCTGCCGGATGTTGCTTGAGGGATTTTGAGCATCGTTGCAGAGGCGAAGACCGACTGTGACGAGCTCGATGGATACTCGGTCCAGTCCCGCCGATGGCCCAATCGATGTTCCTGACCGCCAGCGGTTGCCCAGGGATCTTCTTCAGACAAAGACGTAAATGTCGGCTTCGGAATACTGAAGATCGACCTTCGAGGCAGAGATGCACCGACGGAAGGCGTGGATGAAATTAGAAATTAGAAGGCCCAGTGGTTGTGTCGCGTACGAGTCCCGTCTACGTAACGACGTGCATTCATCTCGAGCCTCGTTTCTTCACAGTGTAGAATACCAGACTGTCCCTCCGATATCGCCAGCTCGTCGGCGGCTCCCTGTCCAATCGACGAGGGTGGTGGAGCGTTGAGGGTGTGACGGCCGCTGTGACGGCCGCCCCTGAGACTGCTGCCTGGCGGTCCGCAGCACCTTCACCCCCGCGGGCACCCGGCTCACCCGGCGAGGGTGAGGTAGGGCGGCGCCGCTCACCCCCTCGAACCGGACGGGGAGGCGTGCCAACAGCCGGGACATTCGCTCTGAGCTCGCGGGGCGCTCACGCAGACGGTGCCGCTTTTAAAACGACCTGCTCGAGACTCACCCTCTTCTCACTTTTCTTCTCAACCTCCCACTCACGCTCTCACGCACCCTCGCAGCGACGGTCTGATTTCTCCTACAGTCCCCTTGGTACGCCCCGTCCCAAGATGGGTTCCATAATCGGCGACAACCCGGGGGATTCCATTTTTGGATCCCTGCGAAGGGGTCTTGACTTTCAGACCTGAAGTCTGCCGCTCCCCTCCTCTCTCGTCGACTTCCGGACCCCGGGTACAGAATGGCGTCCCTCTCGCCTCTGAGATTACAGGCTACAATCTTCCCTTTCGGATTCTGCAACCTACAGGGCCGCCCCCCTCCCCCCCCTTCTCGGGGGCTCCCTCGCTCTGTCACTATTGCTTCCCGACGAGCGAAGTCCAAGCTCCTCGAGCTTTCTACGCCGACCACCATGGGGAAGCAGAACACCACGACAGACGAGCTATGGGCTCGTGCTGAAGCCAACGGCTATCAAGAGAGGAGCACACAACGAGACAGACAAGGTCCGTGATGCAGAAAAATACGTTTCTAAGACGAACAAGGATCACGACCGAACATTACATCGGTGTCTCCAGTAAGAAGCCCAGGCCGATGTCATGTCCTCCCTCCCGGCTCTCTTTCTCTACAACGTCATCCTTAGTGTGATTCATTGCCTCCTTGCTTGTGACTTGCACGGTTGTCCGTGTTGTACTTCGCTAAGTAATCTGGAGTGTTCTTTCCGTCCTCCGTGCCTGAATCCCTACGTCCTGTCGTCATCGGTCGCGGATTCTGGGAATTACCGTACGGTATCCAGCTCAAATGAGACAAGAAGCGAGAATCCACTTGTAATATGTCGAAGTGCCCCTCTCGCGGAATGACAGCCATTTTCCCACGAGCGCGAAGAGCCAATATCGAGAACTCGGCCCGGCTCGACGCCGCAAATTTGAGATGGAGAGCAGGCAACAATGCAGGCACACGGGCGATCAATTTGTGCGGCATTATTGTGACTGGACGCAGGAAGTGCGGTACTCACCTTGCAAGGCCTCTGCACCAAAAAAGTAGGTGCCCCTCGCGGGTTTCCCTATCGTTCTCCACCAGTGTCGTGACGTAGAATCCCAGTAGCGACAGCGCGGCAAGTCGAGTGTAAAACCACGACAACCGAGGTTGTTTTCATAATGCTCTCCCAACTCTTTCACAAGTCTAGAACCAACGCCAGAGAATCGCATCGTACAATTCATCCTCACGAGGCAGTCCAAAGGGACATACGGTTGCCGATCGCCTCAGGACCATTGGCGAAGGGAGAGATGATCGCCCGGATGAGCTGAGCCTGCAGGTTGTGCGGCCGGGAGAGTCAAATGTCTCAAGTAGGAGTTGGAGGCTTGGAGGCGGGTAAAACAGGCTGCGCCCAAGGACGCAAAGGCTGTAAGGATCGAGTATTGGGAGGGTGATCGGGGTGCATTGGGAGAGGCGAGGCAGACTTCGAAGTTCGTTTGTGGAGAATCGAGGGGGGCCTGATGCGGCAGAGAAGGATGCAAGCGGTAGAGCGTGACGCACGACGAGTGCACCAGGGCGACGCAGGTGAGACAGGAAAACAGGTTGACGGGAAGACAGTTGGGTAGGGACGAGGATTCTTATAGACGTCACAAGCGGCGGCGCGGCCAGCCCGGTCCATACCCGAAACGGCAGGACCGCCTAAACCGCAGGCGGATTTCCCGGCAAGAACCTTTACTATAGTAAAGATCTAGTAAAGAAAATTGAGACACTTTGCAAAACAATACTATCTCAACCCGTGTTAACGCATCTCTAATATTATAGCTACCCCAACCTAGCTTCATTGTCTGATTCCGTCTTTACAGCTACTTACACCCAGTTTAACAGTCCTGGATTTTTGGCTAAGAAGCATTTTCCAACGCCTGAATGCCACCCTAACTAGGCACTCTTAATGCAGTGTGAGAAGCTCCAGAAGGCTTTGTCGAGCCGGCATAGCGGCTTCAACGCGAAGTACTCTTGCGCACTATTTCTTTCATTCCCGAGCTAATCAATACCTCTACCATTCTGTTCAGACCATGCTACATTCAACGTGCATAATACTGTTGTTGGTGTAACCGCAACCGTATAATTGCTTATCGTCCGGTCCTCTCCCACGTCTGCTAGACCCGAAGTAACGCTGTGTAAGCACAAGCTGACAATGCATCCATATTGCCCTGAACCCAATCCCGAAGAGGCTCATCTGCGGGCTCAAGGATCTTGAAGTGAGTGGGTTGAACACCTTTCTCCCCTTTGGGCTACATTGTTCCTGCAGTAGAGCACGTTTTTTGTCTTCATGTATGTCGGGGAATGCAAAGTCGCCATATGCGAGAACAAGAAGCTCAGAGAAGCCATTAGGTCCGAAAACCCAGTCAGCAAAGCTGTCTATTTCCTCGCGATTAACATAAAATTCGTGGTCGCGCCTAGTTAAAGAGTCCCCTGCGGCTCTCAGATGCAGAAGTCTGCAAGAAACGTCCTTTGCGTGTGGCTGGAGACATTTTCGCTTTTCCCGAAGTCAGCAATTTAGACGTCAAAGATTGATTCCACTCACCGCAAAGGTAGGAGGATATTGGATCCCGACGACATCACAATCTCCTTTCGTGAAAAGCTCAAAGAAACCCCCACAAAAGGTTGGGTCACCGTCCGCTTCTTCCTCAAAATACGGGCTTTCGTCGTCAATGTCGACAGTTCGCGCATGTATGGCGACACGCTCCAAAGTCTCTAAGTGACTGCAAACGGAGTCCACGACCTCATCCCACTGCACAATAGGCAAGCAGAGGTACAAGTCTCTAAGACGTGAGAGCTTCCGCAAGAATGGGGGAACCGTAAACTCCAGTCCCAACGTGTCATCATTGTTGCCATACTCGTACCCGCATGTTACCTCGAGAGATTCTAGTTCCAAATCTTGTCGGGCCTCAGTCAGATGCTCCAGCAATTTAACCGTCTGTAGGCAATTCCAGAGCTTGAGTTGCTTCAATTGGAAGATCGAAAACGCATTGACCAGCCGAGTGATGGCGGAGTCAAAGGACACCTGCCTGAGGAGCAGATGCCGTAACACAGGAAAACAGACACCGCTACTTCGCCTGTCGGCATCTAAAGGCAGGCCCAGAATGTCATCGGCGAAGAAGTTCTTGCGTCGAGTGGGCTCGTCTAACCATCGTGTATGATCTATATACCAAAAGTCGTCGGCTTTTGACCAGTCCATGAGATCAAGGTTAAGAACTTCCAAGTGTCCCGCGTTTGCAGCAAGGCAGTCTTTGATTGCATCAAAATCTTCCTTGGATTGAGGTCCGGTCCAGGAAAAGCTCCGAATGTTAACAAACTTCGTCAGATCGTATTCGTTCTCGCCCTCCATTGTCATATCGCAACACCGGCCACCATCGACGCACCTGGAAAGCAATGAGTCACCGCACTGTATTTTGTACTAGCTGGTTGTTCACAGTTTAACGGAGACCTTAGGCATCTTGGTGCCTGGACCACCGTTTTCCTTAATCAGATTCCTTGCTCTCAGTACGACGGATAATTTAACTACCCCGTACCCTGGCGCACCGCCAGGCCTATGGTTACGGGGAAATTTAGGCAACAGTGTAAGGGCAGGGAATATTCCAGGTTCACTAACGCCTATCTGGAAAGGATGCCTGGCCGAGAGGCAAGTATAGCCGAGGCCTAAAGGGGATCCTTGAGCCCGAACTGGCTTCTAGCATTGGGCGCTCCCTGTGGCTCGCGCAGTGCTCCCCATAGTCTGGCCGGGCTCCCACAACGCTCTCCCCTGCTCAGCCGGGTCTCCTCGATGCTCCGTCACGTGCCCGAGTAAAGCAGCCTCGCTCCCTTTCCTGAACGAACATGGTAAAGGATAAAGCACAGTTCGGGGCATATATAATATATATATATATATATGGAAAATTGTTACAAGGACGTACAGCACATGGGACATGAATTCAACGAGACATTGGCTTTTTGGTGATTATCAACAAATGTGATCTCCAGAGCACGTCCTCCGCACAAAGTTCAGCCCAGATTCCTTGGGTTTTTGGCAAAAGAAGGCATGCTGGAGCAAAGCGTCTCCAGCAGTCCGCACTACGCTTTGCGCACACCTAGACATCAGGACACACAGTGGTATGGGATGGCTTCCCAAATTCTAGAGATACTCAGCCACACATTGACTCGGTTGCGACAAATATGAGACCACAGATGTGTTTCTGCTGGATGTAACGAGAGTTCTGCTAACTTTGTATCGTCATCCAACTCCCGAAGAGGGAGAGGGAATTACTGGTGGCGCAGTCTCCTCGCTAATCTGGGCACTACTAATAATAGATAGCTGGAATCTTTTGTTCTAGATTCTCGATGGGCCGTGCACGAATCGTTCCCGCGTGATGGACTTGCCTTTTTCTTCGAACCAGGTGTCTGTGCTGCGAAGATACCTGTGCATGGGCCAGTAGTCCTACGGCTCGAACACCGCCCAGATCGTCATTCTGTTGCATCTGTGCAATTCAGTCCACGCTGAAACTAGTTAACTTTGATAAAGCTGAACCTTGTAGCGGCAATATACTGCGCTTCAAGCAGAGATGCCCAAGATATATACTCCCAGTAATCAAGCATGGGAAAAGTCCAACTTGCACGACAATCTATCAACACTGAGGACACAACATTGATAAGATTGCGACAACAAGCACTATGGTTCAGACTCTTGCGCAGACGGTCGAGGAGCGATATCGCATCGGGAGTGTGAAGCTACAGACGACACCGAGACCACCCCCAGTCATTGATTTTTCATGTACGCGCTCTACACAGGATTAAAGGCACCTGCTAATGTTATGGTAGCTTTCTATGGCGATGATGACCATATCAAGGCGAACCTTGTGGAGCAAGTCAAAGCCGCATGTCTGGAGAAAGGATTTTTCCAAATTACCGGACATGGTATCTCTGAAGACCTTCAACAAGCTATGATGGAGCAATCCAAAGACTTTTTCGCTCTACCACTAGGACAAAAAGAAAGATACGACCAAGGTCAGTTTTCGAATACACCTTGTAAAGTCCAGTGCAAGGGATGAATCGGTCATGTACTGACGCAGTGGACCAACAGCGAGCCATCCAAACAGACTAGGCTATGAGCGTTTACGATCACAGAACTTCGAGGGCAAAACGTCTGGCGATCTCAAGGAGGGCTTTTTCTTCGGGAAGGTCTTTTCCTCAACACCATCCTTACGTTCAAGAAGGCAGGCTGCACTGTGGCCAAAACGTCTACCCAAGCGAGCTGCGTGACCAGGATCGCTTCAAGACAACGGTGACCCAATACCACCAGGCAATGACTGCTTTGGCGGAAGATATCACCCGCCTCCACTGCATTTCTGGTGATGATGTTAGTTGTGGAGGGCTGAAGATATCCGGATACTACACCCCAGGGACCTTCCAGCAGTATGTCCTTAGCAAGGCGAACTATGTCACGCCGATTCCAGAAGACCTTGCTAGTGAGATAGCTGCTCCGCTCTTGTGTGGCGGGGTGACGGTGTATTCTGCTCTCAAGAAGTCAGGCGCTCAGCCAGGAGACTTTGTTGTGATACCCGGATGCTCGGGAGGATTGGGACATCTAGGTTTGCAGCTGGGAAGCCGTGTCTTTGGGTACAGAATGATTGTAAGAAACATGCTGGTCACCCCTTGGCCTCTGACAGTACGCTAACTTGTGTCTAGGGCATTGATTCGGGCGACAAGAAAGCCATCGCAGAGGAGTGTGGCTGCGAATTTTTCTTCGATCTAGGAGCGTACAGCCGGGATGAGGAGGGTACCGAGAAGCTCATCGAGGACATCAAGAAGACCAGCGACGGGCAGGGAGCAACGGCGGTTGTCCTCTGCACCGGCAGCAAAGCGGCATATGATATGTCGATCAGGTTACTTCGAACCAAAGGGACCGTGGTTTGCGTGGGAGTTCCCAATGGTGATGTGACGCCTATCGCAGGAGCGGATCCGGGAACCTTGGTGGCGAAACAGCTCAAGATTGTTGGCAGTGCTGTGGGCAACCGCCTCGAGGCAATCGAGACCCTAAACTATGCTGCAAGGAGGTTGATCAAGACCAAAATCACGGTTGAAAATCTGCAGAGCCTGAACGAGGTGTTTCGGAAAATCAAGGATGGTCGGCTCCAAGGGCGAGCTGTGATCTCTCTGACGGACTAGTCGATCTGACGATCCGAGCATATTCCTTGTGAGAGATGCTAAGGAACAATGGGCCCGTTTATAAACCGAATTTACGACAGCCACACTTCACAATGGTTGTATTCGATACCCTATACGTGCAGTTATAGTGACTTAGGTGACATGAATGCGAGTATCTCTCTTCGCGAAATCCATTATTCATAAGATGAATCGTGCTAAATAGTAAGTAAAGCATTTCTTCTCTGCAAATTCGTATCTTATTTACATGAAAGCTGTCTTATGGAGCTAAGACGCATGATCCCGCCGCACATCCTTACCTGAGGTCCTTACTTCCTTGGATATATGCTTTTCAACGGTATCACGATGAAATATCCGCTGTGTCTCTGGTAAGGCATACATTGACTGCTATCCCTACTACTAAGGTGCGACATCGATTTCTACCCTGTTTGAGGCCACCCACCATTTACTGCAAGGACCTGACCGGTAATGTAGCTGGATTTCTCGCTCAGAAAGAAGATTGCTGCATCAGCCAACTCTCCAGCCTCACCCCAGCGCTTCAGAGGGACTTGAAGACGCGCCCAATCCATGATATCCCCTCGATCTTGGTGACCATAGACGTCTTTGTTCTTGCCCTCCTTCTGGTCCGGCATTTGAACCTGAGCCAGTGGGGTATTCGTCGCACCCGGAGCAACCATGTTCGCCCGCACACCGTACGGGGCTCAGTCAAGAGCCCACATCCGTGTGAGACCAAGGACAGCGTGCTTGGCGGCACTGTAAACGGCGCACTGAGGGAACCCGATTAGAGCAGCGCTTGATCCGAATGTGACAATGTTGTGCTTGGTCTCATGGATAGGCGCGTTCTCGGCCGCAGGCTTGACCTGCTCGCGTACTCTAGCAAGGAACTCGGTGGTGGCGTAGTAGCAGCCGTTTGTATTGATTGCGAACGTCTTGTCGTAGACGGGATCGCTCTCGATCAGGCGGCCTGCGTCGTCGGCTGGCGCGGCCCCGGCAGTATTGACCAGGCCATAAACATCTGGAGATATTTCGTAGACCTTCTTAAATGAGGCCGCGACCTGCTGACGAGATGCAAGATCGACCGGAATATGTTTGTGAAGTTTGCCAGTGGTAGGGTACTCGGCATGATCTTTGGACAATTGCTGAATGTCGATGATATGCACAGTAGCACCGACCGAAAGTAGTTTGCTGACAATTTGGTAGCCTATAAATACGTAACCTTTAGCATCACATACCTCCGTTCCCATGGGCCTAACATTGATTGGGAAAGGAGAAGGCTCACCCATCCCTGACGAGCCGCCGGTGACGACGACCGTCTTATTCCCAAGCCACTCAGTCATGGTTGTGTTGTGATATTACCGGCTAAGCTGTGTCTGAAGGTGCTCTTTAGGCCACGCATATAAACTTGACGAACGAGAAGGCACCCTGATCTAATTCTACAATGCGTCTACTTTATGCTCAAGTATCTAGTGAACCCGGTGAACCATATGCTCAGATCTCTCGTAACCCATCATTAGGTCAACGCTTGGTTTGACAAAGTGTTGGCGAGTGGAGAATCAAGCCTAATCATCCCTGTTGCGTAAATGGGGCGCGACGACCCCCACTGGATCTTGGCTGACATTTGCACCGTCTTCATAGGATTTTCAACCCAAGTACCACATGAGATGGCGTGCACTCCGCGCAAAGAAGGCTCCTTCTTGGTGACAGCCCCCTTCTCAAGTAAGCTATCGACCTTTTTGGCATCGGACAGGAGATCAATTTCATCGATATTATGTCGTTTGGCAGTACGAGTGTTAGCATGACTGCGGTTATATGAGTCCAAGGCCACTGTACAGTTTTCGATTGCGATTGACCCGAGCTCCTCCTGCAGTAGGGAATGGGAGTCCCTATCAGACTGCGGTCGGGTCGTCATAATTGTGGGTAGATCCAGACGGTCCGAAGGAGGCTTGTTAGAATCAATTCTGTATGGAAGAGAAGGAGTAGAGTGCGGTGTACGGGGTATGCAGGGAAAAAGAGTGAAGTGGTATGAGACGTGAGTCAAAACAACAGGAAGACAGCAATTGATGTGAATTAACATGGCATCTGTAAGGTGCGGCAGAGAACCGTCATTCAGTATCGCAGGTGGGAACCGGTATAGTATTCGGAGTGGCATCTGGAGTAATATACAGAGTAGCAACTCGAGCCGCAACTCGAGCGGTATCCGGAGTAGCATCTGAAGCAGGGATTTTAATACTGCTGTAGTTGAAATCAATATAACACCTAGAGGTGTATATGGAGCTGTGGAGCACTATATGGAGCGGTGTTTGAAGTACCACCTGAAGTGGTGATTTCCACTACCGCGGTAGTGGAAATCAATATAACATCTAGAGCAGCGTATGGAGCAGGGTGTAGACACTGTATGGAGCAGTGTCTGAAGTACCACCTAAAGAAGGGATTTCCACTTCATCGCGCGGGGCATCTATCTTTTGCGAATGATCTGCTTGCGCCATCACTTCACTAGCATTTAGATAATTGTATCGCCGATCGATGATTCGTTTCATACGAACATGGCAATGGAGCATGGTTGTCGGACGAAGAATTTTGCTATTCTCTTGTCAATTTGCAGATTATTGTCGATAGAGCCAGAAGCTGCGTCTCTGGCAAGAAGTCATAAGTCTCTCCTATCAGGAGAAATACAAGAGCACATAGAATTTAAATTTCGCCAGCTCAACCCTTACAAGGCCGTGTGTAGCACTACGTTTTGACAATGGTTTATCCATTTTGTTAGTTTTACCACTGATGAAGCGATTGGGTAGTATTGCTGCCGTAGAGCGATCTTATCAACCATCGACCCAGGACAAGGATGTCTTGAGTCTTTTTCTCTTTCAGAGAGAAAAACGTATCATGGTTGCAACCCACGCTTGGCAGCCTCCAACAGCACTTCGACCACTTCCTCCGGGTGACTGACCATTGGTACATGGTCCGAATGGATCTCTTTAATCACAACATTGGCTCCCTTCTCTCTAGCTTTATCAACCATTTCCCGCTGGAGCTGAGGAGGAATGACAGGATCATCGGTGCAAACCAGAGACGTTGCGGGTATTTGGAGATACCAGGCAAACGCCAGGGGATCTTTAAATGTCCTTGAGCTGTGTTTCAGAAGACGACTGGCGTATTCCGTCCGCTCGACGGCAGAGCTATGGGCGAAGATGAACTCGCCCTGTGTCTTTGGATCCATGGTCAGGTAGTCCGTGGGCTTTTGGGTGTCTTCAGGCATTCTGCCCTCCTTGATCTTATTGATGAAGTGTTAAGGATATGAGATTATGCTCGGACTCGAAATGTTTCCTCATTGATTTTTTTTTTTTATGTATTTATCTTTTCAATCATGGCTCCCATCCTGCATATATATATATACACTCTTCAGAGGGAGATTCCCCAGGTTGGATATGGATGCGACGTTGATCGTGTCACAGGTCCGAGACTTTCTCAAGACCGAATATCCATTTCGTTTCAGTCTTCAACCTGAGCCTCAACAACCACCAGGGATGCCAGATTCGTTGTGGAAAACTTTGAAACCGTTGCAGCCGGGAGTCGGGGTCCAGATGTCCGACGTCGACAGGTATCTTGATTCTGCAGCAGTTAGCTGGTCACAGAGCTGTGTAGAAGATGGCAACGCTGACTGGGCTCTCAAGTGGTGGAAGGCCAATGCCTTCGAGTTCCCGTCAATGGCACGCGCCGCCCGTGACTATTTGGCGGTTCCCGCTACCGAGGTCGGCGTGGAACGTGTGTTTAGTGGAGCTAGAGACGTCCTAGGTCTCCGACGGCAGTCGATGAGCGCTGACACCATGCGCTCGCTGGTCCTGCTTAAGGCCCACTATGATTCTCGCATGTAGATATAAGAAAAAAAGGGATGTGTAAACTGGTGGAGCGGGAGACATGATTTGCCGTAGAGTCAATTGGACTGGGATAGACTCTTTTAGATTCACACACAACTCGACGGCGACGGCGAGGACTGAATGAGGATGCGACACGACAGAAATCTGGTTATTTCCATCCAGGAAATGACGAGTATCCACCCTCCCTTCCTGCGACCCACATGTGTGAATATTCGTGAATATTCACGAATACTGCGAATACGAATAGAGTCCTGTTGAAACAAGTGATAGTATTGTTGGTTGTTAGGACGATACTTGGTCTTCCCGTAGAGGCGGGATGACTATCTTATATACTCAAGTTCCTACCCCTTGTCACACCGTTTCAGCCACCGGGATCTTCAACACTCCCACTCGATGGCTACCTTCTCTAGGAGGGTAACAGCGACTGTCTATCACGGTGCTGGCGGACCCGTTAAGTCTTCGAAGGCCACTTCAAAGAAAAAGAAAGGGAAAGGTGCCTGAGTATCCGCTCTGAGCTCGGGTTGACAATCCGTGAATATCACTCAATGCCGAGCCCTCTCCGAAACCATTCAAATCGGTCTCGTGCAAGAGGCTTGGTGAGTCCATCGGCGATTTGTTCGGTTGTTGGAATATACTGCAGTTCCACTGCACCAGAGCCTTGAACCTCTCCCTGCCACTTCCGTTGGATTTCCATGTGCTTGGTGCGTGAGTGGTACTGAGGATTCGAGGACAGAGCGATGGCTCCTTGATTGTCGCCGCAGATGATCGTCGCGGCTTTTCCTTGCGCCATGTTGAGTTCATGGAGGAGCCTTCTCAGCCAGATCGCTTCCTTCGTGGCCTGTGTCTGTCCCATGAACTCGGCTTCACAGGTTGAGAGGGCAACGACACCCTGGCGTTTGGATTGCCAACTGATCGCTCCGCTTCCGATGTTGAAGAGATAACCAGCGGTCGATCGTCTGGTGTCGCGACAGCCGGCCCAGTCGGCATCCGTGAAACCTCTCAACATCTGGAGGTGACCCTTATATGTCAGTCGAAGAATCCTCGTGCCCTTCAGATATCGGAGGATTCGACGAGCAAGTTTCATATGTTGTGGTCCCGGGTTGGCCAGATACCGGCTTGCCGTCGAGACGGCGTACGCGATGTCTCCCCGGGTTCCGAGCATGATATACATCAGCGACCCGATCATGCGTTGGTACTCGATTCTCTGATCCGCCGGGCAGGTATATTCCGGTCTGTTGTCTGGCAGAGGTGAGCTTTCTACGGGCGTGCTGACGGGCGTGCAATCGTCCATTCCGAACTGATGGAGAACCTGGTGGATGTAGGCTTCTTGACTCAGATAGAGTACTCGATTCTGCCGCTCTCGTCGGATGGACATGCCGAGGTAGTAGCTGCACGGTCCCAGATCTGTCATCTGAAACCGGTTTTTCAGGCTCCGCTTGATCTTCCTTATCTCGGCAATGCTGGGCCCAATGATCAGGAGGTCGTCGACATATACTGCCAAGTACACGTTGCTCCGGACAAAGATCCCGAGATCCGCGTTGATAGGTTCGAAACCCAAGCTGCGGAGAAAGTTGGTCAGGGTTTGGTACCAGATACGGGGTGCTTGTTTCAGGCCGTAGAGTGCCTTGCGAAGTTTGCACACCCTCGGCGTGCCATCGGTCATGTGGTGAGGTTGTTCGACATAGATCTCGTGGTCGATATCCCCATACAAAAATGCGGTCTTGACATCCATTTGTTCGATCTCGAGATCCAGAGCCGCGGCGACGGCGAACAGAGCTTTGTAGCTCATCGGTTTCACCACGGAGGCGAAGGTCTCGTCATAGTCTACGCCTTCTTCTTGTGTGAAGCCTCTCACCACCCAACGGCACTTATGGCGGATGACTTCGCCATGGGGTCCTCGTTTGAGTCGGAAGACCCACTTTCCACTGAGAACCCGACGATTCTCGGGAGGATCAACGAGCTCCCACGTTCTGTTTTGTTTCAGTGAACTCACTTCATCCGTCATTCCATTCACCCATTCAGGCCAGCTTGGGTCATTCTTTGCTTGCTGAAGGGTCTTGGGCTCAAACGGCTCGGTTTCTCCCGCCGCCATGATCAAGAAAGTCGGGATTACGTTGCTTTCAGGTACGTTGATCAATGCGAGTTCTTCCGCGCCATCAGCAGATGTACCCTGGATGATGGCCGGCGGAGGCCGGAGCCTGAGTTCAGGATGACGTTCTAATACTTCTTGTCGCACGGTATGTTCTGGGCGATCAAGATAGAGTTCTGGATATTGTTGCCATTCTCTTGAGATTGGATCTTGCTGAGCATCGTCTTGTTGCTGGTCGCCGCCGGGTGGTGAGTCATTCCCTCGGACATCGACTTGCCGGACATCAGATAGCCGGGCATCTGAGGATGGTCCGAAGGTATCGTCACTCCGTGTGGGCGACAAGGTTCTGTCTCGTTGTCCAGCAACGGGTGGCTGCGAGTTCTTGTCACTCGACTGAGACGTCTGCTCTTGCACATGATCGTTACTCCGTAGAGGCATTGTTTGTGTTTGTGGCGCCATGGACGTTTGGCGTCCCGAGGCGGGCACGGATGCGTGCCGTATACTTACCGACGGTTGGTTTAATAGTCCCACCGTCTCGCTCCCCCCTGCGGCAGCAGCCATTGCCCCAGGTGAGTCGTCTTGTTTCGCTCCCACATCTTGTCTCGTCTGTGTGGAGGGAGTTTTGAGGACTTCATAAAATTCAGCGTTCGGCGTCCCAATAATTCTGCCGTCTTCCAGTAGGACACGGTAGTTCGTGTTTCCTTCGTATCCTAGCAGGAGACATGGCCTCGTTCTTGGTTCCGTCGGCTTCTTTCTTTGCTTGGGTGGGATCAAGTATTCCCCCCGAGATCCGATCACTCTGAGCCGTGAAAGGTCCGGCTTGTCGCCGTACCAAGCTTGATACGGCGTCATGTTGAGCTTGGACGACGGGGATCGATTAGAAAGGAAGGCCGCTGTTCGAGCAATCTCGGGCCAGAATTTGAATGGTAGTCTGGCATGCGCCAGCGTCGGTCCAACTCGATCGTAAATTGTCTTATGGGCTCTTTCTGCCACTCCGTTCTGCTGGTGTTGGTCCACCCCGGTGACTTCAGCTTGGATGGCCCGTGAGAAGAGCATGAACTTCATTTCTTCTCCCACTTGCTCCGGGATCCGGTCGAGACGTATTCGTCGACATTTCCGTTCCGGGCGCTCGTTGTGGTCGAGGAAGAAGCGGAGCGATTCGATGACAAATTCGTGTCGTCGTGGGATGGGGGTAATTTCTATCCACCCCGTGAAGTCGTCGACGATGGTGAGCCAATAACGACTTCCGTCCAGGCCTTCGTCAAATGGCCCGGCAACATCGATGTGGAGGAGCTCCATGGCATATTCCCCTCTTCGGCTTCGTCCTGAGCGATGGTGAGGCTTTTCATTCATTCGTCCCTGGAGGCACGGGTTGCATGGCTGACGTGGTTCCATGTCCCTGATGCCGTGGGCCTGTCTTTTCAGCCGTTTGAGATTCGCATTGCTCATGTGAGCCAGCCGATTATGCCACAGAGACATCTGTGGACTGACCTGGTAAGCAGGAAAAGTGAGATTCGTCCATAGATTGAGTGCGTAAACTCCATGATATTGGCTTGCGGTGTACAGGTTCTTTCCGTTTGATTTCTTATGGATACTCGCACCTTGGCTTGAGAACTCGACCTTGGCTCCTCGTTTGAGGAGCTGTAGTACCGATATGAGGTTGGCATGGGCGGACGGGACGAGGAGAACATCATCAAGCACAAGCCATTTTCTTCTGCCGCGTACGTTGCATAGGACATTGACTGTTCCCACTCCCGACGGAGTCGTCGAGGTATTGACGCCTCTCAGCGGTGGCCCATGATACACATTGATCTTGACAAATCTCGAGGCGTTGTTGCAGACGTGCTGTGCACATCCACTGTCAATAATCCAGGCGTTGCGGATGGAGAGAGGTTTCGTAGCCATCATGATGGGGATGTGTCCGGACAGGGCCAGGTTGCCTTCGATGTCCTTTCCGAACGCCGCATTCACGTCCGCCTCTGAAGCCTGTGCCGCCATGAAAGTGGGTCTCTTCGGATCCCTTGGGCCACCCGCGTCGTCATCTTCGTCATCGGTCGTGGGCCGTCTTTTCGACGACCTGCGTCTGTCCGCATATGCACTGGCGGATTTGATCCTGCGCTCCTTTCTGTCTTTCCCTTGATTTGTGAGTCCTGGATACTTCTTAAAGCACTCAGATTCCGTGTGGTAAGGTTTTCGACAGAAGGAGCAGTAAGGGACGTTGTACATCTCAATGTGGCACGTAGTCCCATCCGCGGACGGTGTGATTTTCTTGTCTCCGGAACTTCGAGTCAGAGCAAAGGTGGAGAGCGCTCGCGCGTCTGCCGGATGGTTGCCCAGCTGTCCCTTTCGATGCTCTTCTTCGATTGCCTTGTTCTCAATGTAGTCGAACGTGGGCGCTGCTTTGGTGATGTTTCCATCTTCGTCTCTCTCGTTGACGATGTCCATTTGTCTGAACACATGATCGCGGAAGCTTTCGTACTCCGAACCGAGCGCGTGCAAGAAGAAGAATGTTCGCTCAATTTCAGACGTAACGCATGCCGGGTCGAGCAAGAGTTTTTCCGCATGGATTCTTCGAATCTCGGCTCCGAGGGCTTGCGTACTTCCACAGTTGGCTCTGGTGAGAGACATGTACCGTCGTTGGAGATTGACGTAGGTGCCCGAGCCTTCCGGTTTGAAGTTGTCCTTGACTGCTTTGATGAGCGTTTGTATGCGAGTGATATCAAAAGCATTGATTCGCTGTGCCGCATTGTGCGTCAGTTTTGCCGCAATCATTGACGCGTAAAAGGTCTGACGATGGGACCATTGTTGCACTTCCTCTTCTTCTGTGGGCTGAACCCCTCCATCCTTGGCCAGGGGGGATATCCTGATGAACTCCTTGACCTTCTGGTTCCACTTCGACCAGTCATTGGCATTGTCGAGTGTGGGGATGGCATTGTAGAATGCGTTCAAGCCGATCTGTTCAAATTTCGCCGCATCATTCATGGTGAAGGCAGATGCTCTTCGCAGCTGAAGAATTCGGGGTTTGGTGTATTGCTGAGTCGACCTGGGCTCACAGACGGCCTCCGATCTGATAAGCTCGGGGAACGCGGCTCTAAACCGAAAAGTTCAGAGTCTGATACTTCGCTGAGCTGGGTCGCAACGACGGAAGGGCTACCGTCTGACGGATCTGGTGTAGGGGTGTGAGATGGAGGAGCGTAGTCACTGTCGGGTAACCCGTGCCGTTTCAGGTGGTCGTTGTACGACTCGAAGAAGTGAGGGAAACGGAGGCGATCAACTAGGCACCGTGGGTTCTCCTCTAGGAAGGTTGTTGGCCTGTTTGGTCGAAGATTGTAGCGCTTTATATTGCTGTCGCCGGATATTACTTGGCGATCTCCCGTCTCACAACTTGACGAGGATGAGATGGAGGTTTCAGCGCTGCTTCCTGACTGGGAGAGTGGATAAGAAATATGAGAATGTAGATGACTCGGCCTCTGTTCAAGGCTTGGACATGTGGGCTTAGTATGAGAGGCGGCGCGACGGTCTCTTTTAGTATTGCGAAGGGTGGCAATTGGAACAGTGACTGTTGATGCTCGGCGTACACGGTCTTCGGTGGACAGGCGCCAGTAGGCTCCTAAGAGTGCACTTGGTGATAGTGATGGGAAATAAGATTTCTGGATTTGTTTGAAGGGCCAGCGACGAAGGTGTCGAAGGTGCGAAAGAAGGTTAAGCTCGTCGTCCGTCCAGGAATGTAGAGTTTTTTGTGCAGTTTTTCTCCGAGATGGCTGAGAAGATGGCCTGGAGTCAACTCGAGGATCCGCTGCCGGATGTGGCATCAGTGTGTCCGCCCTTATGGTTGATATTTGTTGAACAGGATTTTATAACTTGGATTCCATTTCGTTCGTTTTGGTCTGATTTGGATTCGCCACCACCGAGGATCTGCGACACTGTGATGAACATCGTGACACTGTGATACGCATTTGCAACACTGTGATGCGCATCTGCGACACTCTGATGCGCGTCTGTGACACTGTGGTGAATATCTGTGACACTGTGATGAATATCTGTGACACTGTGAGCAACGCTCAGGAGAAAGGAGTTCATCCATCTCATTTCCCTCAGAGATTTCACGCCCTTTCTCTTTCGGTATCTCTTCTAGAGTTCCTAAATAGTGTGGATTAGCAGATCATTCAGTTCATAGAACTATCACTTGGAGCGGGAGCTTAGCTGTAGGTAATGTTCAGTTGTTTGCTGTATGCGAATCCGGGCTCATAACCTGTTGAAACAAGTGATAGTATTGTTGGTTGTTAGGACGATACTTGGTCTTCCCGTAGAGGCGGGATGACTATCTTATATACTCAAGTTCCTACCCCTTGTCACACCGTTTCAGCCACCGGGATCTTCAACAAGTCCATATTCGTATTCACATTTATTCGCCAAGAATTATTCATATTCGTGAATATTCATGAATATTCACATTATTCGTATTCATTTCGGAGCCCTACCTGGCCTCGCTTTTAATGTTTTCGTTCTTTGAGGACAACCCAGAATCTCCTCTGAATTGCAAACCACTGGGTTGGTCGTCAGCAATGTAAATCCTCGTAGTTGACGGATAAAGACCGTGGAACCACTCACCTGTGATTTCGTCACCCATGGGTGGTCCTGGTTGACGATCTCTGCGTCGAAGTGGCGGAAAACCTGTGCGATGTATTTGTGTACTTCGATGAGAGCTAGATTGCGACCGATGCAACTCCTACTTCCCATTCCAAACTGGAAGCACAGCAGTCAGCGGCAAAGGATTACCAGGACACTGTGATTAGTCAGGGAGGGCAATATTTACCGTGGTCAGATCCCGATTCATGTTGCCGACGTGGGTCTTGTCTTTCTCCGATTCGGCCATCCATCGTTCCGGTACCCATTGACTTGCATCAGAGCCGAAAATATCCGTCGATCTGTTCATCGAAGCTGCGCTGATCCCACAGATGACATTTTTGTCAAAATGATACTTTCCGATTTGTAAACCCTCAGCTGGGAGCACTCTAGGAAGCCGATATGTAATTGAAGGATGCAGCCGTATGCTTTCTTTGACAACGGAGCACAAAAAGGGTAGGTTCTCGCAATCCTTGTAACTGATCTCTTCTCCTTTGTCTGCGAGACCTGGATCTTGGTATGCCTGATCAATTTCTGCCATCAAACGCTGCTTGCGCCTCGGATTTTGCAGCATCGCACCAAGTACGGCTAGAACCGCGACAGTGGTGGTGTCGGCTCCGGCTCCCAAGATATTGACGCCTGCGATCATGACATCTCCTTTCTTGACTGGGTTTCCAGACGGATCCTTTGCATCAATGAAGTGCTGGAGTAAGTCTCGATGTTGGCCTCCTGAACCCTCTTTCATGCGAGTATCCACCCTCTCCTCAAGCCAGTCGAGGAACACGCCGAAAGCATTCAATCGTTTCCCACCAATTCTTTTGACGAGCCATTGAGCGACAGGATTGTTGAACCAGAACATCTGGAACGGCATATTCCCCATGTTGGCCATCAGCCAGAATCCATCATGTATACTGCCGATAATTCCATCGACGTCCTTCTCTTGCTGAATCATGCCGAGAGGTCCGCCTAGGGCGAGTTTGCCCACAACATCAAAGGTCAAGAAGTTGACCCATTTGTCGAGTTCGATGGGCCGGCCCCTAGCCACGAGCTCTCTGAACTTGGACCAACCTTGGTTGGCCACTTCTTGGATAAGAGATTCCATGGACAGCATGGAGGACATGGAGTAAGCAGCCGTAACTCGACTTCGAAGATGCCGATGAAGTTTGATATCCGTGGCCGCAAAGAACGAGATCTGCATGTTCGGTACATACCTACAACATAGAAGGCTGTTAGCTAAGTCGAGGTGTGGCTGAAGACCGTGTTATGTCAAGATGTATTGCAAAATGCAAGGAAAGCCGTACCATGTGTGATACCAATCTGTCTGCGAGATTGTTAGCCTCACGGCATTCGTGGAACAGCGACCTTGAATCCTCCACACAAGAGATAAATCGAAGTACTAACCTTCTGAGACACTTTACCATGACCATAAAGGGCACGAAGAGCATCACGGTCAACAAAACTGACTTCGTTGGGCGCGATCCTGACGACATTTCCATATTTCTCGTGGAGTTCAGTCACATCTTGCAACCAGCTACCTCTGAAGTAGCAAAGATTTCTCCAGGCCTGGCTGAAACGGGCCAAGAATGGCCCTGGAACTTGAGATAGCTGATGAAACCAGCAATAGTATATGATCTGGACGAGGTATACAACAATTAAAACTGTACCCAAGATTTTCCAATCTGCTTCGGCGAGATAGGAAGCAATGAGCGAAGGTGGTTGACCAGCTCCGTCAGATGCCGTAGACGTCGTGGCATTTCGATTCGAGAAGGCCTCGGGGAAATTCATGTCTGCCGAAAGCAATATAACGTCCTCAAAGGAAGAGATGTCACTCAGTATGCCCTCACAAATATGTACAAGTCGCTGAGGTCAGTCCACGAAAGCTTCTGTGGCCAGTATTCATATGCCAAGTTAGGGAGGATCGTGAACATGGCCCAGGACATAAGCTGTTCTATTCCATTGGCCCCCACACCCCGCACCCCACGCCAGGAAGAGGGCTCGGAATGGCAATTTGCTCCTGCCTCGGTCAGATGTGGGCGCTCCGCGGACGAAGCCACTTCATCCCAGGTGGGCCCCGCCGCGGACTTTCGTGACCATGCGGGATGGAAGAATGATGATGATCATGACCGGGGTTAAGGGGGTAGCCATAATTGATCAGGGAGCTACCAAATATCCCTACGTGCTTGGATCCTAACCTCACACATGATTTGTAGAGGTCGAAATCGCCTAATACCCTCAACGCAAATGGTCGGTATATATAGTTTCAGTAAACGATCTCTTTTCCGGTTCATTCCTTTAGATCGACAAAACTGGGACCTATTTCTTGTACCAATGAAATGTCTTTGGCTCTGTGTAGGCCAACAAACCCTCTTCACCCCATTCGCCTCCAAGCCCACTCTCTCTGTGTCCGGCGAGGTGAGCATGCGGTAGAGGTCTTTCAAATCCATTGATCCAGACAGCACCCGCCTGTATCTGCTCTGCCAAAACAAATGCCTTATGCACATCAGAAGACCATACTGCGCCTTCCAGCCCTGTTTTTGGTATCATTGACCATCGTAATGACTTCTTCTTCAGTCTTCCATTTCATCACAGGTACAATTGGTCCTGCACCGGGTTAGCTAATTGTCAAAAGGGTCGGGAAGGGCGAGGATGTACCAAACTGGCTCTTCCTTGACGATGATTGAGTCGTCGGGAGGATTGTCCACCACTGTCGGTTTCAGCATGAAACTGGACTCCGACCCTGTGTCACTGCCGAGAGCAAAATTGTATCCTTTGTCTCGACAATCCTGAATGAAGCCTCTCACAATTCCATACTGCATTGCATTCTGCACAGGGCCTAGTGATATGCCGTTGCCATCCTTATTTTCATCAGCACTCCAAAACTTAACCACGTTGACGAATTCCTTCAAAATGTGTCATAAATGGACTCGTGAACATACATCCGCTCGCTCGCGAGACAGTACTGTCCCGAGTTGGTGAACGATCCGATCGCAACTTGCACAGCGGTCTTAGATATATCGACGTCAGGACAAATAATCGAGGCACCATTACCTCCTAGCTCCAGTGTCAATCTTTTCAATGTAGGTGCAGCTGCAGTCATAATGGCCTTTCCGGTCTTGATGGATCCTGTGAAGCTGATCTTTTGAATTCCGGCATGTTGACACATCTGAGGACCCAAGCGATCGTCCCCGGTCAGAGCTTGAATGACTCCCGGAGGAAACAGGTCTTGGACCAGTTCAACGAACTTGAGCGCACTGTACAATTGCCAGTGCTCAATGCCGCGCATATTTTGCCCATGGCAAGGACAAGAGGATAGTTCCAGGGGCATATAGCGGCAATGACACCAACTGGAACTCTGTGAATCGTAAGCTGAAACTATTATCATCCTGGATGATCTTCGGTCTCATCGGACTGAGGTTGGCTGGTTGTGTCTATGTTAGGGACCGGCTGCAAGGAGGTGGTGAGGATACCATAAGAAACGTACAGTGATAATTTAACCATCCCAATGAGTGTTCTACTTCTAGTTTTGCAAAACGAAGCTATAATGTCGTCAGTTGGAAGATCTTTTAGCAAGGAGGCTTTCTCACAGGTTTCCCCGTCTCCAGATTCAATAGCAGAGCCATCTGTTCTTGTTTCGATGAAAGCACATTGTAAGCTTTGCGTAGACAGATGGCTCGCTCCTGCCATGTGGTTGAAGACCAGGATTTGAACGCGTTGGTCGCTGTTTTCACTGCTTCTTCGAGGCCATCAGGCGTTGCTAACGGGACGTCCCACAATTATTTGGTGGTGGAAGGGTCTACGGCACGCCACGATTGAGCTCCGGAATGTAGTCCACCACCTATGCAATTATAGAACCGATAGAACTGATCGTCCTCCATTGTGCAAAACTGTAGAGCTACTTCTCCTCTTAATTTCGTCCAGGCCTACGAAATGAAGTACTTTTGAGTGGTCACAGAATTGTCACGGCCTGGTTGTCTTGTTACGTTTTGGCCGAGCCGATGCTTGGTATATCCACAATCCTTTGGCGAAGATCGGGATGCTCAGCGCGCATCGAAACGTAGGTACCGAGGTTTTTCACCGAGGGTGCAGCTGGCATAATATCACCCACATGCAAGTCCGCCTTGCTGATATAAAGGAGAAAGTCAACCGTAATGTGGTGGGAAGATCCTACGCTGCCTGGTTCGTCTATTTTACTCCATCGATCACTAATTACAGGTTTGTGTCAGTGTGCCTGCAGGCTTGTACCAAGACGTTTCACGGGAGCGGGAGAGATGTACTCATGAACCCAATTTTTGAACTACAGATGTGCATGATCTGCACTAGAGACAATCCCTTCAGTTTCTAGTCAATTGACACCAATGACCTGTTTGGAGGGCCTTGACCCCGAACTATTCGGTCTTCACTGCCGAATCATATCACAATTTTGTAGTCACTAGGCTTGAATTTTTCGGCCATACACCATTCTTTCCCGGAGCTAGGATACCATTAGGATCCAATGCGTTCTTGATTGTTTCGTTCAGCCTCATCATCGAGTTGTTGTTAAAATTGTATGTGCTTGCGATCTGGTCCATCAGCGCAAGATGTGTTCGATATTCGCCCCAGCCTCGTGCAGCAGCGTCGTCAATTAGGACTTTGATTAGTCGGTGGGCTTTTTGTCGACTATAAGGATCCTTCTTATCGAATACTATACACACAATATGATGCATCTCTCTCATTCCGACGATAAAAGTCCCGATGAAGTCGAAGCCGAATTCCTCACTTCGACGGCGTGTGACTTCATATTGCGCCACAGCATCCTCGCCTGTTACCTTTGCAATGGGGCTGAAGAAGAGATGCGAACCATTAGGAAGCCAGTCGACCCATTTTAGCTCGGTAGTGGTCGGGATCCCTTGGAGCGTTAGGTGACGAGTTTGTAGCACAATGTTGTCGGGCATTTTCCTCTGGAAAGAAAAATTTGGCTCCCTTAATTGAGGAGAAGGCGGCTTTGATAACCTGCCACATCGCCGCTCGAATTGGCTCTGGTCCATAGAGTGCACCGTAGAAATTCCAACGCCCAATACCAAGAGAAGCTGCAATAGCATCTAGTTCCGTGTTATTTAGTGGCTCATCCTTACTCGTGTAGCTTTTGCGGTCTCCCTAAGCATTGTTAGGTTTACCTTGATACACAAACACACAGAAAGGGGGGAAGAGGTGATTTACCATCACTGCAGCATCAAGTAGAATATGTCGCAATGTAGGGACATTCTGGACGACCATGCCGACACGAAGCGGGCGAATTATTCCGATAACCTGGTGCAAATCCTCGTCCCGTGGAATGGTGATCAGATATGATTGATACCCACCGGGGTTGACCATTAACCACATCCCCATCTTGACAACAATTCCTTGGAAAATTAGCAGATGACATGTCCGCATCAGAAACAATAGCTTACCAAGGGACGATTGCGAGAATATTCCGTCATTGTAAGGTCCGAAGCCATAGTTAAAAAGCTGCCAGCACTTGTTTGGTTGCTGTTCATGTGGTGGTAGAGATGAATCCGCGCCTGGAGAGGGCAAAGAGCCCATCCCGGTTCGAATCAAAGTCCCATCTGGAAGTACTACCTCCATACCACAATGCATCATCCAATGATCGCCATAGGGTGTATATCCGACACCTCTCTCAATGGTATTTCCAATGATAGAGCCGCCACCGAGATCTGGAACGTCGACCCATAGTTTATCCCGAAGATTGTTGGCTACTAAGTACTCGTGTAGAGCGGAGAATGTCACCCCTGGCTCAAGGAGAGCGTATGCGCCATCCACATTGACCTCAAGAATTTTATTCATATGCCGGCCCATGTCGAGACCGACACTTCCTGGCACTCTTGGGGCAGCACCTCCGTAGCCAACGTTACGGCCAATCGAAAAAGGCCATACCGGGATCTTGTATGTGTTGCAGATCTTCATAATCGACTGCACATCAGGGACATTTCTAGGTGCAATGACCGCAGAGCTGACGAGACTGGTCTTGTCAACAACGTGGAACATGTCGTGGGCTTTGCCCGGGTCGAGGTAGTTGTCATGATAAAGCTCTGCTTCATCAGTGATCACCGTCACGTTCTCGCTGCCCAAGGCACTGGCAATCTCCTCAACAAATATCTGGAACTTGTCATTGTCTGTCTCCGGAGGCAGTACCAATGGCTGTTTGGCGCACTGTGACTCTTGTGGCGCGCTTCCTTCAGGCTGCCGATAAGCCAGCGGCTCGTTTGCGATGGTAGAGGTTGACATGAGTGCGTTGAATTTTTCAAAAGGATATGAGGAGGATGGGGAGGATGATTTGGTATGCTGGCTTCACTTTTGTTCTGGACTTCATGAGTCCCCCTGTACGGACGAGTAGTAATTAACCGAGGTCTCGGCCTATAGTACCGGATGCCTCTCCCGTGCCGCTCCCTCCGCTAGCGTATTGCGGACCTCCGCTGCTCTAGGCGTGTAAGATCGCCTTTTCGCGAACGAGACTGTTGGCCATCCGAAGGACGCTTGAGAAATCCAATCTTGATGTTACGAATCAGGCCTGACCTCAGGCCGCATACCAAGCTGTGACGACAGCCAATGACACCAACAAGAAAGGAGAGCCGAGGACAGGGCGACGCGCGAGGAATGCCCGGTACGAACCTCTGGCTAAACTGCGGGTATCACGTGACCTATGCCTCTCTGTTGTCTCCGAGCAGAGGAGCAGAGTACACAGAGGAACACGTCTATATATACACGGTCGTTTACATAGCTTTACCACGTAGTCAACTTCGTTCACGATCATACCCATACCTTTTGGATTGTGATCACTTCGCTCTAGTATATTGCCTCGCTCTATACTCCTCGTTCTCAGGACATCACCCCTATACCTTCCACTTGTCTAGAAACCTTTACGTGTTGTGACACCATAGGTGGAGCGAAACGTAACACTTGACTGTCACGCCAACTTTATCCGTGCATGTCCAATGCTTCTCTTGTTGTCCTATTCACCGAGCACATGCAGACTGTTTCAAGCAGTGTCTGTTACAATTACTATGCCAGCGGTCGCCGTTACTGTACAGGCTGCTTCGACATGGCATGACGGGGTTTCCCAGCCTCTTATCGGCTCGAAGGCATTCCACATGCCATAGATCGATCCATCACTGAGAATTTCTGTCCTTCCTCAAAGCAGTGCATCGCATGACACCAGGCATCAATCGTGGTGATGAGAGGCTCCCCGGGATCGTCCGAGGCTTTTTTCCTCTTCTTTCGTCTCTTCAGTTAGGACTCAATACACCAGGATGACACATTTAGAGCCTTTGGCATCACTAGACCGTTTCCCCAGCAGTAAAGGGGGCTCACTCCACCTGGCACGAAATGTTCGTCCATGGTCAACCTACTCTAGGTGGTGACATCAAAGATTCAGGAGCATAATGAAGACAGGGTTGTTCCGAAGGTTCTCTTGGATGCTGGCCATCGTGTAAGTCAGCGTCTGCTTGAGGCCATCGATCGGATATGCGACTTTGACAGTGTTAGGCAGATGTTGGTCGATTTCATGCACGACTCTGTGGAGAATATCAGGGTTTTGTAGGTGTAATAACAATAGTGTTAGGACGTCCGAGGTGATATGTGATTTAGCAACGCTATCAAATGTTGGTAGAGCAAAGTTGTTGTGGAACGAGAAGTCCTTCAGGGTTGATGTCCACTTCTCTCAGTCTCACTCCTGTTTCGGGATCCGCCATATCTATGAGACAATATAACAGGTCCTTTCCATTTGTCGATTTTTCAAGCAGTCTTCGTCTCACACAATTTGTCGTCAGGTCTACAAGCTTTCGTCTGGCAGCGAACAGCCGCTGAGACCACACTAGTGGCGCGTACGCGCAAACCTTGAGATACGGTAGGAGCTCTGGTATCTAACCCAGCAGCCAAGCCAGGTAAATATGATCGTTATCGGAGATAATTTGCTAGGGCCTTGATTCTTCTGAGTCAAAACTCGGCGATACGCTAAGTCTCCAAGAACATCCATAACGAAGTCTGAGATCAGCGCCTTGAGGTCGAGGACAACAACATACAAGCTGCCAGCTTGGTCCAGTTCAAGGTATCACGAAGGCGCTTGACGTGTCTGTTGATTCCAGCTCCTCGACCGATTACAGCAAGAATTCGTAGACCTTCTGGAGATGTCTTATGGAATGTATCTGGACGAGTTTAATGGACCCTGCTGCTTTTCTCTGGTCATGAGAAAGCTCATATTTCCATCTTGAGTCTCGAACAAGTTGCGAGTGAAAGCTGTGGGTACATCGTAGAACTTGGTCTCGGGCAACAACCTTCCACCTTTGTAAATCAAGCTGGTGCGGACTCGCATCGAAACGCGAGGTCATTTGATCCCACTCTGACTACCTCACCATAATGCGCATACACTGCGGCCTGGGCAGGAAGTTTCGGAGCACATTGAAAAATAACGTCAAAATCATCCATCGTGATCCTGGGTCCCCAGGTTTATGTCAACACCGCAGAATGCCTGTCGGAATGCCGCCGTACACCGTGACACCGTGGTCCCGAGAAAAATGAGACACCTGCGTGCGACTTACCCCCACACTGACCTCACGGAAGTGCTTGAGGTGGTCCGGAGTAGGGGAGTAAATAAGGACGAGATGATTGGGGTTACAATTGTGGGTACGGTTCTCTATGCGTACTAGCACTCGGAGTGTGGGTGGTGGCTAACCCGGGTGCGGGGAGGGGGAGAGCTGAATACTATGATCGGTGGTAGGGTGCGATCGGCAGTACTTTATAGCGATTCTGGACGAGTCTCGCTGGGTAGAAAGATAGACAAATCATCAGGTCGCGTGGGTGAGAAAGTCGGCAGTTTTATCACGTCTCGCTTCCTTCTCAAGTCCTTTAGCGTTGTTCTCACACATTGAATTGAGTTACAGACCTTCATCAGCAATCATGGCCATTAGTCCCTTTATTCCCGTTCCTTCAACGGAAATACTCGAACGACTTCCAGGCAAGATTCCCGTCACACAAGTACCCGAAAACGTCGATATAGAGGCTGGAGTAAAGACCATACTCTCGAGCTTGCTCATTCGAGATTCTTCACAGGATCAGACCTGTTTCACCGAAGATGCCTTGTGGCGAGACTTTTATGCGCTGACTGGCACCATTCGAACTTTCTACTTCAAGAATGTTCCCCAGCAGTGGTCTCTCCTTTCCAAGAGTCACGACGTTTCTGCTGTGGAGATTATTGCTGGATCGAGCAGCATCAGGAAAATTGGGTCAGAAGCATCATATCTGGAGTGTGCAATCAGGTTCACCACCTCCAATCCAGAGACCGAATGTTCAGGGTTTCTTTCTCTAGTACCATCTCCCACGGGCTCAGGTTGGAAGGTATGGGTGTTACGGACTTTCCTCGAACAGCTGCCAAGCCATGGTAACGGTGATGTTCTTGCTCCAATCGCAGAGTTAGGATCCCGAGTTTCGAACGGTGTTTCCTCTCCTACAACCAGCAGCGAGGCGACGAATAGTTACACAGCTCCAAAGAACGGTGCTGAAGAGCGGAATCACGCTCCTGACCACTTTTTCGCCGTGGTTATCGGCGGTGAGCAGTCGGGTTTAAGTACTGGCGGGCGTCTGAAGGCATTAGGCGTTCCTTATGTGGTCCTAGAAAGCAATAAAGAAGTGGGTGATACGTGGCGATCGAGATACGAGTCTGCAAGGCGTATGTTGTTGGCATCTATAGAAAATTACCCCCAGCGGAGCTAACGCACCTTTTATAGTCTATACAATCCGTGAATTTGGTGAGCCACCCACGCACGCACGGCCTTGGGCCTTGACAAGGGAAAATGGTTTCATGTTGTCCTGACTGTGCTCAGCACATCTACCGTTCGAACGTACATTTGGTCCTTCGTATCCAGAATATCTGGGTAAGGAACATCTGGCGGATGGACATCGAGATTGGGCACGAAGATATGGCATCGTATGTACTGACAACCTTTTTGGAGTTCTGGAGTGTTCCTCCGGTTGACATTTGCTCTCAGAACATTTGGAAATCTACCAAAGTCGAGACCGGGCAGTGGGATGAAGAACAGAAACTTTACACCCTGTGAATCAACAGAAATGGTACCACTCAATATGTTACCGCCAAGCATGTTGTTATTGCTTCAGGTGCAGGTTCTCAAACACCCGTTGTGCCCATCCTAGATAACAAGGTGAGGTCCTAAATTGAGCGTCTCTTAACAGTCGGTTTTTTTCTAACGTCGCTAATAGGAGTTATTCCGAGGTCAGAGTCTACATTCTGTCGACTATATTTCCGCCGACAACTGGAAAGGAAAAGTTGGCATTGTAGTAGGCACCGCAAATACCGGTAAGTCAGAACACCAAGTATCCTAGAGCTGCTGATGACCTTGATAGGTCATGATGTCGCCGACGACATGTGTGAGGCTGGGATGCAAGTGACCATGGTCCAAAGAAATCGAACTTGTAAGTGCTACTACAGAGCCGCGCCGAGAACATATGATTTATCGACTGACTTCTTGATTTATCTGCAGATGTATTGCCAGTCGAGTATATCGAGGAAGGATATCACCGTAAGCCCTATTCGGAGGTTGACTGCCTTGAAACAATTCAGCGACTTATTGATTTTACGATCAGAGATCTATAATGCCAAAATTCCGATCGAAATCAGCGACAAGATCTTATACTCGAATCCAGTCTCGATCGATCGGATCCTAGGCGGAATCACCTTTCATGCAAAAGCTCGCGCAGAATCGGAACGTTGGGCTTCTCTTGAACGTGCAGGGTTCAAAGTTGACCCGTATGGGGATATTCAAGAGGCTCTAAACATCCGTCTAGGAGGCCACTACATTGATGTGGGGACATCGGCCAAAATCTCCAACGGATTGGTACGCATCGTTCAATCCAAAGTTCCCGACGAGAGGGATAAGACTGACCATGCCGACTCAGATCAAAGTCAAATCAGACGCAGCTGTGGTCGCATTCACGGAACACGGGCTGGCATTCTCAGATGGGACCACCCTCGACGCCGATGTGATTGTGTTCGCCACCGGATTTATCGGCAACCTACGAAACCACGTCGAGCGGACCTTTGGCAAAGACCTTGCCGACCGCGCGGGCGACAGTTTTGGATTAAACGAAGAAGGAGAAGTTCTGGGAGCATTCAAGCCACTGAAGCGTAAGTCTACAACCATCAATCGCCGAGGTCCTTTGATGTTTTTCGTTCCACTGTGTCTACCTCTCGGATTGAAGAATGGTCAACGCTGACATATATGTTCTCTGTTGCAATAGAGCCGAACGTATGTTATATAGGCGGATCACTCGGTCACGCGAGGTTCTTTTCGAGGTTTCTGGCCCTCCATATCAAAGCCGAACAGATTGGAAGTCCACTGCCAGTGTATAACGGCTGCAAACAGACGCTGGAGAGTACAAATGTTTCGCTCGTTGAAAAGAACGAGAGTAATTAAACTAGATCCGGACAACCAAGAATTAACAATACTTTTTACGTCGCATGCATTTGAACTCAGTATGATACTATTCTCACTCGGATTTATGTGTGCTTTAGCCACCCTTACTCATACGTCTCTGAGATTGTGAACTGTTCAATTACAAGGCGTGCGTACAAGTAAAAAAGGCACAAAGGACTTTACGTGCAGGGTGGTCCCTTGATAGAGGATTACGATTCCGCCTCACGTTAATATCATCTGGTGACCTACCTGGGTTCCTCTGTCACGGGGACAACTCAGAGAAGCCCAGTTCTCTGCCTGCACTCTAGACTCTGCCCGAAAAGGACGTTCACCAGGTTCTTCTTGACCATGCAAGTCCGGGCAACCTCGGGCCTCGAGTAGGATCACCCTGGATTAAAATTCTCTTGGCCGATCTATGTTGCGGCTCGCAAGTAGGATCATGATCCTCCGCTCTTTCGACCGCGACTGTGATATGGCGAGAATCTCATGAAAAGCGGCCTCCCGCTCTTTTTATCGGTCTACACGTGCTTAGAGAGGTTGTCAGGGGCCAAAACTGCGTTCCGTGTACATAGGCTAAGTGAATTGCTCATTACCAGAATCATGCGGAGGTACACCAGTCCTAACTAACTATACTGCGCTTGTGTACTCCGTACTCGTAGGGTACACGACTACTAAGGACTGTTCTGATTTATGCTACTAAGTGCAATAGAGTGGCCTGTCCCGATGACTAGTAGCCACAAACCAGAAACTAGGAGCGCCACAATTACGATAATCAGAGGACACAGAACGAGTACACGGAATCCAATCTTGGCCAGTGGCAACCTCCATCATAATATTAGAGGATTTGAGCCGCGCGATTGGATCCGGCCCGCATTTTCCTCTAATGTCACGGGTTGACCGGTATACCCCAGTAAATGGAGTTCTGGTGGCGGGGAACCACCCATAGCTCGGCAACACCACCTCAATGTCGGGGACCCGGGGGTAGCGGTGTCAAACCGGGTCCCGTGGTGTTATTGTGATCAGTCCTTGACCTGGAGCCTCCTATCGGTCTCCTAGGTGCCCTCGGTTGCGTGGCGTACATTCTACGTACCTGTTTCCCGGAAGGTCGAAGTATAACCTCAGCTGTGCAATCTGACCTGCGCTCCTGGCTTCCATAACGATACAATAACTGGGACCGAGAATAAGACCTCTGTCCTACTTCAAGTTGCGCAAGGCAAGCTCAGCATTGAGGAGGTGGACATACCGATACCAGGTGAAAATGAAGTCCTTGTCCGAGTCAAGGCTGTAGCTCTGAATCAGTACGACTGGAAGATTCTGTACGGCCGAGATCTAACTGAACCGACAGTCCTTGGTTGTGACTTTGCAGGTGTAGCAGAGGCTATCGGCTCTAATGTCACCTCAGTGAAAAAGGGCGACCGTGTTGCCGGATGGGTCCAAGGAGGTGACAATGCCGCATGTGACCCGATCCAACTTCGCATGTTCACAATTATACAGGAAACATCTTGAGACCCAAGGACGGCGCTTTTGGAGAATTGATAGTCGCGCCGGCGCATGTGATGCTGCACCTTCCAGAGACCATCTCATACGAAAGCGGCGCGGCGCTACCGGTTCCCGTATTCACGGCAGGAATATGCTTGTTCCACACCATGGCCCTACCTGGATACAAGACTACAAAGCAACCTGAGGACGATGTACCGGTGGTGTTGATATATGGCGGTGCCACGTCAATAGGGCTGATGCAGATACAAATGGCCAAGCTGTGGGTACTCCGGTGTTTTCTGACTCGTGGACAAATACTAAGTGACCAATACCACGCACGACAGGGATGAGAGTACTGGCAATTTGCTCACGCGTGAGCTTTGAAGTGGTTAAAAGCTATGGAGCTGACATGGTCTTTGACTATGTAAGTCCGTCATTGACCAGAGTGACACTTGTGCTGACTGGGGAATGTGTATTCGCAGCAAGAGCCCGACTGTGCACAAACGCTATCTCATGCCACAAACCAACGTGTAAGGTATGCCATTGATTGTATCAGTGACGAGCGATCAGCAGCCTTGTTCTCTGCTACCATGGGATCTGTGGACTGCATCTACCTCAGTTGTACAACGAGTGGGCTTGATATTGAGAGTTCCAGAGTAAGGACCGTCAAAATAGGTGCTTTCACGGCCCTAGGGAGGGAATTCTCCGTCGGGACTGAGATGCCAGCGTGTGTGATCGTGAAGGAGGACGTGGAATTTGCCAAAGGATTTACAGTTTGGGTTGAGAAGTTGTTATCTAAGCGGGTATTGAGACCGCTACCAACGAAAAGAAGGGACGGTGGTTTGAGGACTATCATCCATGGCTTGGATGACTTGAGTCGGGACGAGTACGAAGTCGAAGATTGGTATGTCCTCTTCCATAGTTCATCTATTTAGACCTCATAAATTTGAAATGTCATCTAGTCTACTACATACGCGGTTGAACAAGGCAAAATTTGCCATTTATGAATGAATAGAGCTTACAGCCTTGTCACAGCGTTCCCTCATCTCTGCGTACCTACAATGGTGCGGATGTTTGCTCCGCCCTGCCGAGCTGCCGTAACACGTTGATGAAGGCTCTTGAAAGGTCCCACGTACGCATATTTTGTAGCAGTCGAATGGTTTCCTGCAGCACTTGTGCGCCACTCGATCGACTTCCCAATAGTGGAACTCCGCAAATTCCAACAGGCATGTTACCTCCTTCACGAATCCACTGTGAGATTTTGAGCGAGTTCGCCTCTCCCGGCTGGAAATGTCGGTCCAAGAAGATAGGCGTCTGTTCGTCGTCGGTGGCTGCATGCATTTGTGGCTCTTCTAATACTGTTGCAGCACACCAGAGCGCAGCGCCGGCGTAGAAGAGGTGATAGGGCTCGTATGGCGCGTTGAAAGGTAAATCTCTACTGATCGCCATGATCTGGGCGCTGTGATATGCGACGCTACGCAGTCTGACGGGATTTTCTTTGGCCCATGCTTCCATTCTTTCCTTGGCGGTTTTGTTCTGCCCGGAAGTTCGAAGTAGAACGGGAAGCCATTCCATCAGATCATTGGCCCCGTAGAGATGGCATATGTGTATTATCAAGGCTCTCCCGGCGTCGTGAGCCAGTCCTTTGTCGTTGGTGGACCGAGTAGGGTCAAGAGGTGCGAGGTAGCTGTCGAGCTTGTTCAAAAGGTTGGTCTTGTGCTCCACGAACGGCCAATGTTCAGAAACGACGTCCATCAGCGGCGACGTCTGTATTTCCTAGATCGACCAGAGAAATTTCCCCATTGTCAGCACCAGGACGTGTATATGCTGTCTGTCGCGAATTTGTACAATCCCATCAAGACTGGCATCAAATAAACTCCGTGCAGCAATGCGGAAACTGATTGGGTCATTTCCAGGCGAGCTTTGCGGTGAGATCGCGGCCCATGCGTAGGCAGAAGCGGCTTCCCAACGGGCAGCATCGTCCGGAAGGGCCGACATCATATCGCCAGAGTTGAATGACGGTCTTTGATTGTGGAGGAAACAAACACGTTGCTGCGTCGAATTCCTATTATGCTGGTCGTCAACGACCAGTGGTCGATCGATCAAAGGGTTCACTTACATAAACTGCCCAACCCAGCCTCCTAGTCCTCTCGGTGGCGACCCAGGAGATCCATGCGGCTCCGGAGCTATCGTCGTTCACCTCGGTCCTCGTCGAAGGCGAAAAGAGCCCCATATGTTTCGCATTTCGGACCAAAGACGGTCTAATGGACTCAATGTACTTGAACAGCCTTTTTTCGCCGCTGCAGAGACCATAGACCCCCTGAAGGAGTTGGGCGGCAAGATATGGTTCTGTTTTGGAAATATGTGGATCTCGTTCGGCCTGTTGACTCTTAATATTTATGACATTGCCTTTATCGGCCAGGCATACCACTGAGATAAGCAAACGCCGATTCAGCTCGGCAAGCGCATCCGCAAAATTTCCCGCACCATCCAGTCTTGTGAAATGTGCTCCAATAGCGGCCATCGCAAGTATGAGCATTTCCGGTGCAAGGTTTGGGTCAAAAGTGGGTCGGTGGATGAAACTGATCACCTGCATTCAAAGTGAGTCAACGCGCAATTCGGTCGCAGTGCAAGCAAGCAATACCGGGTTCCACGTTGTGAAAAACAGGTCGATACAATGGTCGAGTTTGTCCTTCGAAGGGAAATTTGCAACTGAAATCGGAGCCCACAAAGGTCTCTCGATACCTAGCTTGATAGCCTGCTTAGTCCTGATTCTGGCTGGCTCCGTGAGTCCTTCCAACTGGCACTGAGATCCAAGGCGGACAATATTAGAATGATTGCTTCCAAGGTCGGGAATATTAGAATGATTGCTTCCAAGGTCGGGAATATTAGAATGATTGCTTCCAAGGTCGGGAATATTAGACACTCGTCCAGGGACTTCTACGTCATCTAACGGCCAGGTTTCTTTCTCGGGTTCGTTGCCCTGATAAGCAGCCGCAGGCTGTTGAGCGTTGTAGCCTATCTTGCGAGGAAGAGAATAGTCGACCTGATCAGTAGCGGTATGAGGCGGTGTAAATCCTGAAACGTTTAGGTCGTCGTCCTCGCAAATGTTCTGGAACATCCAGTGTGTATCATGGTTATCGAAGGAGGTGAAGAAGTCATCATGGAGAATCGTCTGCGCTGTCAGGGATCCAAAAGGTTCGTGCGGCTGTTGATGCGATGGGTTCGGCAGATTATGCGTTACAGAAGCATCTGTCGAGGATTGTAACGACACACTAGGAGTCTGTCTAACGGCCACGGTAGAGGAGGTCCAAGAGTCCACTGGCGGCACCGTGTAGTTCATCTCAGCCGATAGCGTCTCATGGATAGTTGCTTCAACATCTTTGCTTTGATGCGTCGAATACATTGCGTCGAGCTGCGAGCACACGCGCTACACTGTGGTTGATCTCCAGAACATTTTACTTCGGATCTGTTGTGAATCAGCACTAGTTTCCGCAAGAATAAAAAAGTCGGCACTTTTGACAACGTTTGCAAGCCCGTCTGCGAACTCTGCGAACTCTACGATCTCTTTGATACCTTCTCAAATGGCGATTGAGACTGTCCCTGTCGGTTTACGTCAGCCAGCTGAAAAGGCTATGATATGAAAACGTACTTGCGACCGAAAGTTTTATTACAGACTGAACAAGAATGCATGTTTAGGCGCACGTTGAATCATCTAAGGAGTTGGGTAGAGGCGGGCGACTATACTGAACTGTTTGTGAAGATGATTACGGGACTATGTAAGTGAGTGGCGAGTAAACTATGACAGTGAGCACCTTCGGCCGACCGGGGAATCCGTGGGGTAGAAGGATGGCTGGAAGAGCGACCTATCCCCACTTTATCCCTTGCCCGGACATTATTATCATGGATTTTTCGGGGCCCTCAAGGCTTAATTGAGTAGCGCTCCGTCTACCTCATTACACATGATTGTAGTGCCAGTCAGATGTGGCGGTATCTCTGTTTCAAGAATTCTGACGAACGCTGATGCGGGCCGTTCAGGTCTCAAGAGCTTCTTATCCGAATGAATCCCCCGTAGAAAAGCTTGCATCGCCGGTGACATGGCTGCTGCGAAACGGTCAGCAATGGCTCATCGTTTGGAAACTAAGATTCCCTTTTACAGTCGTTGCGGGCATTGGTCTGGGTATCTGTGTCCACGGCGCCAGGAGAGATAGCGATGCTTTTAATGCGAGGTTCCTCCAGCGGAAGACATGAACACAGGTAATTGAGTGTAGACTTGGTGCACGCATAACATGTCCACGACTCGGTGGGCCGTGAGCATATATCTGTTGATGTTAGAATGATGTTTCTCCCGTCTTGTAGGAGGTGTGTCCAAGCGTGTTGAATCTGGAATCCCGTTGTGTTAGTGTGACTAATCATTGGGATTGAAAGTAATAATATCATATCGATCACCGCAAAGAAATTTATGTCGAAGGCTTTCTCCAGTCCGCAACAGTCAGCGTTGGAAATGGCCCAGTACGCTTGACTATGGCAGCATTCAACATCAATGAGTTGACACGGCCGGCTTGCTGAGTCGCAGTTTCCACTGCTTTTGCGCTCGTAGAGCTTTGAGAAACGTCTCCAAGTACGAGAAAGAGACGCTGAGGGTTCTCTTTGCTGAGACGTTCCAGCTTCTTCAGATTAAGATCGACGGCAACGATATGCGCCACTCTGGATGATTGCAAGGCTTGTTCTACCACCTGAGTCCGATGCCATTGCCAGCTCCGGTTTTGATTCTGTAACGTGTCACCACTTGCTGTCATGAGCGATGCTGCATTGGACCTGGACCCACACCACTTGATCCGCCATATTTGTTCAAGATGAACCGAAGACACAAGACAATTCCGAGTTCCAGGTGCTCCTCGTTTCAAAGTTCACCTCCAAGGGCTGGATTCGATGACCGTCCCCAGATAATATAGTCATCTGGACGAATAAGAGTGTCTGATCCAATAGTGGAGGCTAGAACCCCAGTTCGGAATGGTAATTACCCTTCACCACCTGTTCCCCGATCGTGAGCCTCTCCGAGGGGGTGTACGAAATAAGTGGCCCCTAGCGACAAGGTTTTGCTACGGATTCATCTTTCACGCTCGATAAGTATATCTTCAGATCTATAGATATGTGTTAAAACTATCTGGTAGGAGCCTTTAGAGTCTAGAATATCTATAGATAGTATTTTTCCATCACCAATAGCTTGTTGTTATATGAGAAAGTAGAAAACCGAAGAGGGTGCTAAAGTCGCTACCAGGCAGGACCCGTTTATTTCGTACCACCCCTTCCCTTGCCTGACGTCTTCCGGCGCGGGGGTGGGCTTTTGAAGGTCATGACCAAGTCTACGCCGCAGAGTTCCTCGCAAAGTGTCTTGATGGAGTATCAGAGAAGCTGGAAATGGATATGCTTCATCTCAAGACCTGGAAGAGGAGCCAACATTCTCGCCTGGAGCCCAGGTATCATGTCTTTGAAAACCCGTGTCTCCCAGGTGACCTGATGTTTTTCTTTCGATTCCCATCCAGCAAGAGCCAAACCCACATCTATTTTCCCAGTCGGGCTCTCAGAAGAGTCCAATTGGGCGAATGTATCGGAGGTACTGCGACACAAGAGCTCCCTCCGGATATCAGGCCCGCATATTTGTGTCGCAGTATCTTTTAACTTGGTCATAGCCTGCAAATCTTTCGCTCTCTCTTCAGGCGTGCTGTTTCCAGTGAACAGTATAGGTGTGAGCCCACGTCTGATAGTGACGGCTCCAGGCGGGTCTTCAGCTTGAAGATTGTAGATGCCGGCTCAAGCAAAGGTACCAAACGATCGACAGACACCGTTGCTGTATGATTCGACCATTCTGCCTCATTGTACCAATTGATCAGTCCGGTCTCTCTCTCGTCAGTAGCAACAGCATCCTATAACTCACCAATAACCCAAACAAGAGCATTACTGTCTTCTTCAGTCCTGCCCCAGCCAGACCATAGATATCCCTTGAGGGCTTTTGCCTCCTTAAAAGCCTTCAAGATTTCTCGACCTTTCTCATTGCCTTGCTCTTCTGGCTTCGCAGACTCTGGCAGATGAAAGAGCACAAATTCAGTGGTGGTTGACATGATGTATAGATCAGAGAAGCGGGTCTGTGTAGAGAAGTTCAATGGTTACCGCCGTTATTCCCTGCGAGCTGTGGCAAGAGAAGAACCCTCAATGTGATGGTTCGGAATCTTTGTCTCTTATCAATGACCAAATTTTATCGCTGGAGGTGGGGACTTGCTTGACAATTGTTGGTGATTCCGATGTCCTAGACAAAACTGAGGGCGACGACGGGTCACTACAACAAGGATGTGCGTGCTTTCTCAAGCTTCGCAAAATAAATGGGACATGAAACTCGCGAAGGCTCAATCCCGAGTGTCCGGACCCATGATCTCTAAAGCTACTTGACTCTCTGTTTCCTTCTGGCGCTTGAGCTCTGGACTACACTGGGGCAGGGCCGTGTACCTTGCCGCGATGCAATCACCACCACCCCAGCTCCGAGGGCTAGTACAAATAGAGTACGGAATAGGCAAGTTTACTAATCCACAGTAGCTGACAGCGGCTGCAGTTCCGGAGCATTTCCAATTAAAGTCGGAATATGGGTGACCGAATCATCGTGTCCTTGGTGAACCCTTGCCCGTCTACTTGCACCCCCAGCACCTCCCCGTGGCGCTCACGAGGGAACGGGGTCCAATATGTCTGAGTCGCCATTATCTGCTCTCGCTTGGCAAGAGAACCTCATGGTGATACTAAGGGATGATGAGTGAGGAAGCTAAGGCCGAGACATTGTCACAGCCTCGCGCAGCGTCATTCGCAAACATGTGAACGACTGAATAGTAAAGGCGTGTCGACGTGCAGGCATGTCACTGAATGGCCCGTGGCCAGGTCTTGACCGTCGTGAAACGAAGGCGGTTCCGGGACGGCTGAAGCCCGCGAGACAATGAAGAAGCACAAGATAATTCTATCTGAAGATGAATTCATTGGTTTTGTTATGGCGTATCTCGTGGCTAGGGGACTGGAACGGCAAGACCATGTACTATGCAGCAAATTCATTTTTCGCAAGTGAAACCCTATCTCCAAGTTGCAGCCGCAGCGGCTAGGAGAGATGTGTTTGGGCTCATGGAACTCGGCAGGCGAGAGAATAGTGCTTATAGTTCCAAAAGCTCGTTCTGCTCTAGCACTAGGATGTGTCGCAAGAGTGTATATATTCCACCGGCAGCCATAAATCGCTCAACTACCTGGAGCATGCAGAAAATTGATGGGTTTCTTCAAATACCAAGCCAAATTCCAGGTGAAATCCGTCCCAGGTACATGGAATAGTCCGGGAATCATAGCAGTTGCGAGCCTTTCGTCCTCTCCAAGACGCATCCTCATAATTTTGGCGAATATCTAGGAGCTAATCAGCATGGTCACCTGAAAAGGGCGAAGTTGGGTAGGATAAGTACCTTCTGCGCTTCCTGTTGTCTATCATTGTTTTTCAGGAGTGTTGGGAAGGTCCTATTTATATCCCACTCGATCTGTTTCCGGTAATCGAGGAATTTATCCGGGTCATCTCGAAACTCTCGCTTCTCTTCTTCAGTATACTGGAAATCCTTGGGTCCTTCGTCCCTAGGGTCAACAAAACCTTGTGATGGCACTATCCATGTCGGTGACCGGACGAAAGCTTTCATGTGTTTCACGACTAATAGTCCACTGATTAGCGAGTTCCGTGAACCCAGATGTGCAGAGGGGGTTGGAACCTTCTTGGTTGCAGCTTAGGGACTATTTGGATTCCCAATCCAGCCAGTCCCTATAAGTGCGATACTTTTACCTGTAAAGTCGTAGTTGTCTTCCCACCCGGCGGAATGGCATAGGTGGCCGGCGAAAATGTCCAATCCGGGGATCGCTGGCCATTTCCATGCAATGTGGCAGGTCCTGTCAAAGGTATAATTCCGGCTGGGATCCTCCGGTGAAGATACCTCGAATGACAAATTCCATATGCCCTTCTCTTCGTCCCAGATAGCGCTGGTGAGCTTCTGGTTGTAGGTTATGTACTTTTCTATGTGGTGTTTTTTGGCCACCGCTTTGAGATAGGCGTGGATTTCGACAGACCCGACATAGCTGCACATTCGTCAACATGAGGCACTGTAGTGACTACGGGCGATATGGGTTGCTTACTAGCTTGAATAACCGGGATTGGGTTTGAAGGTGTAGGTATAGGCGTGGGCGAGTACGTCGCCTTTCGCAGAGTGAAGACTCGCGTCAGTAAAGCTCTCATCCTAAATTCAACCACAACAGCATGTAGGTTCTTGATTGCATCGGTAAAAGATCTAGAGCCGGGGATGCATGCCGAGTCGACTCTGACTTCGGGGTGGTGGCCAAAATGGCCTCGAAACCCTACTTAGGGGACGAAGGTGCGCCGAGTGATTATCCTAGCTTTACGAGGTGTTTCTGAGCCCTTCGTACAAATGAGATTCAAGAGCCGTAGGTCCAGATATGGTCCAAGAAAGCATAAGAATTGGGGTTTCAATGTTGCCAATAAGGGTCCGGGATAACACGGTTACCGTGGAAACCCTGATTTTACCGAGGAATTCTGGCGCCCGCGTTCGCAAATTCTTACGTTGACTTTGAATTGTCGAACTGGGTCTGCTATACACATTAAGTATATCCATTTCATTGTATTCTGCGCCGCGTCGAACTTCTCACCTTCTCCGGCCGGTTTTGCTTGCATGTGAGACTCGCTCGTATTGCAATATGTTGGAAGCAATAGTCCAACCCTCTTTGGAGGTTGACATTGTCCAGTCGCCGCTACCTGTTCCTGGAAGTGGGGAAGTCTTGATTCGCGTGATTTGCTCCAGCTGCAATCCGAAGGACTGGAAGTCTGTGGTTTTCACAAAGACTGCGGCTAACTCAGGTGATGACATAGCAGGCATGTCGAAAGTGTTGGCCCAGATGTGGTCACGTTGAAAGCTGGAGACAGGGTTGCGGCATTTCACCCCATGGGCACAGGTGGAGGGAGTTTCGCCGAGTTCGCTATCGCACCTGTGGCCACTACTTTCCTCCTACCTCCCAAGGTCTCTTTCGAAGAAGTATGTCGTGCTGCCATCCTCAGAAGCCCTATTGAAGACCATAACAACTGAGATTCTTTTCCTCTGAGCAGGGAGCCAGTATACCTTTAGCAGCCCTCACAGCAGCTATTGGCCTTTATCATTCTCTGGGACTGAACTATCCTTGGGCACCAGCAACAACATCTACCCCGCTCATCATCTAGCGTGGGGGAGCGTATGCCGTGAAGTTTGCCTGCAGGTCTAACTTGCATCTCATCATCGCAATTGCAGGGGCGGGTCGAGCGCTGGTTGAGCAAATCATAGAACCTTCGAAGGGCGACGTGATTGTGGATTATCGCGAAGGCCACGGCCCTATGGTGAAGAAGATTCACCAAGCTCTGAAAGACCAAGGAATATCATCCGTCGCCCATGCCTTCGAATGCGTCTCAGAGAAAGGTTCTATAGAGCTCTTGACCGATGTCCTTGTTCAAGGTGGCCATGCAACTTTTGTGCTTCCAGAAAAGAACTATAGCACGTCAGCCAAGACTCTACGTACATCATTAACATACGTTGGGTATGTTCATACGGGTCCGTTCTCGGTAAGCCAAGGCCAAGGCATAAACTTCATCCCTGGTGGGCGAGGCGAAGACTTTGGTTTTGTGTTTTCCAGTCTTATCTCTAAGGGCTTAGGAGACGAGTGGTTTAAATCACATCCATATCAGGTGATCAATGGCGGGCTCGGAGGTTTATCTACTGCTTTGAAAGCCCTGAAAGAGGGAAAAGCGAGCGCAAGCAAGTATGTTGTGAGAATAGGGGAAATTGGGTCAAAATAATCAATAAATTCTGGTGGATGTAGATCTGACAGCACCGCAGGCGAACCTGCCGCGACACGGCATATCTACTGGTGCTCCTTAATGACATCCAACGGTCTTGAGTTCCAGACCCATGGACGTCATAAAGAGAGATAAATATGGGTTAAGATATTACTTATCTTAGTAGGCGAAATATGGTCGCTTTCAGATATCATGACTCGACGGTAAGACGGCGACGATGTGATCAGATTGTTCTCTTTACTCTGTACTCTGTACGACTCGTCTATACAAATGTGATGGCCATTCTCTTGGTCGCCGTTCCCGCGCGCATCTCGCTAATCATATCATTTAGCTCCTCCAGCTTTCTTAGTTCGACTTCGGGAACAATGTTATGCTTGGCCGAAAAATCCACTGCTCGCTTTAATCTTTGAGGAATTCCTGGACCCTCGCTCTTGACGCGATATTTAGCCAAAGCAAGGTCCATAGCCGGGATCTCCAGTGGCTCGTATGGCAATCCGATGACCATGAGAAGTCCCCCTGTCCGGATGATGCGCGGGGCATTGGTGTAGGCAACCTTAGCATTACTGAACACGGCGGCGGCATGGACACCAATTCCCGTTAAATCTTTAACCTTGGTCACATATTCCGGGTCGGTCCTCGAGTTGAAAATGGCATCGGCCCCTTGGGCTTTACACACTTCTAGTGTCTTGTCGTTGATATCGATAGCGACGACGTTAAGCCCCATCGCTTTCGCATATTGAGTCGCAATTTGACCTAGTCCTCCCGCCCCAATCACCCCCAGCCACTGGCCAGGCTTGAGCTCACATGAGTCCACGGCGTGAAAAGCTGGTAGGGATATTCGTCAACAGAAAAACCATGGGAGCTCTGGAGAAAAGCATCTTACAGGTCAACCCAGCGCAAAAGAAGACCGAACTCGTCTGCAGGCTCCAATGCTTGGGCAGATGAATACAATTTCGATAGTCGACGATGGCGTACTCGGCAAAAAACCCGGGCTTAGTGAAGCCGGAGAGTTCAGCTTTACCATTCAGGCAGAGAAGGTTATGAACCATGCAGGCCTCGCATTCGAAACAGCAGCCGAGAATATAGAGAAAGCCGATGGCGTCGCCAACATCGTATCCCTTGCCCTTGACGGATGGATGAATCCAGTCGACGATTCCAACCCCTTCGTGTCCTGGTGTGAATGGCTCTTGTAGATCTGGCCTTTCGATTGCGATGATGTCGGTATGGCATAAAGACGCGGAGGTAATCTTGACCAATATCTCATTCGGACCGGGCTCCGGGATGGGGATAATGTTGACGACGGCCTTTTGCTGTTTAGGATCCCATTGGCCAGCCTTCATGGTTGCTGTCGAAGAGCTCATGTTTGCTGACACGCACTAAAGGCCGCGGTCAATTCAGTCCTGGCTGCTACGTCGCGCCCCCTCGAGAGGTCTGATTCCTCCAGATATATTGCAAGGATACGTGAGACTTATTTGGAGCCAGCATGGGTCTTGGGACCCGCCTCAGCGAGACTGGAGATTCCCCCGCCATGGATGGCCTGGCAATGACCGATGAGCGATGATAAAGCCGCGGAACTTGATCCCGGGGTCCGCCAAATGGTGTGGAGGGCAACTTTGTTGCCGCGGCAATGCCCATTGCCGCGGCATGGCGGTGATTCAGCGTCCATCTGGCAGGTCGCTCGGTCTTCGATCTGCTGTCCCGCGAGCACGGAGTATATCCTGTTGTAATCGTTGAGGAGTGCATTACTCGGCACAAAATAGTGCGTTAGCATTCACATTTTGGTCTGTTTCACCAATAGTGATTGACGCAGCACTAGAAGCGATGCCCGGTCAGGGTCGCCCACCTCATTCACATGGAGGGGCACGGAGGATACTGGTTGCTGCAAGTTCACTCATATCAACCGCCTGCAAGTTTGTCCCAACGAGCCAACCTTAAGTGGGGAGCAAGCCTAGAAGCCCCCCAGAGTAAACCCCGCGTCGCCGGCTCGCAGTCCCCGCACTCGCTTTCCCTCCTCCACTCTCCCAACTTGAAGTCGGCAAGCCCGGCGTGTCGACTAACGCATGATCTTGGGTGAACGCCAGATCGTGTCGCAAAGCCAATACGCCGCCATATGATTGCTCTACGCTGCTTCAGTTACGCAGTGCCTGTACACTAACTTCGAAATCACCTCCCAATCTTGTCCGTTCCATCGTCTCCGTTGTCGTCCCGACAGTGTCGATTCACCCTTCGCCACGATGCGCTCGCCAGAAGACCGTCCGATGACTGGCGCTACTCCCCCGTCGGCGGCCTTGAAACGAAAGCAGTTGCAAGACGAAGCCGGTACGGGACGTGCGACCAAGCACCGCGCAGCCCAGGCATGTCAGTATTGTCGCACCAGAAAGGTCCGCTGCGACGTCCTCCTCGTTAGTGCTGGCTGTACAAACTGCCGACTCGACAATAGGGAATGCATTGTGTTGGCCTCGAGGAGGGGCAGAGTTAATTGCGATCAGAAGAGAAGCACAACCGAGATCCCCAAGTCTCCTGTGTCGCAATGGTCCGTCCGGACAAGCGACTCGACCTCAAGTGCCACGAGAGAGAGCAACAGGTCGAGCCATGGCACGATGCCGACGCCGACGCCGAGGGAGCAAGCGGGAGCTTGTGATGTCCCGGTGTGTGTTACGTTTGCTGAAAACGACGAGCACGACTATAGCACGACTGATCTCACGCCCTCTCGGACTCACAATGGCACCAGACTTGATTCCCACTCGGCCATCTCAAATCCGGTACAGACTCATCAAAATCCAGCGGGAATGGAGCCGCTTCCTGCCTTCTTTACTCCGCTGTCCACTCACATACCAAGCGAAGATCTGGATTTTCTGGTAATGAAAGGGGCATTCACGGTGCCTGAAGCAGAACTGCGGGCTGAGATTCTCCGCGGCTACATATTCTCGGTGCATCCATTCATGCCCCTACTCGACCTTAAGCCGTTCGTCGAGGCGGTTTTGGACGAGCGGACCGACAATCCCATCAGCCTCCTACTGTTTCAAGCCGTCATGTTTGCCGGACTGAGCTCCCTCGAGCCGCATTTCGTCCTTCGCCTGGGCTTTGTCTCGGCCAAGCAAGCCCGCGCCGTCTTCTATACTCGCGTCAAACTCCTCTACGAATTCGATGTCGAACCGGACCGCGCAGCTGTGTGCCAATCATTGCTACTGATGAGTTCGTGGTACAGCCAGTGGAACGAAGGGAGGGACACTTGGCACTGGACTGCGCAGGCTCTCTTGACTGCCCGAAACATGGGCCTCCATCGTGAGCCGACGAGAGCGTGTGGCTCTGACGTCCAACGACGCTTCCGCAGGAGACTTTGGTGGAGCTTGTACATTCGCGATCGGATGATTGCCCTTGGAACTCGCCGACCGATGCAGGTGCGAGACACCGACTTCGACGTTACGATGCTCACCTTGGCCGACTTTGACTTCGAGTCACTGGATGACTCGATAAATGGGCGTCGTCTGACTCCAGACGCGAAAGAAAATCAATGTACCGCGCTCATGTGTATCGAGCTTGCCAAACTCTGTGTCTGTATTGGACACGTGCTGTCGTCCCAGTATACCACGCTCAGCACTCACCCTGATGTTCCACACACGATGATGGTAGTGCCAAGGCGCGATGGGCAACGCATCGGTGAATTGGAAAGGTTTGACAAGGAGATCAACGACTGGCTTCGGTCACTCAGTTCGAATATCTGCGGATTTGCCTCGTCAACAGTAGAGGATGGCTCGCACAGCTGCTCTGAAGTGCACTGGGCCATGCTGAACATGACTCACCTGACGTTGGTCAATGTCCTGCATCGCACGCAAGCTTTACAGACCTTGTCAAACACGGCGGATGCCCATGCAGTGCAGAGAGCATCCCGGTCCAAGGTCAAAGACGCGGCACGCAACGTCACCAAGATTGCGTATGGAATGCTGCGTCGCGATCAATTCCGCTTCCTGGGGCTCAATGGGATCACTGCACTCCTGGCGGCATGTCTCTCTCACATGGTGGACATCCGCTCGGGCGACGAAGATGTACGTGATGCCAATATCTTCCGCTTCAACCAGAGCATGCAGGTCTTGCAGGCGATGAGGTCCATGTACGCCACCGCCGACGCTGCGGTGTGTTTCCTCGCGTCCGTGATTCGGAAAGCCGGCATCTCTGTGCAGCCACAGATCGCCATGCCCGCGCAGGACTTCATGTCCGCGTCGACTGAAGGTCTTGGCCAGACCACGACGACTGGTAAGCAGAGCTCTGACTGGGGCGATCCCCCTGCCACCCACGATAGGAGGAGTGCCGTGTCACAGGGGCATTCCGACGCAGAGGGCTCATACTCCTCCAGGGATCCTCCACCACCAACGCCCCTGCAAGATCCCGATCGACATGACTTACCTGTGCGGAGCGAGATGCGCCAAGCCCCGATCACAGCACGAGTTAATGGTTTTACGGACGCGTTTCATGCTTCTTCCTACGCATCGACCTCCAGTCACGGCGTCATCAATACGGCGGAATGGGGCCCGATGAGGGACGAAAGCCTCTTCCACTTTGTCGATCGACCGCCTAGAAACCCCTCGAGCTCGGCTGCCAATGAGCCTTTCCAGGGGTGCAACAGCAGTTTTGATTTTGCCATGGATTTTGATCCTATCGCGATCGACGATGATTTCCAGTCGGAGAGTTTCGGCTTCTTGGACAGCCAGTTCCAGGGGATCTAGACGTCCCATGACCACATTACATCTTTGAACTAGTTCCATACGGCATGGCAGGACAAGGTCTGGGAGCCGTTCTCCCATGGAAGATTCTCAGGACTAAAACTCACCCGTTATGGAGACGTTGACTTGGAAGCGAGTTCAGAAAGACGTGGTGAAATATGGCACGAACTAGGATATCTGATGTCTGCCACAAAGCACAATATAAACTAGGGGATGGACTATGAACTGCTTTAGATACCCTTACCAGAAGAAGTATGGTCAATGATCGCATTGGGTTACATCACGAAGCTACTCAGATCCAAAGAACCCCTCTGCGTTGTAATTAGGCTGAGAGTATGTATAAGATTGAAAGAACATAGGTGCATTACCAAGCGATAAGTATTTGACATCATTCAGTGGGATCCCTCGCCACGTGCTACGGTTGGCAGCGACATAGCTGCTTCTCGCGGATTTTCATTGTCATACACCATTCATGACCAGCATGACCAAATGATCACCAAAACGCAATCACTCTGGCCTCGACACTCAGTCTGGGTTCCTCATTCTGCGTCCCGTGCACCACCGGCGAGCAGTGGACACACGAGGCGGCGATTTTGGCGTCTTGCTCCGTGGCGGTATCGGCGAACTTGAGGATTAAGACATCGTCAGGATCCTGGTTGGGCTTGCAGTACCACTTCTGTGGCGTGCTCTTCGCGTTGGGCGTCTGCGTCATCTGCTCGAGCATGTACTCGCCGGAGTCAAAGACGTTGCTGGTGGCTCGGTACTCGATGGCCTGCAAGGTGGCGGGGTCGACGGTTCGCCAGTCCGCGACGGCCAGGGGATCGCGTTTGACGGCCTTGAGCGGTCGCCAGACCGAGTAGGCGGCGTAGCGCTTGGGCTGCTCGGTGCCCTTGTCCTCGGCGTCCAGGGCTTCTTGCGCCGCGGCCGTGATGTCCTTGCGGCAGTAACGCGCTGTCCGCTTCAGGCCTCGCAAGGTGTAGTCGCAGTGGGCGAACCGCGCGGGCTCGAGACCGGCATCTGAGCGGCCATTGACTGCAGATACAAGAGGTTAGATGCTTTCTGGCAAGACACATCAAGCGAACGAAAATCGACGTACCCCAAGGAGCATTTTTCTCGGTCAGCTTCTTGACCGCCTCGTCGTGCTGATCGCCTGCCTTGCGATAAAAGGTCGGGTCGTTGTTGCTCGCCGCCAACCGCTTGCGGATCCCCAGGTGGTTCACGATGACTGTTTTCGCGCCCGTCACCTGCCTGACCAGTTCCTCCACCTCGGGGACGTATTTTTCCTCGACGTTGTTACCTTCCAGCCAATCGCCCGTGTCGAGCACAGACTTGTGCTTCACGTAGGTAAATCCCTGTACGTCGAGTCCCTCAGGACCTTGGATGATCTCTTCTGCGAGCTCGGGATTGAACAAGTCGACATCAACATCTTCCCCGGAGCTGTGTGCTGGGCCCGAGAAGAGTCCACGGTCTTCAGGCTTGACGGTTAGGTCCGGCAGGTTGTAGCGGACGGTGCCGCGTACCGATGGCTGTTGTACGAGGCCAGGCATGTCTTTTGTCTTGATGGAATGTCGTAAATGTTGTCTGGAGGCAGCGATGAAAAGAGTCCAATTGCACGTTGCAAGTTGTCTGTGAATTAGTGCTCACGAACAGGACCCTCAAGCCGACGATATATGTAATTCGTCGCCGTGGTCACAGGACGTCTTGAAAAAACCTCGGGCGATGAAATCGAGGCCGTGTCTGCCTCCTACTCGGTTATGGCACATTACCGCGGCTATACTGGCTGGTGCTGGGGTGGTCAGGAGGGACTCCGTAGGCGATAGCCGCCGGTCCTGTCTCGAGGACCATTTAGCAGACGGAAAGTCCGCGGAATCATGATGACCAGGAAATGTCCCGGTTATCCAGTCAGAGATTCAGAGAAGCAGACACTTCGTGTTCCAGTCATGTGTGACAGTAGACATAGCCTCTTCGCTCGCCATCTCAAGGCCGATCGATGGCCAGCATCGTGCCGTGGGAGAGCCCTGATCCTTCCACAATAGTTTGCACAATTACATCCCATGCATCACGCAATCTACATTCAACGGTCCATTATGTTCAGCACGGTGCTAGGTTATGATGCACGTGCTAGTATGACTCTGGGGGCGGTATTAGTGTCAGCTTCAGACATACCTGGACCAATAACGAGAGACGTTTAATGTCTTATATTGTCTAAGCCTAGTGAGCTTACAACATGTGATATCGGTGGATTTCCATGTTGCGTTTTGCGACAGCCTTGGCAAGATATATACTGGCCACGATTATCACACGGCTGGACGCAATTTTGTGACATGGGCATATCTAAAGTTCACCACTGGCATCTCTATCAATCGTGGTCATCTTCGGGCGGATGCCACATCTAAAAAAGTGCCATGATGTTTGGCGGAGAAGCCACAGCTCTTGGATGGTTCAAAGGACTCGACGTGACGAAAAACGTCCACCGGTTGAGTTTCTTGCACAGCTCTGCCAGACGCTCCAAGTCAAACATCTCTCCGATTGGGACTCCCCATCCCGCCAGACAATAGTTGTGCATCGACCAGTCGTTGTCGCGGTTGGGTCGTACCTCGAACGAGACGCCATCGCCGGCGACAGCTACGATATGGTTGTCCCACATGAACCGGGCCACCGCTTCGCTCTGGATCAGGCCGCTGTGTCGGTGCTTGTGCGCTTGGGTCTGAGTTCGATAGTCCTGCTTCTGTTCGAGGGTCAGAGACTCCCAGGTTTTGGTGAAGCCGCAGCGCAGGAAGAAAATGTCGCCGTGTTGGAAGGTGATGTTGCACTCTTGAGCGATTTCCTTGACTTGTTCCAGGGTGATGGCGTGGCCGACCATGCCGTTGGTCTCCAGACCTCGCTTCTCGGCGTACGAAACGTAGTCGATGAAGACACCGCGCGCGGCAATACCTTCTTGCGCCCAGTGTCCGACGCCGATACGGTCGCTTTTGCCTTGACTGATTTCGTCCGAGGTCGTGCCACCGTACCATTTGCGCGTTCCATCGGCCATCTCGGTGCTGTAGTGACGAAAGCCATCCCACTGAGAAGACGCCTGAGGGTTGAAGCGCCAGATATCGTCCCAAGCGATCCCTTCGTAGTTCGGGATCGGCACTATCTGGTGCTCACATGGGAACCGGTTGAAGCCTGGCCTTCCTGTAAGAGATACAACGAATCGCACTGTTGCTGTCGCTGCCTACCTGGTGTTTCAAGTCTGGTCATCTCCCAGTTCAGACATACCTAGACAAAACCCGTGTCAGCGGACGCGCACGTCTTGAGTCTCGTTTCCCACATACTCGCTCGCCCGTTTGCACTTCTTGTTTGACCACCCGTGCAACATGTGCGGGCGTCAAATACCTGAGCATCCCCAGACCTTCGTCTCGGCTGCCGGGCTTTGCGGGCCAGAACCGCTTCTTATCCTCGAGTTCATCCCATTTGGGGAGGTCTGCGAATGACGACATGGTTGAGAGGTTCTTGTTTTCCCTTATTGACAACCAACTGAACATCGACTTATGAATGAAACAAGGGTCATAATATGTACATGGGACCGTTCGTCTCGCTGATCTGCGTCAGAGATGTAGCCGCGGAACCAGCATAAGCCAGGGTCTGGCTGACGCAATTGTGGATCAACTCCAGAGCGCCAGACCAATGAGGCGAAAAATAAGAATACATCCCGCGGAACCAGCTCTGAGGTGAGGGTGTGGCTCCGATGCCGCATCACAGCTAGTACAGTCAGGTGCCAGTGATACACACACTTCCCCGCAGGAGTGAATAAGCTCCATCTAGTCCGATTCATTCGTCGCTCGGCAACCTGCTGTATACCCGAGGTGTTCTCCACAGCCATATCACGAGGGTCTGTGGATGGCCAGGCCGCGGGCAATGGCCAGCATTCTACCTGGTGCCGAGGACTCTCTCGGATGCGGATATAGTGTGAAGATCAGTACCCCAAAGCGAGCCCTGCTCGACAGTGGAGATCTGAGGCTCGATTAACATTTTTTGTGATTTCCTAAACCCCAGCTGGCCCTCTTGATGTATCGTTTGCTTGGATTGAGCAGTGACACTTGGACTAGCCATTGACGACAACCGAACTCTCTACGATCATGCCTGCCGCGAAGCAACAAGTCAACGGCGATGTGAAGGGCACTCGCCCCGTCCGCATCGCCAATGTGTCGGGCGGCCAGATGGAGCCTGCGTGGCAGATGAGAAAGCAGGCCACCTTGGGCCAGATCGACTTTATCACCGGCGACTGGCTGGCGGAGAACAACATTGCGCAGGAAGCGGCGGCCATGGATGCCGGGACCGGTGAGGGATTCAAGAAGAATGCCTGGGAAGGCCTGCAGTTGACCATGGATGTCATCGCGGAGAAGCATATCAAGGTGGTCATCAACGGCGGAGGCATTGGGGCGGAGAATCTGGCCAGGCGAT